GTTTTGAACAAGTCTGCGAGAATTATGAGAATCAGAATATAGAGAATGCTGATAGACATAATCGATTTGTTTTTAACAAGTCTGCGAGGATTATGAGAATCAGAATGTAGAGAATGCTGATAGGCATAATTAAATTGCTCCTATAACAAATCTGCGAGAATGACGATAATCAGAATGTTACATATCAAGTACACTAGAAGGTATGAACAAGTTGATAAAAAAGAATGAGAGAGGCATAGGTAATACGAGAATGATTAAGAGTATTGAGAATTAGGAAGCGGTTGAATTATAAGAGATAAATACATGATAAATATAGTATATTTTCAGCTTTAGTCCGTGATAGATGGCGTCATACGTGCGAGTGGGAAACTATATTTTGAAGATCGAAATTAGAATGGTTGACGGATCCGCTGAATCGAGAAGATGGATCGATGCCGCCAGAGAGGAGGCTCAGATCAGGTATGGAGAGATGACGGCAGATAGACCCACAAGCAGATCGTATAATCGTAGAAGGGAACGGGAGTGGGGATCCCGAAGAAGAATGGCTTGCTGGTTTTGTGGAGGGGATCATATTTTACGGAGATGTCCCACTATTAGCACCAACAATCAAATGTTAGCGGTACAGGAGGACGAACCTGTGGTAGGACAAGGGAACAGTGTATGAGGGGTAGAATTAAGTAGAAGTGCGAAGGTGTTGAAGTTATTTAAAAAAAGATATATTTTTTTTATGTTATGATTTGAATATTTAAATGATAGATGAATATTTAAGTTATCTGTAATGAACTTACATTTTTTAAAAATTTTGCATAAACAAATTTTTTTTATTTGAACATAAAAACCCATGATTATTAACGAACGTCTATGTACGAATAATATTATAGATTATTGTTATTTTGCATAGAAAATGTTTTGTTTTTGCATAGCAAATTTTTTATATATAAACTCGCAATTTTTTATAAAATACAATCAATCGGATATTGGAAAATAAATAACTTGTAATCTTTTAAAGGGTATTATTAAAATTATAGTGAATATAATCTTACAATTATTTATATCGAAAACATCAAAATTCGACAGATATTTTTATAAAAAGTACGATATTGAATCATTTGATGAATGATATGTAATTTATGTTTAAATATGAATAAATTAACCTACCATGTGTATCAGTGGCGTATCCAGGATTTTCTTATGGGGGGGGGGATATTTTGGGGGCTTCGCCCCCAAATCCCCCTTATCTGGCCTTTGGCCAGCTTTCCCCGGCCTTCGGCCGGGTCTTATGTTTTAGCTATTCCATTAAATTATTCTTAATTTAATAATAGTTATATTTATATTTGTAACTATTATTTACTAATTTGTGCTAATGGATATTACAAGCCTATTTTTTATTATTTTTAGTTAGGTATATTATATTTAATAAAGTTTTTTAAATGTAAAGTTGAAATAAAGTTTTTTAAATGTAAAGTAGAAATAAAGTTTAATGTCATTTTTTTTATAAAATTTGCTTTAAAAACTAGCCTCAGCTTAAATTGTCATACAATATAAGTATAATATAATTTTTATTGAAAATACTAATAGTAGTGTGTATAAAATATTAATGTTGTTAAACATCACGTTTTGGGCCGATTTTTAACGGGTAACTCAATATTTTCGCCAGAAAAATATTAACTAAGCCTCGAAATTTCAATACTATATGTCTAGACCTTTGCTTCATCTATGAGCAAAATTTTCAGGCTTGCATAATATTTTTCTGGATAAATAACTGAGTTAGCCGTTTTTAAAAATCGGCTCAAAACGAGGCGTTTAACAAAACTATAAAATATTGACTAGAAAATAATTTTAAAAAAAAGTTTTTTTAAACTTCTTATCAAATACAGTATTATACAAAATTTTTTATTAAATACTATAATTATAATGTGATTTTTAATTTTCGTGGGAATGTTGCCAATTCATCAAGAATTTTGTTTGTCGTTGGAACCAAATCTCTGTGGATATTTAACAGAGCTAACCCATTTAGCCGAGATTCGGAAGTAGTACTTCATAAATATGTTTTCAACCTTCTTAAGTTGGAAAGTCCGTTCATTCGTACATGTTATAATAGGCAAACATGGTAGAATATAAAACAACTTCAAAATATTAGAAATTTAAGCCAAGGTTTCTTTACACCGATTGAGCGCATCAATAGCATGCTCAGGTAAAATAGCTAAACGTAGTAAATATTTATATCACAATTCTAATTCACTGATTAAATTTATTTCAGTATCAATATCATAGGAATAAAATTTTGCTAAATATTTAATTTTACCAATAGTGGCATTAGAAAACGAAGATGGATCTTTGGGTATTAAAACTTGAAGATTGCTAAAGACTTGTTTTTTTATCTAAAAACCGTACTTTTATTTGCGATAAAAAAGTATCTAAGAATGCGATGAAAATGGATATTTTATAATATTCTTCAGTTGAGCCAATATTTATTTTACATCTCAATAATTGCCTAGGTGCTAGACGAGTTTTAATTAGTGTTATGTCAAAAAATTTAGCCTTCGATTCAACGTCTATATAAATATTACGAAAATATTCAACTACATTCATTCTTATTGTATCTACCTGTTCATATCTGAACCAAATCTAAATTTAATTTATGTAAATTTCTACAAAGTAGTGAGCTATAGGAAAATAATTTATTGATGCAACTAGCAGCAATGATAAACTCTGATTGATCAATTGAATTCAATAATGATATCGCTTCTGACGACACATTACTTTTTTTCATGCTCAGCCTTATTTAACTTTTGTATTTCGATTTCTTCTGTTCTACAAAATCGAAGTAAAAATATAATATTTGAAAAATTATAGATATTTATTAATAATTAATATTAAAAATACTAATTAATTCTAACTTATTAATATTTTTGGATTTAATAAAATTATTATATATAATAATAAACTAAATTACCATTTGATTTCAATCTCTTTGACTTGAAATTTTTCCATTTTATTAATATTTTTGAATAATGTTAATGTACTCACAAGGAACGGAAATTTTTGGGAAATTGTTATTCAAATATTTGTAAAATTTTGATTGGGGGGGGGGAAAGGGGGTGGAGGGTAAAATTTTTATTAGCTTAAAATGATATTTATGAAAACAGTCAAATTTGCAATGGGGAGGGGGGGGAATTTCCCCCTTTCCCCCCCCATTGGTTACGCGCCTGATGTGTATATAGATTTCAATCAAACTTTTTAAAATTAAGCAATGACGTTTTCGACGTTAAATTATTTATAGGTATATCCAGTGGCGTAGCCAGGATTTTATCATGGGGGGGGGGGGGGTTTAAAAATTTTTTTTGGGGGGCTACACTTAATTGCTTATATTTTTGGATTTGTTAAAATTGTTTTATATTTTCATATAACAAAATTTTAGGCTATTTTATATATTTTACATTCCTTTATTTAATCATATATATATTTTTATTAATTAAAATATTTTCAAAATGTTGATATTTTATATAATACAGATTTTAATATTAAAAATTATAATGTATAAAGACTCTATTTTAAAAAAAGTAATTTTTTATAATTAAATAAAATGTGTGTAATTCTTATGCAAATAATGGTATTTAAAAAAATATGATGATATTATCATATAAAAAATACTTTTTTTTACAAAAAAAAAGTTGATTATATATTAAAACTAATAAAATCTTATTGCTATTTTTTGATTTGAATTTACAAAGAGAGATCTACTCTTCTCAGAGATTTTGCTAATTCATCTAGAATCAAATTTTTATCTAAAATAATCTCCTTGTTAATATTCAATAGGGCTAATCCATTTAAACGTTTTTCACCGGTTGTGTTTCTTAAATAGGTTTTTAACCTTTTTAAAGTTGAAAAAGACCTTTCATTAATGCAGGTACTAATTTGCAAGGTAGTTAAAATTTATAATGTTTTGATATTAGGCAGGGAATCTAAAATGCAAATACACATGGAAAGGGCCTACAGAGCATTTTTTGTCTCAAAGAATACCCTATTCTGTCAAGATTTTTATACCAAAATTCGATATCACAAAGTAATTTATCATAAGAACCTACTAAATCATCAGCATAAAACTCTGAGATTTTTTTAATATCCTCTCGTGTTTCAAGTGTAATCAACAGTTTAGACTCAACCGGCAAAAGAAAATAAAAGCTTTAAAAATATAATTATGACTAATAAATCTTTCTTTTAATTGAAATAAAAATGTATCAATAAGGGGAATAAAAATGTTTATTTTATAAAATTTCCTAAAATTGTAAGAAAGTGTAAAATATAATAAAAAAGACTATTTAAATAAAATGTTACTGCATGGGCATTCGTTTATATGGGCGTTAATTATTTAAATTTAAAATAAATAGTTATAATCCATTTTTCAAAATTTGTGTTAATTCATTTGTCTAAATTGGTGCTAATTTTTAAAAAGAGCGGTGCGTTGGCAGCCAAAGTACTAGCTAAAGACGTTTCTTAACAGCAATTAATTATTATTTATCATTTCTTCAGCAGAAAGATAAAATATTAAATTTTATCGATAATATTTCTATATAGAATTAATATTTTTATATTATGTTAGATAATATTTTTTATAATATATTCATATAATAAATGTACTATGATAACTTCTAATATTTTTTTAATTTAAAATTGGGATATTAAGTTATCAGATCAGTTATTCTCATTTTATTATTTTTAGATTTTATATTTATTTTATTTTCTTCGCTAAATTTATAAAAATATATATGAAAACATATAAAAAACAACATTTTAAAAAATGTACACTGTTTAAGAATATGCATATAAATTAGGATGATTAAATTATATAAATTAATAAAGCTATATTAACTAAACCATTTTTAGTTAGTTTTCAAACAATTACATCTTTCATGTCTATCAAATTATGACATAATGTTAATTTAATAGCAATATACCTTTTTTTTAAATATTGGTAAAATGTTACAATGTTACCATGCCTTGATTACCTTATTTTAGAATGTGAAGTTAATGCCCATAATATTAGATTTCTATTATCAAATGCTTTCCAAAAAAGATATTATATACCTCTATCAACATTTAGAAAGTTTTTAAAAATTTTTATTATTACATAAAAAATAACTAGAAAGTCAAATACTTACCAATGAATATGCACATTCTTTAGCTAGTCAAGCATATTTACATATGCGAAATATTCCATTTATGCTCAAAATGAAAGAAAATGTTGAATTTATGACTGAACAAGGTATATAAACAAACCTTATTAATTCATTAATATTAAAGGTGAGGTTCCATTGCTAAGATATAATGAAAACATGATTATTACTGGTTTTGAACATATAGTGAAATTTGTGAATTCTAAATATGTAAAAAATTATATATCTAACATTTTTTTCTAAGAATGTATTATAGCTTGAAAATGATTTAAAACTATGTGATATAAATTATGAGAAATTGGCATTTATGAAATATATAGATCACACATTTACATTGGCTGAGATATACATTTTATGGAAAGATGAGGATGTTTACTCAAGATTTACAGCATTAAGATATGGATTTCCCTATTCTTTTCCATTAAATAAAATAATGACCTACAGCAAAAAAAGATCATTATTTAAATATTTAAAAGCTCATGACTGGTTTGATTTGAATTTAAAACAAGTAAATATTTAAGCATTATTTTGTATTATTATTGTACATTTGATATTGCAAACAGTTACTTATTCAAAGAAAAATTAGAAGGCTCATTTTTTTTATTAGCCTTTTAGTTTGTCAAAAATAAATTAATTTTTACAAAAAGTGTTTTATTATTATATTATTAAACTTACATTTTAATATCTTATACTCTGCACTTATATATTAATATTTATAAAAATCTGTAAATTGGTAGTAAAAGCATTTAATTTGTACCAGAGACCTGGAGATGTAATATTTACAAGACTAGGCCCGAATTTTTTTTCAAAAATTTTTTATGGCCTGGTCTAGCTCGGGTTTTATATTTTAAGGCCTGCTCGGCTTTTTTTTTTTAAAAATTTTCGGGCCAGGCCTGGGTATATTTTAAAAAATTAAAAATGGTGTGGCCCTAATCAAAGGCCATAAAAATGTTTTCTGCACTACATTTTAATTTTAAATAAATTATATATTAAATTTTGGTCTGGAGCTTTGTAGGGTATCTAGTTGACTATTGCTTAACTCAAGACATAGCTTTGCCAAGTTTAAGGCAAATTTTTATGGCCTAAATTTGAGATCAAAGCCAATTTTTTGGCCAGCTTTAACCTTGAGGTCAAGCCTTGATGCTCCAAATCTTAGGCTTAAGCATGAAAGTTTAGGCTGATTATTTTTTGTCTTGAACCATGAGATTTAGCATTTAAAAATTTAAATCTCCAAGTTAAGCTAAAATATGAATAGGATCCTCAAGGTTTAAGATGTAGCCAACTAATTTCCCTTCACTAAGCTCATTATATGGGTACTCTCTAATAGATTTTTCAAATAGATTAATTAGTAATTTTATCTAATTGTAAAACTCCTGAGTAGACACCTCATGTTCTAACTGATGACTGTTTAAATTTGATTTTGGAAAATTATTTTAAAATTAATTTACTTATTATCATCATTTTCATCTGCAATACTCTCTTCCTCAAACATGGTCTCAGCTGATCTCTTATTTTTAAATTCCATTTCTGAAAGTTAGTTTTCTTCTGATAACACTTATTTACACCCTTAAAATTTTATATCTTGATAAGCTTTTATTTGTGTTTTTTATTTTTATGTTAATCCTTAAAACCTTTTATTATATTTATATCTTATTTTATTTATTATAATATAATTATTACATTATATAATACTATATAGTCATTGGAGATTGACTATTATGCATGGGGTTAATAATCAATATAAATTTTTATTAATAAAGATATGAAATAAACAATTGCCTCTTTTATAATCTGGTTATCCAATTTGGTTATCAAATTCTCACAATTTTGCCTTCTTGTTGTGGTCCATTTTCTAGCCTCTTGATATTATTTGCATTGTCAATTTGGGCCTTGCTAAATCCAAAAAATTTTGAAGCTTTCCTCAGAATTAAAGAGGATGAAATTTCGTTTTCAAACAAAGCATTCTTTAGACATATTTAAAAAAAGTATCAAATCACTGAATATATTAAAAACTAACTATCCTTACAAGCTTTGATGGTTAAAAATCGTATGTTGAGGAGAACTTTTTTATATAGTATGATTATTAATAATCTCACAAAAACAGCAGCATTTTTTCCCTTACACTCACTAATTGCGTAATCTAATGCCATATCAGAGTAAAATATTATATTAAAAAATAATTAAATTATTGTTTTATAGTCATTTTTTTTATAATTTACTTTCAATCATTTTCTAAAGGTTGTCATTAGTTGAATAATGTATTATTTGTATTTAAAAAGAGTCCAATATTTTTTTTACTATTCATATTTGTACAAATTTCACTATTTATATTCAATTCAAACAAATATATTTCGGTTTTTTTTAAATACATACAATATTATTGGTATTCTTTTTATTGCACATCTAAATTTAAACAAAATAAATTACTATAATTACACTGTGTGACAAGAAAAATGGGAGAAGAAAATAAAAACAAGTTTTGGTGCAGAATTTGACGCTAAGTTCGAATCCGTTTTCCAAATTTTCCCTACACGTCAAGTTTTAAAAATATTACCGTATAAAGACAACTTTTCGAAATCTCAAAAATGGTAAAATTTAGGTCTTTATACGGATATATTTTAAAAAGTATCTAATAAAAATCCCTGAAAATTGGTGATAGTGTTAAACTTATATTTCTTTATAAATTTAATAATTTTTTATCGATTGGTTTTTGAGAAAAATGGTAAAGAATTTCGTTTTGGGGGTCTTAAGTTTTTAATTTTAATTACTATCAAAATTATTAACTTTAGAAGATAAATTTTATATAATTTTGCTTCAAATATGCTCAAGATTATATATTAATTCTAATTATGTTTCAAAAGTACTCTATGCCATGAAAATTTAACCAAAATCTATAAATTAAAAAAGTCGGTACAGATATTTTCGAACTTTTTAATTTGTACACTTTTATTGAATTTTCTCTGCATAAAGCATTTTTAAAGCAAAATTAAGGTATTATTTATCTTTTTTAGTTGTATTTAGTAATATTTTATGCATTTATGATAAGTTTATACCTCAGATATCTGTACCCACTTTTTTAATTTGTACTATTTTTGAAGCAAAATTCATTTGAAATACAATAATTGGTAATTTTTTCATATTTCTTATTAATATTTATCTTTTTTAGATGTATTTAAGAATATTTGTTTTTTTAATCAATTTATATCAAAATATATGATTTTCCAATAGAATACCTTGAACCCGTAGTATGGGCAATAAATAATAATGCCAAATAAATGTAAGCTATATTAAAAAAGATTTTATAAATAAAGGTAAATTTAAAAAATATAGGTTGTTTAAAAATTGAGTAAGAATTTTATAAAAAAAATGTATAATAATAATAAGGAAGGTTTGCTGCAAAAATTAAGATATTTTTTTAGTTGTAGGAATCATTAGAACCGAAGTTATAAACCTTCAAAAAGTAAAAATGACCTTTTTGGCCACTTTAACCTAAAATAAATAAAAAACCTGACGTGCTAGAAAAAAAACTGATAGCGGATTTAGAATATGCATAAAAAACTGTCTTAAAACATGTTTATTTTATTTTCTCCCAAAAAATCAAGTCGAAATTTGTCACACAGTGTTATCTAATGATAGGGAAAATGCAATCAATTTATTAAATAAATTAAAATTTATTTAATTTATTGGATGTCAAGCCAATTTTTAAGATTTTCTTATTTTTCCTTCTTTATTGGTCATGCGATTTTTTTGACAACAGATTAGTTCCAATTAAGAAAGCCGTTTTATAATCAACCAATATATTCCTTGATACCATAAATTCATAGTTAGCATGAACTCACTATGAAGTATACAAAATACAATATAAATTTAATAATTTTACATTCATTTTTGTATCTTCGCAATGAATTCGTGTTAATGCAGTGTTAATCACAACACATGGTAGATTACTCGTTTATCAATAGAAATTGCAAAGGATTAAATTTTATTTAAATTTTATATTAATTATCTAAATAATTTGATTCGAATAAACAAATTATTTATATAATTCTTTGAATATTGTAATTATTTGGATAGAGTAATTTTTTATTTGTATTCTAACAAAATAAATAATTTATTGTTGACTCTCAAAATGTAAATAGGAAATGCTAAGTGGGGTATAATAGATAACCCTCACTATAAAACTATTACAATTCTCTATTATTCTTATATATTTACATTAGGCTATGATTTTTTTAAAAAAAATATATTTTTGTGTTTTCAAACAACTACAAAATTAATAAAAACAAAATAGACTTTATATTAAACCATGACCTTTACTGATTTTTTATCCACAAATTTTGGAAAGATAATTTTTTTTTTCTTGTGTAATAACTGTAGTTAGGTAAATGGCTGAATGTTGGCTAATTCAGTTTGAGCTGTTATCTTTATAGAAAAAACCTTATGGCCATAGTGATTGTTTGGCTAAAAATTTTACCCAATTTTTTAGCCGGCTAAAAATATATTGAATACCCAACTATAGTAATAAATTAACTTAAAAAGAAAGAGATTAAAAAATACTAATAATAAAAATGCCACTAAGCACTTAATAAAACAAACAAAAATAGGTGCCCTAGTTAAAAAGAGGAATAGACATAATGGTCTAAAAAGAAATAGTTTTAAAAAGGGCTCTATGTTGTATTTTTTACCCTTCTATTACAGACATTTAATCATAACTGCCCTTTTATAAAATATGTAGAATCACAATTCTATAATTAATTTTTAAAATTTAGGTTCAATTATATATATATACTAATTTTATTTATTTAAATAAAAAAAATATATTTCTAGGTATTAACCCATGTAAAAACTTGCTGTGATAGATTATCTCTAAGACTGGGAGCAAATTCTTTTATTTTTGATAACAGGTATTAGATAATAATTTACAAGTAAAATTTTCATGTATAATTTATGTATTCATTCAAAGACCTACAGAAATCGATGCCTTAATTTATGGTCATATATATGCAATTCTTACACTCTCCCCTCCTATGTTGTACCAAAAGCACAATGAAGGATCATATGAACATCATTCCATATTCGATTCTTTTCAATTCAATTCTCGCACAAATGGGAAATATAACTCAACAAAAACGTCTTCAATTGATTCAGACCAAATTTATATGCCAGAACATCTAAGAAATATAGTTTTAAGTTATGAAAACCTTTTAAAATTATGTTTTAGAATATATCAAACTTATTTTGAAAAATTTAAAATAAATGATAAAAAAAATTCTGATAATTTTTATCAATAGAATTTTTTTAAGCTGTCTATAATTATATAGATAATTATTAATCTAATAATTTATAAATCATGGAATATATTTTATTGAATTATATTATAAATTTTTTTATATACATTTTTTTAAATTCGCATCGATAATAAATATATACATATTGTGTATTATACTATTTTTAAAGTTAGCATAATTCATAAAATAAAATCAGAATTTTTTTGCAAAAGCTTTGTGATCTGGTAGTAATACCTTTTCTTTCATATATTTGAAAACTGATAATATTCCATTTTTGTTGATTTTTTGGTTTAAATAATTTGTTACTACATCAGGTTTTGATATTTTATCATAATTATTTACATTTCCTAAAATAAAGGAATTTGTTTCATCTGATCCTTTTGTTCTATAATATGAATTAATAGCATGTGATGACGTAGTTGGTAGTATATAATCTCCAGCTGATAATGACAACATAAAAACTAGGGGCACTAGCCATTCACAAAATGTGAAAAACGTTAAAACATCAAATAAAGGATAATTTGTGTGAAAAAAAAATGCAAACGCCAAATAATGATTGATTATAACAAAAATGATTGCAACTATAAAGTTTATTGATAAAAAATTTATAAATGGAAACCCTTTTAGAATAAACAGATTATTAATTTGAGATACTATCCCAGCGATTATTAATGTTAAAGGTATATCTTTTTCAAATATCCAAAAACAAATATGAATGAATAAAGTTAAAAATATCAAGTATCTGATTATTTTTGCAGCCAATATAGTGTTTTCTTCTATGAATTCTGCTATGCAATATAGAGTGATAAGTAAGGATAATGCGGCAAATGAAATATACATAAAAAATGTAATCCAATTTAATAAATACCAAAATAACATGTTTAATATTCTTTAAATGAAAAGTTTTGTAAAAAGTATTTCGTTATGTTACAGGTGTTTATCATGAGTGAATGTTATAATAGCCCTTGAATATATATAAAATGTTTAGTGCTAATCCCTAATTATTTAAAAATAATTTAATCGAAAACCAGATAAAAGAGTAAATTTAATCTACTAGAAAAATTTATTTTTGATCATAGTACCAGGAAAATTTCATACCTCTACTTTAACATGTATATTATGAAAAAGACAAATTTAAAAATTATTTTTGGAAAGATTATATTTGTGAAAAAATTGTTTTTATATTGAAATAATATTGAAATTTGACAGAGAACAATATTATACATATAATATATATAAATTCTAAAAGCTTATATCTTGTCTAAAAGTTTTTTTAAAGTATATTTAGATAATTACTTTGCGACAATTATGAGAGACCCTTTTTTAATGTTATATCCGTTATTATTCTCTAAATTTTTATCTTAATACCATATTTTTAGAAAATTAAGCTCAGAATTAATAATATACTAGTACTAGCAGTGGCAAATCCAGGATTTTCTTATGTAGGTAGATGGATAATTATTAGGGGGGTGGGCGAAGCCTCCCAAACTCACCTTAGCTGGCCTTCTTTCGGATCATTTTGAGTTATTATATTATTCGTAATTCAATAATAATTAAATTTCATTAGCTTCTTTCTATTTAGCAAATGGTGTTATTACTAGCTAGGCTTTGTAATTTTTGCTGGGCTCTTCCTACAAATTTTGGGGCATACATGGTGTTTGAAGATTAGTCACAATTGATTAAAATGTGTGTATTTATGATATGTACCTTACCTAATATTTAGTACTACAAGTTTTATTTAATAGCCAATTATACATTCCTACCATTAATCGCCACGACTCTAACGTCTTCGGTTCTCATGCCCTAGCCTTCTTTAAAGAGCTGGGAAAACGGATCTCTGCTAGGATCGAAGATCCCAACGAGGGATTCTACCTATGCCAAAGATTAGCCATAAACATAGTAAAATACAATTATCTCAGCTTTATTTTTCCAATATCCGAAACCCCCTAATTAAACACTCTGCGTAGGATAGACTTTGGCCATTTTGCTGCCTATTATAATGTTAACGCTATAAGGGAACTTGAATCTCAATCAATAAAAATTACAAAGAATTATTAACTTTATATAATTGTGATTTTGTAATATTATATTTTTTTTACTATTATTATAACTTACCTTGTAATAACATATTATTGTAATATATATATATATAGATTATATATACAATGTTCAGATAAAATCTTTAATTCGTAAAAAAAAAATTAATTCGCATAAATCATTTGAATATAAATTATATTTTTATATAATTAATTAGTTGGTGAATATGCTATCGACGATTGTTTAGTATTAATTTGAATATGCAGTCTAGGAATTTATTTTTTTATGAACTTTAATATACTTTTAATTTTTATTATTTTTTATGAATACTTGTAATTTTTTTTGCATATTAAAAAAATGTTTATAAATGAAAAAAATTTATAATAAAAGTTAGTTATCTGGTTTTATAATTTGAAGAAAATTAGTATTGTTGTATAAAATTTAATTTAGTGAAAAACAGGAGTCGTAAGATTTATTAACAGAATTATTTAATTTTTTATATATTCTTTTTTATTAATACTAGGTTCCATTAAAGTCTTTCCCACAAGCCTTCACAATTTGATTACAATTTAATAAGGAATTGTAACATTAACAAAATTAGAGCATTTAATGATAATATAGGTATTGTCTGGCCAAAATTAATATACTCAAACATACATATTGAAATGAAAATGAACAAATTTAATTAGCAATTGATGATATGATTCATTAATTAAAATTTCATACTATTAGTAGCTATCAGTTGTACCTTTAAGAAGAGCAATGAAAAAGACTTTGAAATATCCCCATATGGAATGGTATTCATATAGATTATCTCACCAAACCTCAGAAGCATTAAAGAAGGGATATTAAGTACAAGGAACCACATCTCTCCTAAACTTCAAACATTATAAATATAATAGTTTTAATTTAATAAAAAATTTATAACTAATGCCTAACCTGATTTTAAATATAAGCTACCTACCTTTACCATTTTTTTCTTCAATTTGTATTTGATTATTTTTTTAATGCTCAGCCTTATTTAAGTTTTGTATTTCTATTTCTTCTGTTCTACAAAATGTAGGTAAAAATAAACCATATTTAAAAAATTATAGATATTTATTAATAATTAAAATATTATAATATACTTATTAATTCCTAACTCACTAATAATTCTGAATTTAATAAAATAATCATAATAGTTATAAACCGTTTATTTCCATATAAAATTTTTATTAGCTTAAAATGATATTTATGAAAAATTTCGATTAATTGTCTAATTTATCATATGATTACACATTAATGTCATTTAATCGGATTGCAAGCCATAAAATGGCCTTACAGCTAACTCCTACGTATGGATAGATGTATTAATGATTGAATCGTGAACCTTTTAGTATATTTACATCATTGTTCTGAGCATGTTGTGAAAACGACATTAAACAAGTTAGTCGAATTAGTATTTCTTTTATACAAAAAATATACAATATTTATAAAGATTATAATGTGCACATACTAAATACACAATATTTATAAAGATTATAATGTACACATACATAATAAACAATATTTAAAAGATTGATTCTTCTTTGCGTTTTAATTTCTTCTTTAATTTTGCGTATTTATCTGTTTCGGATTCATCTATTAATTTAAAATAATGCCATTATAATATAATCATTTCAATGCTATGTTAAGATATTATCGGCCACTTATAGGGTTTTCTACTCAAACTGAGGAAACGATTACATATTCACTATGGGTAAGGAATAAAAACATTTTGAATGGGGGTGTTAATAAATATCAACATGACTTAAATTTATTTCTCACAAGGTAGTAAAATTCTAATTATAATTGGTAAAAATTATAACTTATGAGCCATCTCTATTCTTTTAAATAAAAACTTCAATCATTCTTCTTATAGCGCTGACCCGTCTTAGTGAGAAAAGTAATAAGGGGCAAAGGGCAGAAAAAGGATATACGGGCAGTGTCTACATGAGCTGAGGAGGGTAAAAATTATATGCCTATAAAAAAAGAAGATGGAAGGGTAAACATCCAAGAGTAGTAGGCAAAATTTATTGAAGAGTTATAATTACATTTTTAAATAAAATAGGGCAAAATAATTGTAATAAAAATTTAGTCAATACTTCAATTATAAAGCTATCATAATAATATACAAAAATTGCTAAAAAGACCAAACGATAAATTGAATGTAATTAGTCATCTAAAAAAAAATTTCGGCACTTGTTGTTTAACATGTATTCAATTATCAAATATAATTAAATATTTTATAGTCATAAAAGTAAATAATACTTTTAGAGCGTCGTTTTTAGGTGGGTAGGAATATTAATTTTATTTTATGTAGATTCTGTGTTAGGGACAAATTGCTCCTACCAACCGATTGATTTAAATAAAGACTAGAATGAAATTTTTTAAAAGCCTCGTTTAAAATCGATTAAGTGGAGTTAGAACTTTAAAATAATCAAGCGACGATATTAAAATCTTAAGAACTGTTAATATTAGAATAAGGATTTTTAAAATAAAATATGATTATGATAAAAATTAACTTATAATTTTCCGTTTCGTTTTTTGATTTTCTTTCGGAGGTTCAAAAGCTTTCATCTTCTTTTTCAACTTCTTTTCGGCCATCGATTTCTGTTTATTCTATATTAAAATTAATAAAATATAACAAAAATAAATCAATTTATCTTTTTTGATATATGGAAAATTAAAGATAAAATTGTTTGGTTGGGCATTTTGAGACCACAGACTTTATAGAGACTGATTTTTGGGCAACCCATCAAACCCAGGGTAATACCTAGGGAAGTTTCAGGCTAGTGTTGTTAAACGTCTTGATTTTAGTCCATTTTTAAAAACGACTAACTCAATATTTTATCGAAATAATATTACGCAAGCCTGAAGATTTTGCTCATAGATGGCACAAAGGTCTAGACATCAATTAGCGAAATCTTGAGGTTTAGTCAATATTTTTCTGGCTAGAATATTGACTTAGCCGTTTTTAAAAATCGGCTCAAAGCGAGTCGTTTAACAACACTGGCCTCTTTCAAAAAATGGGTTTTCGATTAAGTTTCTGTTATCAAAATTTCCATTAATTAGAGTATATAAGCTTTTAAAATTGTTTAAATTACGATTTGGATATTTGTAAATATATTCGAATAAATAAAATATGCGATTAATAAAATTGGAAAACTATGGAATTATAAATATAATTATATAATTAATTATTTAAAAGCAAGGTATAATAATATATTTAAAAAATAGGCAAAAAATATAAATATTAACAAAATCAACAAAATATTACTTATCTAACAAATAATAAAAAACATATTAGTAAAAAATGAATGTGATATAATTTTAATTGAAATATAATTATTAGTTATTCTAAAATGATACATTTCCTTCAGGTTATAAATCATATTTTCTCTATAAACTCCTCACATAAGGTTTTTATGTTTCTGAAGATAGTCGAGGTTCGTGCCTCGAATCAAATCACAAAATCGAGTAATGTAAAATGAGGGGTCAGATTCAAAATTCAAATATCGATTTGAAAACCTCAAGAAAGGTGGATTTAAAAAAGAATATCATATAATTACTAGTAGATTTAGTCACAGTTTTTAAATAAATTTTATAAGTTTTTAATTAATGTTCTTCACAGTTTCAAATAAAATTAATTTTAAGTATAGTTGGTTTGATGTTTAACAAAATTAGTATTCCTCCCTCGTCTAATATAAACACTAATCCATATCTTTGTTGGATAGTACAAGGCTTCCCGCCAAAGAGATCCAAAATTTTGGTATCAGGCCTTAGCCTGAACCGTGTAGTTCAGTAAAAATTAGTAGTAACTTATTGGCTGCTTCGTTAGTATCTGTTAGATTTTACCGAATGTAGTGGGTTTGATGTCTAATAAATAAAATTAGTAAAACTGCAAATTTAATTTTAAAAACAAAACTGTGAGTATAATTATAAAACTGTGAAAATAATCTAAAAACTGTTAAAATTATAATAAAAAAACTGAACATTTCGATTTAAAACCTGCACATATAATTTGTTCCCTTTAGAAAATATGACTAAGCTTAAGGAATGTAGCAAATGTAGCAAACTACAATTATCGCTTTCAAATATTTAATTGTATGCATTGAATAGTTAGTTATATTAATCGTATATATATTTTTTTTAATATAAAATTCTAATAAATAAAACTTTTTATAGTAAAATAATTTTTAAAAAATTCCCAGAATAATTAAACTGGGATAATAAATGTTTCAAAAAAGAGTATATAAATTTATTATCATTATATTTGCAAGGAAAATCAATAAATCTAGCTTTTTACTTTTTTATCGAGTAACTCCTTATGTTTCTTTATGGATTCTTTGAGGAAATATTCACCCGTTTCGATTTCTTTATCCATCTAAAAAGTTATTTAATTTTTATTTTTATGATATACTAAAAAAATATAAAGATAATATTTATGTAAGGTCAAGTAAGGATAAGTAGTCTATGTGAATGGGTTGAAAGTGGGTAAGGACAATTTATTTCCATATATCTTTCAGTGGGTAGACTTCTAATGAGGCTGACTGTAAAATATTTAAGGATGGGGTGAGGAGTAAATTTTGATCATACTCTCTCTAAAAAAATTTCTCATATAAAGATGCTGAATAAAAGTGATCACAAAAATTACCATTTTTTCTTCTTGTGAGGCTTGAAAAGCCGGGAGAAAAAAAATATTAAACAGTGGTTACATATTTTTATAAAAAAAATATTGAATAGTGCTCAGTACAGTTCAAAAAAAGAATGGATTTGATTCAAGTCATAAAATTATTTTATTTTCTGTTAATAATAATATTATAATTCTGTCTATTAAATTATTAATATAATATTAATCATATAGCGTTGATTGATCGAAAAAAATTTTCTTATTTTCTATTTGATAAATTATTATATTTCCTTGTTTCAAATAGGATTTCCGTGATAATTTTTGGATTAGTTGATCGTAAAATCTATTTTACTTAACATTTATATTTTAGAGAGGAGTACAAATACAGTCATAGTTTTATAAAAATCTACACCTTTATATTTAAAAAAAAATAATGGATAAATAACTTATATAATATTGAAAGAATATATCTTTCTTTATTACGTTTCATGGGTTGGGAAGATTGACCCTCTGAGCTCGAACTCTAACTTTTTATGAAAGAAAGAGAGAAAGAATAAAAGAGAGAAAGAATAAAAGAAAGAAAACCTTCCTTCAAGGAAAATAAATTTATATGAAGAGAATAAAATTAAACCTTGCTTTCCACTGGGGGAGGAGGGAACGGTGTATACTCCTTTTTGACTTTAAATTTTTTGCGTTTTTTCTTAAATTTCTTTTGCTCTGTTCCGTCGCTAGTCGATTTATCTGCCTCGTTTTGTTTTGACCCTTTCGCATTAAAATTATCGTTATTTTCGGGAATTTCATTAGCGTCATCGTTGGCGTTCTTTTTGTTTTTTTTGCTATTCTTGAACTTGGGTAAAAACCTCTCCCAATTTTCGTTTTGAAGCCTTTCATCTTTCATGAGCTCTTTTTTTATCATCAGTGCCTTATGAATAATATTTTAAATTCTATGAAAATGTGTAAACATAACATGAAAAAATAACATCCAATGTAATAATATTATTAGTATATTTAAATAACTAAATGTTTTAAAAATGTTATTTATCAATTACTTTTATATTATATATGGGATGAATATTTTTCATAGCATCTTCCACCAGTTTTCTTACCTAAAGATTTCATTTTGAAAGGTAAAATATATATGAATATGGATGGTGCAAAATTGATATTTATAACACTATTAAAAACATTCTTATAATAACACTTATTTTAGTAGCAGTTCAATTTATGGACTAGATCTAAATTCAAAAAGTGCTCTCTAAGCTTACTCTAGAAACTAGTTAAAATAATTAAGGACAGGTTTAAGTTGTCACTTTAAATATGCTTCAATATTTTTTATATATAAAAACCTGGAGAACTAAATGACTATCCTTTATTAATATTATAATGACATAACAAATGTTCACTCTAAATAAATTACCTCTTTAATGCCAGCATACGACCCTATAACTGAAACTGTGTTTCCATGTACCATTATATAACAATTTGTCAATAATTCTAATGCCTTTTATTGATATGTTATAATAAATATAAGCAGTTTTAGTACATATTATATTTCAAAATCTGCAGGCAGATATAATTTTTTAAATTATGGCAAAAGAATTAAATAATTATAGGAAATATAAACAAAACATCAAAAATAGAATATAAAGTCAATAACAAGCCTAAAAATCAGATCAATGATATGCCAATACCAAGGCTGATACTTCATATTATAGAGGTGCCAAGTTAAAAACCAACACAATTATGACTATGTTAATTCTTATTTAATATTCTATTTTATTAATTCTTTTGGTTGTTCTAATATTTTTTTATTAATAGATTTTATAAAATTTAACCAAAATGAAAGTTATAAATTATTATATAACAATCAAACAAAAATAAGTTTATGTAATTTTTAAACAAATATTTATTTAATAATAAATTGCCTGGTATCAGATAGTGGTATAGGTAAAAAAATTAAGGCATTAGTTGCATCTCAACTAAAAATAATTTAAATTATATCAATTGGAAAATCATATAATGAATCATTTACTGCTTATATTTTTAATTTCTCTTTGAAAGGAAAAAAAAATTATTTTAAATCTAGACTGGGTTAAAAAATTGACCCTATAGATCTTGGGTTTATATTATGACATGTACTATTTTTCTATGAAAATTTTGACATTTAAAAATAATAAAATCAAAATTTTGATATGTTAATCGAGATTGACTTTTTAAATTTGTTTAACTTAAATTGCTTTTATTTTAAACATGTTAGCCTTTAACCATGTATTTTGTTTAAATTGTTTTTTTATAATACATATATATATATATATATAACTTATTTTATATTTATTCAGTATCATTTTAGTTTTAGATATATTTATAATAAATATAACATTTTTTTTGTCCACACATCACCACCGTTATTAATATATAACATGGTGTTTTTTTCTTGTCCATACTACACCACAGTTATTGATATATAACATGATATAATACCTAAACTAAATTTTTGTGCAAAAATTAAATTATATATCCTAAAACTTAAACTATAAAAATATATGTTTTTAGTATTATATATGTTAATTATGATGGGCTAAGGATTATATATTTAACTCAAAATAAATTTTACCTTTAATGTTGAGCTATTAGTGCCAATCAATCTCTCTCTTCGTTTAACAAATCTCTCTTTATTTCTTACCAATGATCCTATCTTTATAACATCACAAACAATTTCATCTTCTAACACTTTTATAGCCTAATAATTAATCATATTATGATTTGTATATATTTAATTAAACTAATAAAATACATATTTGATAAATAATGCAGAGTGAGTGCAATAAGTACATGAATTATATTCAAAAAACTAACATGTTCATAAGGCACACTACGAGCTAATAGTTTTAAAACATCACGAGCTTTTATTATAATGTAAGGATCCCATGTTTTCTTTGAAGTAGTTACACTTAGTGTACCTTCTAGTACGTCAAAATCGGCATTAATATCCTAATATATATATATAATAAATAAAATGTTTACAAAAATTACATATTATCTTACATATTGATGTAATATCTTTTTAATAGCTGGCCAGTTTTCTCGAATATATGGCTCTCTATACTTTGGAAATAATATAGAAAATGAACTATCAGCTAAAAGGCCGTGCGGATTATCTTCTTTCGTGAATTTTGGAGCTTTCCAATCTCTTGGAACTTCAACCATATGGAATTATTAGTGTATTCTTAAACTCAGCAAATAAAGATTACATGATAGCAGCTGTCATAAGCAGATGTTAATAGAAAGTGGCATATTAATATGTTGAAGGTATTTTGATTTTTAAATAATGTGTGAACGAAAATAAATTGAATTTATAGATAAATGTCAAATGTGCTATTAGTCGACATTCTATCATCAATTTTATAATAAATAAAAATTTACCAAGCACATACAGTTTAACTTATGATTTAAGCAAATCGCTACTTTTGGATAGATATGTATTCAGACAATAGAGATAAAATGTTCTTAAGAGAAAAAAATTCTAAACAAAATGCTCAGATTTTTCCTTGACATTTTTTTTATCCTTTATTACCCTACGTATGGCCTACCTCTTAACCCCATATACGGGGATAACATAAAGAAAAAAGGCAGTGAGTATCCAGGATTTTCCTAAAGTATATTTAGATAAATTATTTCCTCATATATTTTATTCGAGAAATTTAAGTCCACTTATTGTAAGCCTTAGGCCATATTCAATTAAGATAATTAATTTTGGTACACTTTTTTTATTGCATTTTTTAAATAAATTTTGAATCAAAGTGGTTATTTTAAAAAGTTATTGACTTTTACTAATTTTTCCTTCAAATACTTTTTTTTATAATGATATATCTTTTATGAAGAGGTGGGGGAGGCGGTGTAGGGTAAAAATTTAGCTTAAAATGATAATTATGAGAACAGGCAAATTTGCGGTCTTATTTATAAATATAAATACCACCTCACAAGGTCATCATTTAGCTCCAGGGCAGTAAAATGATATTAAAAAATTTGAAAATATTTTTTCTTTATAAAATAGCTACTGTCAATCAAATGAACAACTCATTCATAATAATTTAAAGAACCAATGTCAAAATAACTTATTTTCTAAATATGGGAAATAGCCAGGTTATTGCTAAAAATTATTCTTATAATCTAAATGAAGATGGAATAATAAAAGTATATATAATATGAAAGTGCTCTCATTATATAATAAGGTGTCGGAGGATATAGCAGAAAATCTTATGAGCAAAGGAATTAATGTAAACTCTAAAAATGTTTATAGTTCAAATAATACAGATAAAGTTATAAATCAAGATATTGACAAATACAAGTTACTTAAATTTATTTTTTACAATATGTTAAATTATCAGAAGCCAACTGAAAAAGCATGAAGAATATATAACATTCTTGGAAGAAAAACTTAGGGGAGAAAATAAAAAGAATGTTGCTCCCAATAATAAACATCAGCATCATAATAATAAAATCTTGACTGCTGAAGCATTTGATAATTTATTGAAAAAATTTTATGAAAATTATAGGTATATATATGTTTAAATAACGATAATGATTATTTTATGACTAGTCCTCATAGTAGTGTTAAGCATTGTGAAATAGAAAAAAATATTATATCAGAATGTTATAAAATAAATGAAAACAAAATTTTACAGTGTTCCAGAGAAGCTAAAAAGTTTGAAAATTGTGTTTTAAATATTCAACAAGTAAATCTTATATAATATTTATTTAATTAATCATAACTTTTTTTTCTTATAGACCTGATATTTATGAAAATATTATTATAATATACTGTTTTAAATAAAGTTTGATTTTGTGTGCTATAAATAATTAATTTGATAATATGATAAAGCATAATTAATCATAATTTTTTTAAAAAACTTGTACAAATTAATGATTTCTCAAATGCAGTAATTATATTTATATCTTGCTATTTGTATTTTTTGTCTTAGAAAAGGAATTATCTGCCCTCCAATGTATGGATTCATATTTTATAGGCCAAGATTTTTTTATAAAGGGAAGGTGTATAGAGAAAAATTTGCATTGGTTGATATTAGAGTTGGAGTATATATTTATTCAATGTTTTTTGTATTTTCTGTTTAAACGAGAATAGGTTGATATTTATGGGAAAAGTGGTAACACATATATAATATATTTACCCATATTCCATGAGATAGTTGTGAGCCCATCATCTGATGAAAGGTTATGAGGTTCTAAAATAAGGATTTGAGCTCTTTTTTAAGAAAAGCTGAGAATTTTATTTATTACGAATGGATGACAACCCTCAACAATTTAACATGTCTGACCTTAGGATTAAATGTTAAGTTGCAATTTGGGAAAATATGAGACTGGACTCACAGCTAAGTCTATTACTTAGAAAACTCTTAGTTGTTCATTAGTTAAGAGGTTCCATAAGTTTTTACTTGGGTCAGCTTCCAACCACTCATGTCCACTTATTTTATCATTATTTTGAATAAGGTGAATATTTTCAAGGGTTATCTATTATAAATACACAAAAATATTGGGTAATTTTTCTTTATATTAGTTTATTAATATACTTTACTTCTTCTATCGTTAAAAATATGTATTTTTTATTTTATAAGTTGCACCTTTTTTCACAATTTTTTTATGGGAGTTATGAAGATTTATTGAGAAAAGGAAATTAGTTTAGAAATAAAATAAAAATTGTACATATCTGTATTTATTTTCTAAAAGCTTAATATTGGCGGTGATCTGATACCTATATTTGGTATTGGTACATTTATCGTTAAAACATGGCAAGGAGGGTCTTATTCCGTAAACTATATTAGGTAAGATTACGCTGCATATTAACGAGTTGTATAATAGTCGGGAAAAAAAGAAAAGATAAGAGTGAGATTTGGGGGGGGGGAGCAAGAATTCCAGAAACTTTCATAGAAATAGTCTTTCCCTACTTGAGTTTACATCTAGAATTCAACACTAAAAGTATATACATGTCCTACAAATCTTGATAAAATAATATTTATTCCCGTCGATTATCATTTGACTATATTTAATTTATTTTATTTATTCTAATTATTTTTAAGATAATATAGTTTCATATATTGTTTTTAATTATATTAACAAATGGGTAAAATATTATTAATATGACTGAGTAAAAAGGGAATTTTTATAAAAATATATTTCATTATGAATCTATTTTTCTGAGAATTAGAAGGTAAACACGTAAATTTATATAGAGCTTGGCATGGGGAAAAAATTTAAGAACTATTAATAGCAATAATGAAACTAAAATTTTCCAGATAAATTATAAACAATAACATTGAATTATAAATTTATTTAAATTTTTAAAAAGTATCACCTATTGATTTTTAAAACCCGATTCGGGTCGATAAAAATGGCCAGATTAAGGTTTTAGCAAAAATTATATGTAAGCCTGGAAATTTTGTTCATAGATGATAGAAAAGTTTGATTTGCTAAATCTAGAAGCATATACAATATTCTTTTGACTAAAATCTCAATGAGGCTTTTAAAAATCGGGCTTTTTAACAACACCAGTTTATAAACCGAGGATTTAACCGCCAATGAAAATAAATATAACCCGTCGCTAAATAGAACTAAAGGTCAATTTATATAAAGCTAAAAAAATTATAAATTAGTTAATATTTAACAGAATGCATAATATAATAACGTCAGGTTAATCCGGTGGATTTCTGTTTATTTTGTGATAGAATGTAGTAAAAATATTGTTATAATATTTTATTAGATAATTTTAAATAAAAAATTCGTTTTTCACTTAAAACTCAATTTTCTACATTAAAAAACGCGGATCCTTCAAACTGAAAATGGCGGTGTTATTTATACTCAGTGGCATATTTTTAGGGGGAGGTTCAAAGGGGTATGCACATTTGGCTAAAAAAAATTGAACCTATTAACTTATAAATGTGATTTTATTAAATTATTCGATTTCTTATTTTAATGGGTCCTATTTTCCTAGTTCTGGAAATTTATTGAAAAAAATTTTTCGGTAGACAATCATCGTTCGAATTTTTCACAAATTCTTTATGAAAAAAAGAAGATTTCAGAATTTGACCCTCTGATTTGAAGTTCTTTCTTGGTTTTACGAGTTTCTTCAAATATTATACTAGTTACTTTTTAATTATTTCATCCTTGAAAGATTTATCCACAACTTTTACTACTCAAATAAGAATAGAATTCAATTAGATATATATTTTCAAAAATGGAAAAAAAAGTGATTGATAGATGTGTAAAAATAAAAGATTTCGCAAAAACCTTGTTGAATAATTAAAATTGATTTCAATTATTTATGAATAAATTTGAACCATTTCTAATATTTACAAATTATTTCGAACGTTTGATTAAGAGATAAAAATTCGACAGATAATATATTTTCCTTATTCGATATGAATATTCTTAAAATACAAATCGAATATCTAATAATGTATTTTATGTACACAACCATAAGAGTTTTAATATAGAATGTATTATGGAGTAAATCTATTTAAATCCTTTAAAAGCTCAGAATATATAACTTAACGCTCAGGGAAAAAAAATAGTGAGCGTTCAGAATTAATTCTTAATACTTACGGGATCAAAAAATATACTGAATCCTTCAGAATAAAAAAATGACTGCTCAACAAAACGTTTCGAATTGAAAAAAATGAATCGCTCAGATATATATACGAAACGCTCAAAGCTAGTCACTTAATCTCTATATTTTTTTTAGAGTAGTAATTAGACCCACGAAATATTTTTAAGTTACATTAAGGCACGGTTATAAACCGGATATCTGAACCCGGTATCTAGACCGAGTTTAGTAATTATAGTCTGTTACGACTTTCTTAAAATTGTAAAATATATTCATTTGTGTCTTAATGGTTCGTCCTAGCTCAACTAAATGAGTTACGAAGTGTCCAAGTTGCATAAAACATTAGTTAACTATTTTTTCGCCAACTAAATTTCGAAATCATAAGGTTATTCGTATAGTATTTTAATTGCAACACATAAGTTATGAAATTTCGTTTTATATGCTTGGGCATTAAAAAAAAGATTACTTTACCAAATTCGTAACTAATTTAGTCGAGCTAGAAAGAAGATATAAGATGGAACATTTTTTCCAAATTTTTCACTATTAAAACATTTAGATGTAATAAAAAATAGGCTAACTGAAAGATTTTACGATCGAAATATATAGGTTTTGATTGTCTGGACTCGACACAATGGTTCAAAAAATTTATAACTTGGACACGTATGCGTCATGCTCAAATTCGTTCAGAACTCCGACTCAAAAAATACATTTATTTATTTCAGTTAAAATTCAAGTCTCTCATGAGTTATGATTTATAGTGATGGATGATTAACAAAATATTGATAATCAGGTTGAGATTTGTTATTTTTATTTTCCCACCAGGTCCCTAATCTTACCCCGAACACATAATGGATGAGTAAAAATATTGAAGAGTTGTTTTTTATCTTTCAATTGTTACCCATATCGAACTTTATTTTAGAAATTTTTTAGCCCCCTCGATAAAACCGATGCCTAAGACCAGTGATGGTAACTGAGTTTAAAAATTATTTTTATTTCACTTTCATTTGCCTTGATATTTTTAAAAAAGGTTTATTTAACCCCCCCTCCCCTTAGTCTTGACTTAAGAATTATGGCCCAACTTAAGGAAATAGACGCTACAACATCTGATTTATTCATATTTATTAGCCTATTTATAATAACATGAACTGTTAAATTTGGCGGGTTATTTATAAAAATGATGACATTATATTAAAAACTATTTTTGATATGACTTAACCGCACTCCATAGCTCTCAAACTTTTTATTAACCCTAACCCATATATTGATTTATTTTAAAAACATTCCAATTAAAAAATCTTCAGTTGAACATTCCTTTTGACGTTGAAAAATTTTTTTAAAAATTTCCATTTGATACCTTTTTATCAAGATATTTTGTTATTAGAAAAAAATAAAATTTTACAATTTAATTTATTTATAAAAGCTAACAGTAAATGCCAATCTCTCCCACACAATTTGTATTAATAGAAAAAATATTGATTTTAAAATATTTTATTTATATCAATACTGTATTTTTTTAAAAATATATATCACATTATTTTGCTATAGAAATAATAGTGGTTATAATTATAATTTATTTAAAAATAAAAGATACTTTTAAAAATATTTTTTTTTAAAAAAATATGCGCATAAAAAAAATTAATAGCATATAGGCAAGGTTTTAAAAAATATATATACTTTTTGTAAATTTTATAAACTATAAATATTTTTACGAGATTGTTGTGGAATCATATTTCTAATAAATGCAAATTTTTTAAATAAAATAATATAAACAAGTATTTTTATATGATATTGTATGAGTTCATAATAATATAAGCTTAAATACAGTCTTCGGCTTATCATAATTTTTTCCAATGACATGATTATAAAATTATCTAGTAGTATTGTAAATATTTATGGCTTGAAATAAGTATTTTCATATGATATAGCATTTAGTTCGTGATAATTTACGTTAGATACAGCGTTCGGCTTGTCATACTTTCCAATGACGTTATGATAATACCTCAAATTGTTATTATTATCGATGCTGGCGTTTAAAATATCATCGTATATATTTTGGTATGGCGTTTGAAATTCGGCAAAAGATCTGGAATGTTGCTGAATTTAAACAAAAAAATTTTTTTATATAAGTTTTAAAAGAATTCGAATAATAAATTATTCGATTTGATGCCAATTAATCATGTGACACAATTGATCATATTTGAAATTATTCTAAAAATAAAACAATGCCCTAAAAAGGAAATCAATTTTATTCTTTTTTTCTTCTTAAACTAACCAAGTTGCTTAAATTTCAAGTTTCTGGGCCTAGATTTTTTAAAAAAAAATCTTTATCATTTTGTTCTTCCTTAATTATAATTTTATATTTATTGCTTTTATTAATAATTTTATTAGTTATATTTACTCAAATAAAGAAATAATTGAACGGAAAAAAAATAAAATTTAATTTAAAAGTTTACTTTGAGAACCCACTTAGGCTCATTGTTATATATGAAAATTCTAAAAAAAAATATCTTCAAGTAACATTTTTTTTTAAAAAATGATGTAATAATTTTTTAATTAGGATATCCATCGTTACTTTTGTAAATATAGTTTTTAGTTGTGAAAATCGATCAATAAGTTCTATAAAAGTTGGTCTGAGAGATGGAGAATTTGTCCAGCCTAATCATTAATTTTTAAAAAATTAGCATATATTATAATAATTTAAAAATAATCATATAATCCAAAGAAATTTTAAAATAAACGTTTATAACAACCTGATCCTAAACAAGGTTTGGTGGCAAAAAATAAAATGTTAATAATAAATATATCAAATCCCGATATGAAATCACTAAAAAAGAGGCTCAACTTTATTGGATCCAGTTTGCGATTCATAAAAAAAATGGCCAGGTCTCCTATATACTTTTTTTTTAAAAATGAAGTTTTGGTTCTTTCCGCTATTTTTATTAGTTCCGGTTCAAAATTCAAATTGAAATTAAAAGATTTTGTAAAAATTCTTATAGAAATTTTTTAAAAAATAAAAGCTTAAACTCACATTCTAACATAATTTGATATATTCGAGCTGATGCAATGTTGGGTTTAGGTAATCGATAACCATTTTGTAATAAATTGCATAGAGCTTTGTGTTTTATATTTTCGTAAGGATGTTTACCATAAGTAAACATTTCCCAAATAGTCACGCCTGTATTAGCATAGAAATATTATATTCGAATAATAAATACATTTTTTTTAAAAAATGAGTTTAATTAATTGAAAATAACTACAATAAAAAACTTATTTTAAGAAGAGAAATTATTTTATTTATGGTTGTTGCTTCCACCACTTATAATTTCATGGTAATATTTCCATTTTTAATAGTTTATAGGTCTGGCCTGGGAAGATGATGTGAACAAAATTTACAATATAATCTTAAAAACATTTACGGGGCCTCACTGATTGAGATAAGATAATTTGTTTTGAAGATGTTCAAGTTCATCCTCTGCCGTAGGTGGTATCCCTCGCTTAAATCCTCGGTCCTAGTTGTGATCTGTTGTCCTCTCAAAAAGGCTTAGGCGTAAGGTCCAGATGACTTTAATCTTGTTTCAATTATGGGTAGGAATGTCAGGTTGATAGGTAATTTATTCACCTCAGCGTCTTTTAGAGTACATTTACATTTCCCAAATTAGGAATTCGCTCTTCTTTCAAGTGATCATGATCTGGGAGTTTGCTGTCGAAACTATGTAGCACAGTAAACTCGAGAATTATGGTATACATATTAACATTTTTAGTCAAAAAATCTTCTTTGGCAACCATCGGTGGATTTTAAGGCTCTAGCTATAGTATCGTTGCATTTCAAGAGTCTGGTATTGTATCGCTTGCAATGCAGAATGGCGATTAGATTTGATCACTGTTTGGTAAAGAAGGTATTAATAATGTATTACCATTTAAATCTTAGATATGTGGTGTGAAGTAGCTCATTGTTGCTTAACAGCTGGTCAAGATTTCTCAATGGGAAGACCTCGAGATTCGTCAATATTACCTGATATACATCTTACCCTGGCCTCAACATTAATATCATTCGACTCTCATTAGCCCCTTTTTAAGGGCATCAATGCTAGGGTCAAGGAGAGGTATATTGTCCAGGTAACCTAGCCCTGAACATCGTCAAAATAAATTATCTTAGGATTAAATTTTCGATAAATTAGACCCCCAAAATGTCTTTAGATTAGATTTCGAATTGTAGTTACGGTCAACTAGAGTGCTCGATATCATCTAACCATTAAAAATGAAAATATTGTCATATATCAAAACATCAATAGGAAGTCGCGGGATAAGGGTTATAGGTGGAGCATCTAAAATAAATATCGGACACAACCATAATTAAAATAATTTCTCTTCAATATTTATTTATTATAGTCGATTTTAATGTTTTTAATGCCGTTTTAAAAAACAACAACTGGTTTAACTCTCTTCTCCCCCCCCCCCATATACATTTTAATATTTTAGAAAATTATATGTAATAGCTTTAAAAAACCATAGGCCCACACGTCAGATTTGTGAGTGAAGACAAGCGTTTTCAAGGTTTCGATGGCCAGCCATTTGTAAGGCATCTAAATTATTTTATTTTAAAATATAGAAGCTAGAATATTATATATTTCTTTCACTTAAAATGAATTTACTAATATATAGCGAATTGATTTTTTAAAAAAAACATAAATGTGTCTATTAATGTTGTTAAACCACCTGATCAGATTAAAATTTTAGCCAAAATAATATTATGTAAGCCTTGATTTGGCAAGAATAAAGGTCCAAGCCTTTCTGCCATCTATGAGCAAAAATCTCCAGTAACATAATATTATTTTGGTTAAAATCTTAATCTGTTTTTAAAAAATCGACCCGAATGCCGTTTAACAACACAAAATGCCAAATATTATTTTGTGGACACAAGAGATATATATATGCTTAAATTTTGTAAATGTAAAGGAGGATAAGGTTATATTTTTTTTTAGTTTCACTTCCTTTCCTAGAGAAAAAAGAAAGAAAGAAAAGAATTCAAATTGAATAATAAATTTTAGTATTGGTACGAATAGTAAAATATACTATTCTTATTTGATTTTAATTTTTAAGAAATATGTTAAAGGGCTGATGTCTTTAGATTAATATATTCTATTTATTTTTTTTATAAAAAAATTAAATAATAATGTATTAGAAAAATTTAGAAAAATGATTAAATGGATGGATGTTCTTTTTTTAAGATTTAAAAAATAGTGATTTACAAAATTTAACGATGTGATCATTTGGAAATTAATATATTCGAATTTAATTAAAATTATAAAACTTTGTTGCCTATTTAATAATTAATATAATTTTAAACTTTTCCTCCCTTAGACGCATACATATTATCGTATTCCTTCATAAGCCTAGCGGATCCAAAATCAGATATCAAAACCTGATCCAAAGAACGCACTAACATTTAAATTAAAAAAAATAATTAAATATTAGCTTGATATGAGACAATATACATTAATTTAAGAAATATCTATAAATTAACATGCTAAAAAAATCGCAGCTAACATTTTTATACATTATAAAATGAAGCATATCCATTTTCAATTAACGTTTACTGCATGCGATTTGGAATAGAAATAACATTTCCTAAAAAACTCAATCTAAATCTTTTACTAGGAACTTCCAGGCCACCCAAAGAATGTAAATTTATTCTGATTTACCAAAAAAAACATTAAAATTAATTATATTAGAAAAGTCGTTGTAACCTAATATGTTACGGGCTGCCAAATCTCTGTGAATAATGGAATGTTTTTCCAGGTAAGCCATTCCTTTGGCTATTTGTGTAGCCCAAAGAATCATATCTTGGATCAATATGCTCTGATCGTTGTCTCGCAAAAAATCTAGCATGCTGCCCAACTCGACCAATTCTGTCACTATCATTATTTCGGGATTCATGCATATCCCCAGGACATTTATGAGGCATTCGTGTTTAACATTTATAAGCAAATTAATTTCCTGCGATGTTAGAATCATTATAGCACAATTATAAAAATATATATGAGAATTAATTTTTAAATAAATTATCAAATCTCTCATCATGCACATTGAAGAATATAAGTTATAGTAATATTTGGAAAAAAAATGTTAAAATTTGGATGGGATGAGCTATTTAAAGAGAACTAAGATAACAGAGTTGTTAAAAGATACTTCACTAATGTATCTAGATAGAGATATAACTTCCATGATACAATTAAGATACACTTTTTATTTATTAAATCATTATAAAATGTGCTGTGCCTAAAGTTAAAATTGAAAATATATTATTGAAAAATTTAATTTGTGCAGTAAATCAAATATTTTTTTTAGTCAGTTCGATATTTTTATTTGTATGAAAATATATATAATTAAATGATTAAAAATTTTTCGCTTTTATTATTAAAACGATTTTCAAAGTTTTCTTTCACTTAAGCTTCCACGTTTATCCGCAAACACATTTTTAGCCACACCAAAAAGTTTTTCAATTGGTACACTGGAAGGTAGTCCAGTGTTATAATTTATAAAATATCACCTATATACTTAGGATCATCTTCAAATATAATAAAATCACTAACATGACGCTCATACTTAAAATAATCATTCAAAGTTTGCATCCCCTATCCATATCCTCTTTAAAATGTTGAAATAAAAAAATGTAATCTTAATCTTCTTTTTTTCTACGATTTTCTCTTCAATATTTTATTAATATTTGGAAACTTGTTATCGACTAAAAATTGTGTCATTAAATTTTCTGGCACTCGGAACCAAGTCCAATCAATTTTTTTTTAAAAATTGCCGATATTGTATTGATAGTTTCTTCTACATTCTTATTCATCAGTAATTATACATATATTAATCATCTAAAAATTTATAATATATAAAGAATATTATTAACACGATTTACCATATTTCAGTCATATGTAAAATAAAACCATTTTGAATATCGGAAAGAAAATATACTCGGTTATGATATTTAACAAAATTTAATTCAAAAAATAAGATTGTAACTATATTAAATAAAATTTAAAAAAAAAGGTATAATAAAATACTATCAATATTGTTATAAATGATAGCCGTAAAATATATATATAAGATACAAGCACAACATTTTGTTTTGCCTAAATGTACTTTAACAACTCTGCAAGATAGTAATAATGTTATTGTAACTGAGAGTAATTTTAAAATTAACCTTAATTTATGAGTTGTGGATTAAAAGGAAAGAATTTTTATCTTCAATAATGATTACGATTAGTATAAATATTAACAAATGGCCATTCCATGTTGAGTCGATCAAAAAAATATGATTTTCGACCCTTTTAAATTTGGGTGAAGCTTTATACGCCAAACTAAGATGCATATAACAAAAGCAGTGTTCAAATAATAGCATGTTCTTATATTTATTGAAAAATTAGAATATGTATTCTCTTTTATATGGTAATTATTTGTTCAAATATAAAAAAAAATTTGCAAAATGATAAATGTTGCATAAATTTGTGTTGTAAATATTATCATATATATTATTTTTCACTTTTAAAACTAAAACAACTAATTACATGATGCTATCTATCGAACAAATATTTAGTGTCTTTATCAATTTTTCACATGAAAACGAAAGATTGGCATTCCATTTTTTTATAAAGATATAAATTGATCTTGAAATTTACTTAAAGATTTATAGAAATCGGAAAAGCGCATTTCAAGAATTTTAAACTTTACAATGGGGTTAAATGGACCGGCATGTTAAAATAATTTTAAAAAAATAGAATGTGTACACCATTTTATTTTGATATTAGACAGAATTATTTTCACAATTCTTTAGTTTTTATTATATCTTTAATTGAATGACAATATAGATAAGAGAGAAAAAATAAGTCATTTTAAATATTTTGACCCTCGATATCCCCAAAAATATAAGAGCTGATGCTAAAATTTATATACTACTTTAGCTACGTGGACTTCAAGTTTGTATAAAAAATTTGACCCAAATCTATAGGGATCCCCGGTGTGATCAAATTACCATAGAATGATCCCAAGGTATCATCAAGAGCAGGAGATCATATTGATTAATGAGCACTGGTTAAAATTATGTGCATAATTATTTAAGATAATGGCAAATGACATGCGTATAGAAATTGATTTAAAGGAAGAAGAAAAAAACTTGTAGTATTTCTTCACTCTTTTTGTGGATATTGTCACCCATGATACTTTTAATAGCCACGGGAATAATTTGACCATCGGGAAATGTGCAAAGACCCTATTAAACATAATTTTATACAAAAAAATATTAATCATCAAGTTTGTAATAAAGGAAAAAAAAATACTTCAAAAATATTTGAATATGTTTTTTTGGCTTATTATTATATTTTAAAAATATTGATAGATTTAAACCACAAAATTCATACTAATATTTTCTTACTTTTTCTATTTAAGTCCTAATATAAATTATCTATATTATTTAAATCATATGCGTATTAATATGGTTTTTTTCTTCCGCTTTTTTTGAATAACGTCTTCCGGATTAAAAAATATATATTAGATTTACACTTCTGTAGTAATGTTCGACTAAAAACTTGGTTAAGCCATTTTGTAAGTGGGGTTTAAAAATGGAACGATTTATCAACATTGCACATAATTATGAATATTTATTAGAAGAAAAAGAAACAAACCTTGTGTACTGTCCCAAAGGCCCCGGATCCCAATAACCTTCCTAATTGGATGGCGTCTCTCTTAAACACGTTCACGAGCCTGGTCACTAAGATGATATAATTGCAAGAATATTTTTAAAAATTTTTCAACTAAATATCAATTTGATTTAGTTATCAAATATGAAAAATTAAAAGGGGGCTTATTTTAAAATATCAACTTAGGGGATAGGTGTATGATCGTGAAAAAAAACGTTATATAAAATGTGTATCAATAGAAACCTTCGCCATTTTGATTTTCGGAGTTTTGCTGGGAGACAAGATCCGGGCTAAAGGAACTATAACATTGATTAGACATATGAGCGGACGTCGGCAAATGACGTTTGTGATCGAGACGGCGGTGACATATGTAATAGGCCAAGAATATTAGGAATACAGCGATTATTATAAGAGACGTGGTAATGGCTAAGTAACTCGATCTGGAGAGAGGAAAGCTAGAATGGGTTTGGGAACTTTTGCGTATATGGTTATTAATTTTATTACTTTTAAAGTTTTAAAGGGATTTCTGAAGAAAAAAATAATTTTTTGGTTTTAAATTGCTTTAAGTAATTTTTGGTAGTGTTCGGGAAAGTTTCGTGTTTTGGGAGAATGATTTCATAAGACGAACAGAAACCGGATGCGTCCTAAGTCCTCATTCACAGTTAGCGCGAATTCGCAGGGAAAATTTACAGCTGCGTCCTGACTAGTATTAATTCTAATAAACAACAATCTGATTAGCGGTCTATATAGCTTCCTCTCAACAGAATGTTTTTTATTTAAAAAGGAGGCCATTTAGATTTAGTATACACTTAAAATTAAAAAGAATAGGGTGACCCAGTTAAAAATCTAAATAGAAATAAAAAAAGTAGGACGAACCAGGACACGATCCTATGACTTACTAAATATATTTTTTTTTGGAAAATGTGCGCCCCTGTGGATAGTAACTTCATCTTTAAATATTGAATAACTTTTATCAAATTCAACATTTTCTTTAAGTTCAGTTCTTTATTTTATATTTTATCATTTAATATATCAACGATAATACTATATTGTTTGGGTAATATTTATTTTATTTTTTTTTAAAAAATTAATAATTTAATTTTGTTTTAAGTTGTATCGAATTTAATAGCTTGTTTTTGATGTAATTTTATTTAATTTTTTCCAGGCAGAAATTTTGATTATATAAAGGAAATCGTTAAGAGGATTTTAAATTAACCTTTTATTACAATAATATTGTCTATTTGATCTGGTAAGTGAAAGATAATACCTCGGAAAAAAACTCTCAGCCATTTATATTCTGCGGGAAAGAGGGGGAAAAGTTATTTTTGAAATTTTTTTAAAATAATTATTGTAGTAATTTTTTTCTGCGACTCCTTAAAGAAAGTTGAATATCTAATATAATATCTATTAAATTTTTAATAGAGGGAAAGGGAGTAAGGTTGGTTGTTAAATCTTGTGTCCATTTAAAGTGGTAAATAATTTTAAAATTGCAATTTTTTCTTTCATAACCATAAAAATTATTTCTATGAAATATAACTGATGATAAAAAGCGTTAAGCACAATATTTAATTTAATTTGCCATATTCATTTATATTAATAGCATACATTTCCAATGCTATGATATAATTTGTCAATTTAATATGTGATAATATACATCGATCCTTTTTAGTCTTATATAATGTTTTTAAACATGAGCCGATTTTTTAAAACGGCTAATTCAATATTTTATCCAGAAAAATATTATGCAAGCCTGAAGATTTTGATTAAATGGCATTGGCAAAATCTCGAGGCTTACTTAAGCAATATTTATCTAGAAAAAATATTGAGTTAGCCATTTTAAAAAATCGACTCCAATCGAGCCGTTTAACAACACGAGTCTTATGATTGACTTTCTTATGGACATGATGAACGGATCATTTAATAGGATTGATTCTTAAGGACGCACTGGAACAGGACAGAACACAGGTCCGGACAAACTTTTACCGAACACTATTATTAAGTAATTAAATGAGAATAATATGAAAAAGAGCCATAAGAGGGGTAAAAAAAATTTTTTTAAGTTATTAAAGGAGTGGTATTCTTTCATGATAATTACTTGAAAATGGTTGAACATATTCTTTCGCCATTTATTTGGGACACATATGGAACATCCGCCGGACACGATATTAAGCAAGAAAAATTCTTAGAAAAAATCATATATACATTATTAATGCTATAAAAATTGGAATTTTATTTTACAATTCTTAGCAAAAATAATCTAATCATTTCCAGCCCGAGCTATTTATTGTTGTAATGAGCATTAAATACTGTAAAAAAATATCGTTACTAACGGCGTTACTTATAGTAATACGTTTCCTATTTTTGCGTAACTATAGTTGAGTAATCACTTAGCGGCTTAACCTACTTTTAGCCAGCAGATATATTAACTCAATGTATAGCGGATTTTTTTTGGCATGTGTATAAAAGACTATTTGGCCGATTATTTTAGCCACTATCCTACTCTAGTAATAAATCATATAAATGTGGCTAAAGAGCTAACTTTTTGAGTATAATGATTTATTCTGCTCGACAGCGAAAGATTCGCGCTCGTATAATCGTGCAATAATTTGTAAGCTATGCATGTATGGCAATCGAATGGTCCGGGACCGTCACAGCTGGCGCATTGATTAAAACATTTAAAGCAAAGTTTTTCTAGATTTCGCGATCTATCGTGAAGATCCAAGTGGGAAGGCCTAGGTATATAGAGTATCATATTTACAAAAAATTCTTAACCCGATTAACCAGATAATTGATTTTATTTTTTTTAATCATTCCTTCCAAACTTAAATTTATGCCTGATGTTAACTTCGACCGAATTCCTCAATTCTCGAATATTACTGTTCCTAAATAGGCTAGTTGTTTATGGTGTACGTTTTCTAATTACCATTTCCTCACCCGACCCCCTCCCCTTTGGCGTAACTACCAAGCCATGAAGCCTTATCCAATAAGATCATAATAAAAATTTTCTTTTGACTCTCCCCAAAACTTATATTACAGAAGCTCGCAATGGCGAATACACTCCATGGTAGTCGTTATTTCCCCACTCTATATCCGTATTAGTACTACCCGAGGAAAGTAACGATCCCTCCTCAAACCCATTACAATCTCGGATTTCCATACATTCAAAATATTACTCTAAACTTGACTGTTCGTAAAATTGAAATCATAAAAAAAATTAATCAGTACATCTGATCCACCCTCCTTCATATATTTTGAAATTCGCTTAAATATATCTGCAATAGTTTCTCTAACTTCCTGTTTTGTTTTTCCCCCTAGATTTGGACCATTTAGGACTCAGGAATTTAAAATCATTTTGTTTGACATTTTGAGAACATGAACAAAATTCTTATCATAACACTCAAACCCGAGATAATATAAGACATGGGTGGTTGGACTCATTTTGGAAAGTAGGACATAATAAAAAATTTGCACAAAATTCCCGAAGCAAAACAATTTTATACCTTTCCTAAGTAATATCGTTATCTTCTTCTTAGAAAACGCTTATAACTAAAAGGCCCAGCAATCAAAAACTAACTTCCTGTTCCGAAGTATCCAAAGAAAGAAAGAAAGAAAGAAAGAAAGAAAGAAAGAAAGAAAGAAAGAAAGAAAGAAAGAAAGAAAGAAAGAAAGAAAGAAAGAAAGAAAAAAAGAAAGAAAGAAGGTAATAATTAAAAAAAATAATGACTTACTTTATAACATTTAACAGGACTTGATAATGCGACGAAGGACATTTTTCTTCGCATTGATATTTTATCAGAGCATCCGATGTCCATGAAGAACTGTTCGATGAATCGATCATGTCTGTTTGGCGCGAAAATGGAAGTACTCTAACCATTTTGCAAGTGTGACATAATTTCGAAGCGTCTTTGCAGGATAAACAATTAGGATGACATCGTAGACACTGCTGTGAGATTTTTTTTTTAAAATAAAAAAAATATGATAAGCATAGTTCGGGACAGGAAGCGCGTTAAATTTAAAACGATACCATCTTTTAACATTTGCATCGCTTCTAACCAAACTGCGATTGCTTTAATAGTTTAGAACTGGAAGCGTACTAAATACGAAAACCGAAAGAGTATTAAATTTAAAAACCGGAAGTAAAAACCACTTTATTAAAATTTAGAAACCAGAAGCGAGGCCATTTAAAAAAATTAGAACGGAAAACTCTGATAATAATATATAAACGTTAATAAACAATAAAGATTTGTTATTTAAAAAAATTTAAATTAATAAAAAATTTCATTTTTGTAAAATGTAGCTATGTAATAATTAAAAATGATTGATCTAAATATTTTAATTGGTATATCATTTTGTTTTATTATTTATTATAGAGATTTAATCCTAACTCCACATAATAAAAATGACAACTAAAGCGGAAAAAAATATGGTATATATATATATATATCTTCCCCTTATCAAAAGGGTAGGTTTACTGTGTAATTGAGTAATACGAAAGTGCTTTGATTAAAGGCTAGCTTGCCTATAGTCCTATTCATGTAAAATCCAGTGGGACAATGGGTAATATTCATTGGTAGGCAATGCTTTATAATAAAAATGTAAAAAAAAATTTAAATGAGGTTATCTTGAATGTATTTTTAAAAAACTTGTAAACCTTTCTTCTTTCTTTCTTATATTATTGATATTAAGATTACAAAATAAAAAATAACTTATTATATATATTTCTGTAATGGTATAAAATTACTGTAATATTGGGATGTAGGACAAGAGCACCATTTTTGCAATAATTACATCCTCCGGAACCAACGATACTAGAAGGGCCAGAACAACTATTTTATTGAGTTTAAAAAAAAAAAAATTTTTTAAATAAGCTAGTTTCTATTTATACTAAAAATATTCTAGATTAATAATAAAAAAAGGAATATTATTAGTAATTCTCTCTAATTAAATGACAAAACTAAAAAATTACCTAATCCTTAAGAATGACAAAATTAGGTTAAACTTATGTCTTTTTCTTTCACAAAAAATATATATGAAGGACCGGATAACTTTTATAAAATATCACGTGATGGTCAGCACTGATTTCTATTACAATATAATATTCGATTTTTTAACATGTATTTATACAAAAAAAACCCTAAATAACAAGCAGCGGAACAATTCGTGCACATGGAAGAATTCAAGGGATAGGAGTCTTGCGGGCAAACAGCGAAGCATTCGTTTTTATAACGCACATTTTTACAATTCGTACAATTGGTAGGGCCGGGACCAAAACATGATTCATCCGAACATTCTGGGTGGCATGGTATACATTGGCCTTTGTCGGCTAATAAACGAATAAATTGTGATTACGTGTAAAGGAAAGGGTTACATGATTGATTTTAGCAATAGAACAGATTTACTGACCTTAATGTTCGAAAAATGAGATATTTTGGATATATATAGTATCATATATACTAAAAATATGGAGGGGGGATTATACTTTTCAATTCTCATTAGTTCGTTAGGGATAGACAAAATTAACTTCAATTAATTTTAAATATCTGGGGAAAATGGTTATATAAAGCCATGATTCAAAATTATTGTTTAAATAAAATAGCTCTTTAATTTGGCTTAAAAAAAATAATATGTAGTTTATTATTATTTAAAAAAATCCTGGAAAATACTATTGGTTTTATAATTCCGATTTTTTCTTAACTACAGTAAATTGAATGTCAAATTGAAGGATTATCTCTATGCTGTACAATAAAAATTTAATCATTTGTTCTATTTTTAGTTCCCAAAGACAATAGAAATTAGTTTCTGAAATTTTTTCGCTATTTAAGAGCCCATTTTTTCTGTAGTTAATCCTAACACCTCAGTTCAAGTATTAAGAGATCTGCGAATCACGGCTTGGCCTGTTTTAAAAAATAATTAGGGTTCGGGCTGGGTCGGGCCTAATATTTTTTAAAAAAATTTCATACCGGGTCAGGTCGGGCTTAATTTTTTTAAATATGATATCATTAAATTTTGTCAAATAAATTGATATATTTTAAAATTCTTGCACGAAACAAGGCGCTAATACTTTTTATTTGTAAAATATTTTTTTTACAATTTTTTTTTCTATATTTAAATTAATCGGGCTGGGCCGAAAAATTAGGCCCGATGTCACTAATATATACTAACATCAATGGGGTTTTTTTTGTCCATATGTTATTTTTTCATCTTCAATCACTTTTTTAAGCGCGTTTTTTTTTAAATTTAAAAATCTGATTTTATCAGAAATGTATTTCAGCCTGTTTAAAATATGCAAAATGGTAGAAGAAATCTTTATTTCAATATATAAGGAATAACCAATAAAAATATAATAGAAATATTTTACGTAATTAATTTCTGTGAGCTATTATGAATTTCGACAAAGAAAAGACTTTCGACTGCTGGTAGGAAAAGTTAAAATTGAATAATAATAGAGGGAAAAAAAAATTCTTTTATTTGTGTTAATTAACTGAAAATTAAGTCATTAATTTTGGAATAGATAATTGGAAGCGTTTTCAAGAGATTTTGTTTTTAATTTTATATTTTAAAGATATCTATAAAATATCATATTTAAAATTAATTAAAAAGTATATATGGTAAAAATTATTCGTAAAAAATAATATTAGAAAATATTTAGCAAAAAAAACGCCTTTCATTTCCAGACAGAAAGTTTTTTCAAAGCGGTTTTTGGGCAATGTTACCAGCAATTTTTTTTTATTTCCAAAAAAAAATGTTAAACTCTAGAATAAATTTATTTTATATAATATAATATTTTTAAAAAACCAATCCGGACCCACATTTCAAAACGCCATTTAATCTTTATTAAAATCAAACCAGTTTTTTCTATTTACGATTAAAAAAATGGGAATCTAGAAAGTTCTTTTAAAAAAATATTATATTATATAAAAAAAAATTAATTCAAGAAGTTAACATTTTTTTTGGAAATAAAAAAATTGTTCGCTAGTAACATTACCCAAAAAACCGCTTTGAAAAAACGTTCTGTCGGAAATGGCCTTTAAAATATTATTCATAAAAAAAATCTTGATTTTATTTATAAAAGGAAAATATATTATGATCAAATTTCATCTAAAAAATTCAAAATAATTTTGTATAAAATCTTTTAATAAGTAAATCTCTTTTGTAATTTTCATACATAAAAAATCTTTAAAGATAAAATAACCGAAAAATATAAACTCAATTCAATTACAAGTAATTACTTCCCTAACATCATCTATTAATTATTCATTTTAAAAATTTTCTAGAAGATATAACGAGATTATCCAAATTTTTTTGTTTTTAGCGATTTTTTTATTTTAGAAATTTAGAACGGGAACCAATTTTTCATTTATTTAGTTTTAAAAAAAAACTTAAAATATACGGTTTTGGAGTTTTTAAATGGAATTCAACATATATTATATACTAGAATACTTACCTTTAGAGTCTTCCAATTTTGTAAAAGTTCTAGGAGGACAAGAAGGAACGCAATTAAAACCTAAGCTTGTGTTTATCTTATAATGTAGGCAGGAAACACACATGGAATCTCCGGGTCCCCAACAGCCATCAACGCATTCCGAATGGCATTCTCCGCATTTATCTTGTAGTACAGAGGTTTCGTATGCAATTGAGGTCAGTCCGACTTGAAGCGAATAGAAAGTATTTTTAGAAATATGCATATAATAACGATTATATATATTTTTTCTTTTTTTCTTTCTAAGTAAAAATCTTCAACATCCCAAAATGCCAAGCGGTTTATATTTATAATTAGCTTGTATAGCAATATATCAAATTGTATTTCGTTGAATAAAAATATTTGAATTAAAATATTCGATAATAGATAATAAATATTAGTTCAGAAGCCCTGATTGAACAGATAGGTCCAAGTCGAGGCTCGTCAAATAATTCGGCCTTGATAGACTGGAACCTATTGAATTTTTTATATAAAGTTTTATTATGTTCCTACTAAAACTTCCATTTCAAATTTAAAACATTTTCTAAGGTTTCAATAAAAATAAAATACAATAGTAAACGATATCAAAATAAATAATATATAAGATCTTAGATAAAAATGTCCAGGGGATGGATGTTGGAGCTGTTTCCACCCAGATCGAAATCAAACTGAGCAGATTGGAAAAAAACATTTTCCTAAATCGAATGAACTCGGTTGAAAAAAATCGGAGGAAGGGTGACCAAGAAAAATTTTCTAAATCTAATATTCATTAGTTAATGAAGACTTAAACCTAAATAATCTAGTCTTTTAATATAATCTCTCAACGTAAAGCAGGTTTTGAGTATAAGTAAAAAATATATATAAGTTTAAGATAATTGGTAAACTATTTAAGCTATTATTTCTAACATATTAACCCTAAAACCCAGATCTTAATAAATATTTTCTTTCAAATTATATAAATGATTTTTCATATTTTTTTTTCTAAAAATTGTTAGTAAAGATGGGGGGGGGGGGAGGTTCTAATTTTTTTTATTCAGGAACCGGTATACTAATTGGCAAGTTTGGTAAAAACTAATAGATTATTGGCCGCTCCACGGTTTTCAAACCCTAAGTATTGTTAGATCGATTACAGCTAAGCCCTGATACCAAACTCGTGGACCGCGTTAGCGGTTACCTTATAGTTGTGATAGAAGGATACGGGGGTGGGGTGTATATTTAAAAAATTTGGTAACAAAACTTAATATCAGCCTTCAATACTAATTTTTGATAGTGTACAATAATTATAAATTTATCACTTCAAATATATTGGCGGCCATTTAAAATTTTTAAAGAAAATATTTTATTTACTATTTTAAACCAATCAGAAAAACCCCCATCGAACCGGAACAAGATATTACCATCCAGTGAAGGGTCTGAGAAAAGATTTCTGCTAAACTATATTTCGAAACCTCCTTATCTAAATCCAGCCAACAGGAGCAGTTGGTTAATGGGTAATAATAAAAAAATTGTGTCCGGGAGTATTTACATCAATAGTTTTTCGACTTGGGCATTTTTGCCCGGGATATTTTTATCAAATACATTTATGTCCGGGATTCAATAAAAAAAACCCTTTTTGAAATATCAAGCGTATAAAAAAATTTGAAGAGTTAATAATCATAAATAGTAAAGGGACAAGTCCTGTCCTATCGATCTTCGAATAAACCAGAACTATTGCACGGTATTAGCGTTACCAATAGGCCAATTCGGTTAAATGGGGCATTTCGATAACCAAGTTTTTTGTTACTTTTCAAAAAGTTACTATAGCTTTTAGTTTTTATAGGGGAACGCCATTACTAATGCCGTCACTCTTATCCAATGTTTTGGTTTATAGTATTGCATTATAATTTTTCTTGGATAATAGACTTTATTTTATAAAATAAAACATTAATACTCTTTCGATGTTGGATATTCCTCCTCCCTCCTCCTGTAAGTAAATGGAAATGGTGATAAGCGGTTTAAATGTATGATTATTGTATGGAGTAAATGGGTGACTGCCACTCACCCCCTTGTGAGTGTTGTTAAACGGCTCGATTTCGCCGCGATTTAAAATTAAGATTTTAGTAAAAATAATATTACGCTAGCCTCAAAATTTCGTTAGCAATTACCCAAACTTTTCTATCAACTGCTGCAAAAATCTCCAGGTTTACGTAATATTTTTGGCTAAAATATCGGGTTAGCCCTTTTTTAAAAATCGAGCCGTTCAACAAAACTAAAATAATTATATGTAAATTATATAATGTATTTTTATTAAATAAAGTAAATTAAAAATAATTTTTAAATATTTACCTTCCTCCAACTTAAAAGAAAATAATATAAATAAAAATGGTATAATCATTACAATTTTTTATTCGTTATGATAAATTAAATAAATACGAACCGATGCAACTTTTTAACCGATATTCACGGATAACAAACATGATAATAAGGGTTTGGTAGATTACCAGATACCAAAAAAAATAATAATGTAAAAATATTTATTGAAAAAAGAAAAGATAAAGAAAAGGGAAAAGTCCATATCAAAAAAAAAGGAAATCTAGAACAAAAAGAAAAATGTTCGATCAAAAAAGGAAAACGATCAATCAAAATAAAAAAAAAGGCGTCGATTAAAAAAAAGGAAAGACCTCAAATCGAAAAATAAATATGTCTGATCAAAAAAGGAAAAGTGTCAATCAAAAAAGGATAAGTAGCACAATAAAAGATAAAGGTTCAATCAAAAAAGGAAAATTGTTAGTTATTTTAGAATATTGTTTTTAATTATCATTTATAAATTCTGAAATTTCATATTTTGGCATCATAATTTTTTCTAACTTTTTGAGATGTCTCTTTAATTTTATGGCATTCTATTTTTTAATCTATTTTTGTCATCTTTTCTTTTCTTAATTTTTTATTTTTCTTGTTTATCAATTTTTTAAAAAAATTTTTTATTTTCCCTGTCATCAATAACATTTGCGAAAAATATAATTAAAGTATATATATACCATATTAAAAAATTAAATAAATTTTAACTACAATATCAAAAGATAAGTGAATATTATGCAAAACCCACGCACCTGCCCGGACCATAACTGACCGAAAAATATAACTTTTTTAAAAATACCATAGAATTCTCCAGCAATTGTAATGAAAAGCCGAGTAACAAAAAAAAATAGAGAATGGGAAAAAGATGACAGAGAAGAAAGACATTAGAAAATTTAAGATTATATGGGCTACAAGAACAAAAAAAAGATCAATCAAAAATGATGAAAATAAAATTAAGAAAATTGAAAAAAGATGTTAAAAATAGATTATAGACGATATAAAATTTAAGAAAGATATCCAAAAGTTATGGCAAAAAAAACAACTAGGAAAGAAAATTATAGATAACCAAAAATTTTTTAAAAAATGCCAAAAAATGATATTTCGAGATTAAACATCAAAAGATTAATGGATAGCGATTTTCCTTCTTTTTTTTGAATTGGAATTGTCCTTTGATTAAACCCCTTTATTTTCTTGAAGGACTTTTTCATTTTTGATTAACACTTTTCCTTTTTTGATTGAGACTTTTCCTTTTTGTTTATGGGAACTTTTTCCCTTTTTGATCTGATTATTTACTATTTTGGAATAGAGAACCCTGTTTTTTAAAAATATAAATTTATAACTTATATAAATGATTTTAAAAAAATTAATTTATGAAGGTTTTAATTTTCAAATATCGGTTAAACGTGCTCGTCTGATTAATAAAATAGAGTAAAAAAGCCATTCGTCATATAAAAAAAATCATTATCATGATGAAAGATTCTTACATATTCGGTCAAAATTGTGCGGTTTAACCCGCAGGCCGTTCCAATTTATGGTCCACGTGTAGCAAAGGTTCGAATTATTGGCAATCTTAATATTCCCTAAGCCGCCCAACTTGGTCAAACTTTTTAAACCTAAATACTCGATATTGGTATTTGATATGGATACGATATCGTGGGTCGGTAAAGACAGTCCTCGGATTTCTTTTAGGTTTTTGAAAAATTCCAAAGATTTCAAAGCTGAAGGTAAATCTGTGTAAAATATAATATAAATTGAACGATTCATTTTATAGCAACTACATTAGAAAAATAAAAATTTTATATTTTCGTTTTAGTAATCTGGATGTAGATCCAATTGAAAGAGAATGGGGGTGGGGAAGGGGTATATATTAAAGATCTGCATCGGGTGTATATATAATCACACCCGGCCCGAAATTAAGGCTATGTTCTTTTATTGAAATTTGCTTTTTATTGAATTGCTATATTTTTTTATATTTGAAATGCTATGTTTTTTATTTTAACGTTAAGTTTGTTTTTTTTAATTGCTATGCCTTTATATTTTTGTTATAATGTTTGCTATGTTTTTTAATTTTTTTGCCATGTTCTATCATATTTTGGTATACAATCATTAAAAACTGCCGCTAAATGATATTTGATAAAATTTACTTATTTAACTCTTTTAGAATCAATAAGCTTCGGCTAATCTCAGAAATAAGATAAACATGACAAGGTTTCAAAATTGCTTATTCATAGATGGCAAACAGTTTACCCAGAATTAAATGATATAAATAATAGATTGAGGAATATAAGCATGATACAGAGAGTGTCAACAATGCTTTGGTCATCAAACAGGCTTATTAAAGATATGACACATTATATGAAAGAAATTCCACCTAGATTTAAAGTTGTTACACATGTTTATGGCTTTATACTTAAATACAAAAGGAATTCAAAAAGAACAAAGTAAGTTTAGAATTGTTATTTTCAGCCTATCAATAGGTTAGGAAAAACAAAACTACATTATCTTTTGGTGATTGCATCCTAACTGATAAAAATATGTAAATTAAAAAGGCGAAAATTAATTATGGACAATATTTGAAGATTTTTAATTAAAAATAAGCTTTTCGTTTTGAATGTGTTTGTGTAAATATGCCAAGGATGGAGAACTCTAATAATTCAAACTATTTCTAACCTCTCATGGCAGCAAATGTAAGTTATAATATAATTTTTCAAAATTTAATCAGATATGCTCAAAACAATCAAAATGATTTAAGATCAAGGCTAGCTTAATCACTGCTATAATGTTAATCGTTATAAAAATCGTTGTTAAATTTTAATTTTTTATAGACATTTTTTTCAGGGTTGGCAAGTCGGTCAATTGACCAGTCAAATTCAGTCAATTGACCGGAGGAGTATTTGACCTGTCAAATACGGTCAAATACTCTAAAAAATTAAAAGGAAAAATGAATTAAAAATATGTACAAAAAAGGGAAAAACGATGTAAATACATGTGATCACAATGTTTGCTTATTTTTGTGGTCCACAATATCAAGAGGAGAACTCACTAGCAGTGAAATTAATGAAGTATGTGATATAATACAAGAATTAGCTATTTTACAAGGTAGTGATGACCAAAATATTTAAAGTGATATAATTAATTTTAGAAGCAAAAACAGCATGTTTAATTAGCAAATTATGTGGAAAGTAGTAATTTCCAGAAACAATCAATTCCGATTTCAAGTTAATAGATTAAACTTTGTCTACTCTTCCCAGAGACTAACAATTCCTAGATCTACTTCTTCTTTAGAAAGAAATAGGTCGATTTGGTTTAATATTCTTACGTAAATAGGAATCGATTGAAGATCTAAGACATCAGGAAAATTGATTAAAAAATCTTAAAGAAAATGATAATATTGAATATGAATCAGAACAAGAATCTGCTACAGATAGCTACACGTTAGTTATTGAATGACAATGAATTTAAAAAATTAATATTATAGATTCATTTTAATATTATATTCAAAATAAAGTTAATATTAACTTTAAAAAACTTATATTTGAATTTGACCACATTTGATCGGTCAAATATCGGTCAATTGACTGAAACGTATTTGACCGGTCAAATGCACAACCCTTATTTTTTTATTGTATAAATATAATTTAGTTTTATATATTGTGCAAAAAATTTGTTGAATAAATCATAATACAAACATGCTCTAGCTAAATTTTTCTTTCTTTAAAAAAAGTTCATAAAATATCTAATATACAATAAGTTATTTAGTTAGTTAATTGAAATATAAAATTAAAGTTAATTAATGTATAGACCTGAGATATATTCATATCATATATAGAGAATTTTTAGATCACTTTTTTAAAATTTGAAACATTGTTTTATTAATTTATAGCAATAATTAATTAATAGCATTTTTTTAAATTAATTAGTATTTTCTAATTTAATACATAAAATTTTAATTTAAAACACAGTATTTATCAATTTAAAATAAGGCATGTGTATAAAAAACATAGCAAAACGATTATTTAACATAGTATAATTATTACCTAATAATATATAATTTATTTTAAAAGGTACTTTCTCCGAAAATTCATATTTATTTATAAAAAACAAGGTTGTTTTTGGCATCATTCGTGTTTTTTTAAAAGGTAAAAGAAACAAGATAATTTAAAAAATACATTTAAATATTGTGGTAATAAGTAACTACCGAGCTACTTTCTCTTCTAAAGACATCAAATAAAATTAAAGAAAAAATGAGCCAATAACCATCCTTATCGATAATAAAATCACTTCCAAAAGGGTTATAAATAAAAACATGATTTTCGGATGACCTTGTTTTGAAATTTTTTCAAATTTAGTAAAGATGCTAAGGTTTGTAATAAGCTATATTTGCCCAAAATTTCAGCCTCCAAGTTGTTATACTTTTGAAGATATCAAGGGGTTAGAAGTATGAAAAATTGGTTGTTTTTATATGAGTTGTTTTTATTTTATTAAAGATTAATTTAATAAATTTATCGCATTTTTTGCAGAAAGATATTTAAAGATCCCATATAGGGGTAGCTCCGATTTTAATAAAATTTAAGCAATAGGGGAGACTGGGGTTAGGTAAACCCCGGGGCTTGGCAAACCACTTAATCTCATTTTAAAATTGAATATACCAGGAGGTTAAAATTTTATCGTTTTTATTAGTTTACATCTATAGACAAAAAATCTTTTGAAATAAATAATTATTAAAAATTTTATTTAAGAAATAAAATTTTGAGGTAACTATATAAAAACATAATTATTCCGGGGAAGAAAATAAAAAACGTCTATCTATGGTATAATAAATAATTTTGTACATATATTTTTAACTAGATTTTTTTTATATTAATTTTACCTATGATTATGTAAAATCTTATCTCTAATTTTTTTTGTAATCATATAGAATAAAAATTGTTAGAGTTGTACCGGGTTTAATTTTTACACGGATACCAATTTTGAGATCTAAGAATCTTAATTATCCGTCAGGGTTTAGTACTAGATCTTAAAAAATTAAATTTTTTAACCCTCTTATTCATAGAAAGTAAAATTTAATTCAATAAAAATATATTTCTTTATTTCCTTCTATTCAATATTTTATTAATCTATAGATGATTTTTATTTTTGTTTAATAATTTCACATATTTTAAATAAAATAATTTTTCGATTTCATATAAATTTTTATTATTCGGTTATGAACCGGATATTTGAAAAGAAGTGATTGGTTACAAAGAGGGAAGATACTGGCTCGCTAGGATCTCTAGTAATATTAAATGGTTTAAAATTTTAATAAAATTAGAGACTCATTCTCCTGTACGAAGTTTTTTAAATATTTTCCTGAGCAAAAGTTGCCTAAAAAATTGTTTTTTTAAAAAAATATTAAGTAGATATGTTATATTTTCAAAAATTTATTAATTACAAAGCGTGTAGTTTTTAATCAATCATTAATTAAATGAAACCTAAAAATCAATTAAAGAAAAAGAAACCATTTTTAATGCTTCTAGCCCTCATATTTTCAAAAAGTATAAAGAGCTAGGAGGCTGAAATTTTGCCTGACATATAGATTACACGAAACGAACCTTAGCTTGTATTTAATTATTCATAAAAATCGAAAAGGGTCGGTTGAATCGTGATCGAAATACATAGGGGTGAACCTTTCCTTTTTTTCTTTTTTCTACTAAACAATGCAAAGCATTTCATTTACTCAAAGAAAATTTTCCCTTAATTTTATTCAGAAATCTGCAGAAGTACCATTTGCAAGGCCCGACCCGGATTTTTCTAATTGTTATAGCTAATAATGGCGATTTAAAATATGTAACCCGGTCCTGGTATATTTTTTTTAAAAAAGCCCGGCCCGGTTCGGCCTAGGTATATTTTAAAAAAATTAATACGGCCCGGCGCTGCAGGTCTTTGATTTTATTATGTTCAATTATCTTAAAAAAAATACATTGAATTTTCAAATAGCCCATAATTATCCGAACGCTTCCCAAGTTCTGCTCCAAAAGATCCAATCCTCCTCTTCCATTCAAATAACTCGCATTTTCAAAGGATTCCTTCACAATATTGATATCGCCTAAAACTATTTCGCAGTTTTTATATGTTCCAACATCGGCAAATTTCATGTAAGAACCACCGGCACTGCAATAATTAGGGCACCAATATTTTTCCACATCGGGTAAATGATCGATCGTGTTAATCATGCCAAATTCTGAAGAACCATCTTTGAACGATTTTTTCCGGCAAGGTAGGCAAGTGTTCCCCGACTCAGTGAAGCCTCTTTGAATGGGACATTGATCTAGGCACAAATAGTTAAGGGAGTAAGTGTTGTGCGGACAATTGTTCAATAGACAAAAATCCTTGTATATCAATGTTCTGTGTTGTTGCAAATTTGGTGTCTTTTTGGGAGTATTAATGCCATCTTGTATGTATTTCAGGGCCAGATCATAGCCAGAATTAATGTTACAATCCATCACGCATTTACCACCAATGTAACCATTGTAGTGACTTAGAGACGATGATAAAAACATTGAATTATGACTCTTATCAGATAAATCTGTAAAATGTTTGCAGCCCAATGTGCAATTAGAAGGGGAATCGGTTGAGCAGAGTCCCATGCATTCGGGATTGCAGCAATGCCTTTTTTCTGGGCCAATGCAGCGTGACTTGGCATGACACAGTGAATGGCAATAGGTACGGGTCAGAGTTTGGCATACAGTGTGTGACCAGCAGTAGGAAGGGCTATTAAAATGCATTGAGTATTTGTATTTGGCCAAGCCATTCGAGCATTCTGAAGGGCATGTGATAGCCTCGTTATAGCATTTGTGGTCGTAAATTGCATTTACGTGTTGATTGGCAGGTTCACCCCATAAATCGTTCCACAAAATCTGGCTATCTATATTATAACAAAACCGTGGGTTGTTTTGAAAGATAACATTTCCTTTCAATATTTCGACCAAAGATGGCAGTTCTAAAAATTCCAATCCCAAAATAAATTCTGAACCATCTACGATTTGAATTTTTGAATTGTTTTCAACTATCAGACTGTAGCCATTGTAGGTTGTTACCCCTTGAATTAATTGTAGGTTAGGAAATTGCAAAACTTTCTTTGACACATTAATGATCATCAGATATCCTTTTATTTGGTGTATTGAATTAAGGTCCGAAATATCATCCTCTTCTCTTAAACCATTGATTATTAAATTTCCAAGTATTGTGTGACAATTTTTAAATATTGATATACCCAATAAGTCATGATCATCAAAAACATTCCCCTGACAAACTAAAATCAATATATTAAAGTAAATGATTAAAAGCATATGTAAATATATTATATAACTTTAAATATAAAGATTAAATTATTTTAAAATAGATATAATGTAAATTGGGCTCCTTATAGTTCTAACAATTTTTATCTTATAAAAACTTATGTGCAAATATTACTATAAATTAATATAACATTTAAAAGTTAATATTAGATGGCAACTTGTTCAATAAAAATATTAACTCATAAAATCTATAAACTATCCCTTTCAAGGTTTATTATAACTTGGTTATATTAAGCAAAACATAGTTATTATTCTTTTCATAATTTCCTGTTAAGCAGATATATTTGATACTTCAATTTTAACACCAGTGATTCATTCCAAAATAATAATTAATCCTAATAAAAAAAAATTTTTATGGACTATTAAATCATTTTTATAAGAAATAAAATTAATCTATGTATCTCTAAACCGATAAGAAAAACCATCATTTAATTTTGCTATAATTTGATTGCATGTTCTTTATCATTACATCATAATAATAAATAAAAATTATGCCAAAATATTTTCCTGTGAATTATTTAATTACAAATAGTAAATTTTATTATTCAGAATACTATGAATTATTCGATTTGTTTGAATAATGCACCATTCATTTCATATTCATTGAATAGGCCTAGTAAATACAGTATGATTTTACAAACTTTTATATTCATTAAATTTTCATATCATACAAAAAAAAATGTATATCATTATTTGGAAATTAGTTATCAGAACCAATCAATTAAAGACAGTGACCCCTACACTTTTTGAGGGATAGAAGCAGAATACCCCCCTAAAGTAACCCCCCCCCCATTGTAAATTATTTTTTGACACCAATAAATTTCAAAAATAATTTTTATTGCATCAATATTTATTATAATATAAATATAATGTAAAAAATATATGCTTTAAAAATATTATTTTTAAATTAATAATTTAGATAAATTAGGGGAAGAGAAAGCAAAAGAATTTATAATTTCATCAATATTTAATTGTTTAAATAAATTATTTTCCATTGATAAAATGGTTAAATCAATTAAGAAATGGATCTTTCATGACACTACGAAGTCTTGTTTTAATTTTACTCATGACCCTTTCGGCAGTACATGATGTAGTAGGAATAGTTAATAAATATTTATATAAAATTGTTAAATTTGGGAAAGCAGAAAAATTTATAAGCAGACGATAAGGTAAAATAAATGAATAGTTTCTCCAGTCTGAATCATTCATCTCAGAATTATTATCATCATCAGAAGAAGCTAAATAATGTATTAGTAAAAATATTTTAATTAAATAAATTTACAATTCTCAGAATCTGACAAATCTTCTTTAACCTCTAGGTCACGAGTAATAATTACGTCCCCCGTTTTAGCCATTTTATAAATATTTCTAAACATCAACATTTCCTCAAAAACTTGACTTGTATTTATTGATAAAATTCACAGATATCCTTGATATCATCTTTAACAATTGCCTTTTCCGCCATTCCCTTTGGGGTAAAAAATGATGTTTGACTCAAAAATTTTATCGATTCATCGTTAAATCTTTCACTAAACTGCATATCAAGTGCAGCATAAAACACACTGATTTTAAAGCTAAAATAAAATATTATATTTAATGATGAAAGTATATATATATACCTCTCCTTTTTGGATTGTAATGTTTGAAGTCTTGAACTTTCAAAATCAAAAGGTAAATTTCTCTTCTTCATAAAATCTTGGGCCTTTGAAAAGACATCCAAAAATTCAGTGTTATTATCAATTTTAGGATTATAAAATAATAAAAGATAATAATTTAAATTATACTTCTCATATTAATCAGGCAATCTTTTGCCAATTGAATTTGATTTATTGCAAACCCTATATCCTTCGAAATGGTTTGCAATTTTGTACAAGCCAAGCTTGTTATCAACAATATTTTATCCAAAACACATAGTGATAAAATAAAATCAAATTTTTCTATTCTATAGACTAGAGCACTAGCCATAGTGGAAGTGGCAGGATCTTCAGAATCCTTTAAATTTGCCAAAGCTGCCCTCAAAGCATCATAAAATAGGAAAAAATTTACAATGGCCTTATATGATGTTAGCCAGCTTCTATAAATATAAAATAAACATTATATATCGAAACAATTAAGATAATATTATCGAGTGGTATTCTTGATGCGTAAAAATCTATGTGATTTTGTCAGTAAATCACTCTGACATGTTTTGAGCACTTCATATCTTTTAACACCATTAAAATATACGTAAATTTCGTCTAATATTCCCAAGACATTTCGCAGCTCTTTTACTAATTGGCATAATTGAACAACTATTAAATTTAATCGGTGACAATAGCACCAAATAAAAGCTGCCTTTGGCGCCTCCGCTCTAATCAAAGCCTGCACTCCATTAATTCTTCCACTCATGTTTGAGGTGCCATCATAGCTTTGCCCCACTAGGAATTCGAGGGGTAGATTCATGGAGCCAAGCTTGGATATTATATTCTTTTTAATATCGAGGCCCGTTGTATTTCCCGTACAATAAATGTCTAATCAGCCTTTCAACGGGCTTAGGTGTCTCGCTATTTTCAACATATCTCACTATCAAAGCTATTGCTTCTGATTTCGATACATCATATGTGCCATCATCTATAATTGAATAGCACCTGTTGAATTCAATCTCCTTTTGAATTTTTTTATAACCATATTTTTCAAGGTTTCAATAAGAATATTTATGTTATTATATGATAACAGATTTGAATATAATTTAGATTTTAATCCCTTAATTTTTTTCTCACTTCTTCTTTCTTCATTATCTTGTATATACATTTTAAGAACAGGCTAGAATCTGCAATAAGTTTAATAAGGCTCATCATATTGCCATCTTAATTTTTAATCAAGCATTTATATTTTTTTTGGTTAATATTTTTGGGCATATTTTGACAATGATCTAGAAATTATAAATGATTATATATAAGATTAAATATTTAAATTTTTACTATTCCCTTTGATAAAATTTTAATTTTGCGCCAAATCTTGAAAGTGGAAAAATAATTTTATGATAAGAAATATCGGATAACAAACTAATTTGCTAAACATCGACCATAAAAAATTTTAAAAAAATAAATAAAAAAATTAAAAAAAAAAAAGTACCCCCATAGAAATTTATAGAAGCAGTTGCTTCGGACCCCCCCCCCCATTGTAGGGGTCACTGATTAAAGATAATATAAATCCATATTTATGAATATTTAAATATATTTTTATCTTTTCTTTATTTTGATAAAAATAAATAAAAGATGTCAATTTAGATATAGTAAAGCTAGAATACAAATCTTAAAATTTTTTCTTACAAAATTATTCCACAAATTATTATACCTATACTTAATATTATATTATTATAATAAAAGATTATATTATTGTAGTTATACTTATAGATTACATTTTATACCTAACCTATTAGACAATTTTATCATAAACTTTTGAATTTATAATATAATTTATATGTGTCATCCATAAATATTTCATAAAAAAAATGACTTAAAGATTGACAGCAAAATTGTATACAATTCATAAGAAATGTATTCTAAACATGCTGGAATATATTTCAGGCAAAATCAGATTTATAAATTTTAAAAAAATCTTATTCAAAAAATTATCTAAAGTTAAAAAAAAATAACTCATTGACACAAAAAACATATTGCCGCTAACATATATACAAAATTGAAAAAATAAAATATTCAAGAATTTGAAAAAAAATATTGAAATATATATTTTTAAAGATTAATAAAAGGATTAATGGTTTGGAATTCATAAAAAAAATAACAATTTTAGTATTGGTATAAAATGTTATTATTATTAAAAAATCTTATAAATTATTTTTTTATTAATTAGTTTTGTAGTTTGAAATTTACCAATGATTTGTAACTTATAAAAAAGTTTCATATTATATGATTGAATTAAAAAATATTTATAATTTTAAAAAGATTTGTGTAAAATATATGAGACCAGTATTTTCTTTAATACTTTAGACATCTTTTATATACACTTTAATTATCTTTGCTTTTATTTTTTTAGAAAAATACTGAAAAACTAATATTAGTACTATGGAAAGTATCTTTTTCTTTTCCTGCTATAAACTTTATTGTGGAATTATTTTAATGACCAACACATGAAGAAAAATACATTGTGAATATGAACTTAGTTAAAATTCAATGGCATTATGGTTCAAATTAAAAATCAAATTTTGTGGTAATGACTTGCAGAACTGCACTCATACCACTTTTTAATAAGAATAAAATAAGAGAAAAGTTAGTTTATTTAAAAAATATATAAAGAACTCAAATATGTTAATTTAGTGGAATGTGTTAAATTCTCATTTGTTAAACAGTATTTATTTTAAAACAATTACTAGATGTGTAAAAAACATTGAATGTTATTGATAATTATATTTCTTTAAAAAAAATATGTTATTACTCGATGTAAACAAATTTATGCATATATTTATAAATATCTTAGATATTTATATTATAATTTTTTATAAACCCTATATATTAAAAGTGGGTGTAACTATATTAAATTTAGTTTTTTAATATTATAAAATATTGTTAAGATATATTTTAAAGATATCTAAAATTTTTACCTTTATTGTTGGAATTTATGTCAGAATAACTTATTTTTATTAATAGAAACAACAAAATAAAACTTGTCATTACTACGTGCTAGCCCATTTCAAAAAATTTTAATTCCCATTGAAATCTGCAAAACTCGAAACATATAATAGACATACAAAATATTTTACCTGACATTTAATCAAATGTTTTATTTTAAAAAATATTTAATTTAAAAATAATAGTAATAATATAAATAAAAAACAACAGAAACATAAAAGGGATATATTATAAAATTATAAGTATGAGTATGTATGAATATTATTATTTCTGAAATTACCAAAATAATTTTCTTTAGGAAAAATTGGAAGTTTAGAAAGGTAGTTCGACTCTCAAAAAAGATCCTCTATAGTTTTAAGCCCCTCTTTAAATATCTATGTTAGGATTTATTGATTTTCTAAGGCTTTTTATTAATTAGAAAGTCTCCTCCCAAAAATTCCCAAAGTGTGAGTATTTATAGTAATGTTTTTATGTCGTTTATAAAAAATCGACCTAGTTTATAATTTTCCCATCTCTGGTATGCATATATTAAAACTTGATGAGTTTAATAATTGTGGGATTTTGATCATCTTATTATATATACAACAATTTTATAGCCCCTCCGTCAAATATTTAAATCATTACATTACAGCTATTAGAGGTAGACCCATTGAAAAACGAATCTAATAGTATTGAATATGATTAATATATTATTCGTTTTGTTCGAATACGAATAAAAGAATTTTTAGATTCGATTAATTTAAATATCCGATGAATTATAAGAATTAAATTATTAGACAGATATATTTTTTTCGAACCACATTATTCGAATATTCGGGATTAAAAAAGTTTTAATTAAATATAGCCATTTGTCAATTCTATATCAACCTAATGGTGATAGATTAACAACAGGGTATACAACTGCTTGTGAAAGCTTTTCCTAGCTAGAACTATTAAAATAACAATAGGAAAAACTATTTGCTATAAAAATTGGTTTGGCATTATAATTAAGTTAATAAGAATTTTAATTTCCTTATTAACTTGATCGCATGTTCTTTATTATCATATTATAATATATTTTTCTGTTTAATTAGATATGCAATAAAAAAAATTTGAATTCTGTCAATATATTTTGTATTATTTTTATTTGTTGCGTTATTCCTTTATCTTATTTTTTGTTTTTTGCATTTGAACTTTTATTATTTTTGTTATAATCTAATTTTATTTTATAAACGGCGTAACCTTACTTTTTTATATATTATTTTACTTTTTTGTATTTTGTTTTATATTCTAATTTATATTTTAGAAAAGGTATAAATACCTTAAGATAAGAAAAAGAAATTAGTTAATAAAATATATTTTTACTGACTCGAACCTCGCACCATATCGTCTCCAACCTTATTCTTTGCATGGTGCCCTTTGGGTGGTGGACTAGAAAAAGATGACTACCTAATCTGCTGAGATGACCATCTAATCTATGACGATTGCTTAATCCATTGAGATGACTCTATTTATATGACTACCTATTGTGACGATTGCTTAATCCATTGAGATGACTCTATTTATATGACTACCTATTGTGACGATTGTTTAATCCATTGAGATGACTCTATTTATATGACTACCTATTGTGTTGATTGCTTAACCTATGGAGATGACTACCTATTATGACTCTACCTTGTGCTTAACCTATGGAGATGACTACCTATTATGACTACCTTATCTATTGTGATGTTATGACTACCTTATCTATTGTGACTACCTAAACTACTGAGATGACCAAGAATCAAACCTTAGTACGTTCTTTCATGCAAAAAGCTTCTTTCTTTATGGTGTCCCGGCTCTGGATGTTGGACTGGAATATAATAGCCAGCACCTAACCTAATGTGACAACCTAGGAAGAACTGATATGGAAGTTGAACGATAGGTTATGAATTCTATTTTGTGAGACCAATGATGGTTTTACTTATTATTCTAATCCACGTAAGAAGTATTATAAATTAAAATTTTATGCCAGGATAAAGGCATGTTATAAATTTTTAAAATTACTAAAATGTAAAATCATAATGGATAATATTGATATTTTTTGATTTCTTGAATGATGACCAATTGTTGTAAATTAACATAAACCTAAAGATGAATTCTTAAATATAATTAAAAATATTAAAAATCCTAAACAAGAAGATAAAACTTAATTTTAAATATGTTAAAATGTAATTAAAACATATGAATTAAAAGGGATTGATTTAAATAACCCTTAAAGTAATACTTAATATGATAAAAAGTTTTTGAAATTAAAAGCTTTGAAGACAAAAAGTTATGTAAAAAAAACATTCATTTTAGAAAAATATATTTAAATTATGTGGTGAATTTTCAAAACTATCTTATGAAGAATTTTTTTTTTGAATTAAAATTAGGGTGTGAAATTTAAAATTTTATTTAAAGAGGGAAATGTGAATAATATTTTATTTGCATATTTTAACCTGGGAGATAGAAAATAAACAAAAATTTAATTAAACACTAAAACACGAAAAATTAAACGCTTATAAAATATAAAACGCTAAAAATATAAAACGCATAAAACGCTAAAAGTATAAAACGTTATGATTAACTTAATACCTAAAAAATAATATAATAATCATTATAATTTATCATTCCTTATTCTGGATTAAAATTTTATTCCTTATTACATAAATATCATTCCTTATTACATAAATTATCATTCCTTATTACATATTTTATCATTCCTTATTACATATTTTATTGTTCCGAAATTCAAAATTTTATTCGTGCATATTATTCATATATTTGATTTGATCAACTATTCCAAATTACATATTCTGATTTATTCCAAATTCCAATATTCAACTGGAAAAATGATAATTAACAATTGAGTACGATCAAACAAGCTATGATTAATGGAGACAATTATATGGATATCAAGCTTGTGATTAAACAAAACAACGTGCAAAATCGATTTATACAAACCAAAGATTGGACAAGCCAACGTTATGATGATTTGTGATACAACTTGATTACCAAAATTATAAACCACTTTGAACAACAAACTCTCTATGACTTCTCCGATGAAATTATCAGAAGAGGGAGAATGTTGCGTTATTCCTTTATCTTATTTTTTGTTTTTTGCATTTGAACTTTTATTATTTTTGTTATAATCTAATTTTATTTTATAAACGGCGTAACCTTACTTTTTTATATATTATTTTACTTTTTTGTATTTTGTTTTATATTCTAATTTATATTTTAGAAAAGGTATAAATACCTTAAGATAAGAAAAAGAAATTAGTTAATAAAATATATTTTTACTGACTCGAACTTCGCACCATATAGTCACCACCCATATTCTTTGCATTATTATATTTTAAAAAAGGAATTATTCGAATAATTCCGAATACAAATAGTAAATTTTATTATTCATACAAATACGAGTAGTAAATTATTATATTCGTTGAATAATACACTATTCGATTAGTATTCGTTTTTGCATAGGCCTAATTAAAGGTATGCAAATAACAAAATTTTCAGGCCTGGCCTGACTAAATCTGAAATATATGTTGTTGAACGCCAAAATAAACAACTATCTATAATATTTGGGGAGTGCTTAAATTAAACCCATTATATTTTATCATTTATGATTTACATAAAATATACATTTCAAAAAAAATTTTGCACAGTCTGGCCCAAAAAAATTTCCCCAGACGCACGGATATCGGGTCGGGCTTTACAGACCTGTAATACCTATGTTAATAATATAAAAGTCCATTTCTATTTTATTTAAATAAATATTAATAAATATATCATATATTAGTTATATAAATATAACATTATTAATTATATATTACTAATTATTTAATACATTATTATGTATGTATAAATTAATAAGTAGAGAAATAAAATATATAAAAAAAAAATTCTTCTAAGCAAAATTTGACCCCGAGATTTATTTCATTTTTAAACAAATATCAAAACAAAATGTCAATTTTTATAAAACGAATTTTGATTTAAGATATATATATAGATATAATTATGATTCTTCTCGTTAAATTTTATGCTTTTATATAGGGAATGATAATTTAATTATAGAAAATTTATAATAAATATATTATTCAGATATCATCCATTCTCCAAACGATCAAATGAGGTGTTTCCTTTCTCCCAAGAGGATACAAAGATCGGCTCCTGGGAAGACGATTTTGAGTCCACATTTTACGGTGTCCACTATCATGCATATAAGAATGATTTAAATTGGTTTGAATAAAATTCTCTAATTTGCTATCATCTGTCTGTGAATGCAGGGGATCGATATTTGATTCCTGTTTAGGGCTTTCAGAAGCATTTTTAAAAGAATCGTTTGCGCGTACTTCAGTGCCTATGAATGAGTTTTCGTTTGATTCGGCATTATCTATAATATATACAAAAAATATACATTTAATATATTATAAATTTTATGGTTTAAATATATAAATCTATTATTTCTATTAAATCATTTTAATGGTAGCTCAACTTAAGGAATGTTTATATGATGGAAATTTATTAATTGAATGGAGTATATATATATATATATATAAGGGCGAAATAGTAAACGTGTTATGTATTGACGTTGTGACAGCTGCTTACCTAATTTACTCTTATTTATTTTACGGATCTCCTCCCGAAACAAAATTTGACTAATTTCAATTTATTCAATGCAGAATAAATACAAATATTTTAATTCACAATAATAAAAAAAAATATAATTAATTTTTTCAATATTTCGCTTCCCTTTTATAGGGAAGCGCATAAATACAATTTCATAATGTTCCTGCAAAATTTAATTCTTACATCTAAAAATAGAATATCAACAAAAATTAAAATACAATTTCACAATGATCTTGCCAAATTTAATTCCTATATCTAAAAATTAAATAAAGCAAAATATTAAAATACAGTTTCATAATGATCCTGCAAAATTTAATTATTATACACGCGAATACATATTTTCAAAAATTATCAAATACGTCTTGCCACCTCATTCATGACATTATGCTTATGGGGTGAGTTATTTAATGCTGCGTTAATTACAAAATCAAGCCAATAAATAGGTATTCATATTGAAGAATCAGCTGTGATTTCTATAACGTGCAATAGCGCAAGCTTAAGAATAAATGTTTACTTTGAATTCAGCATAATTTTTTTAAAAAAAGGTAAATGAATTAAGGAATAGGATTAAAAGAGGAATAGGTTATAGTTAATTAAAGAATGGGCTTAAGTAATTATATATTAAAAATTGGTTTTAATAAAATTTCATTAATTTTATAAAAATTTCATTAATTTTATAAAAATTTCATTAATTTTATAAAAATTTCATTAATTTTATAAAAATTTCATTAATTTTATAAAAATTTCATTAATTTTATAAAAATTTCATTAATTTTATAAAAATTTTAAATCATTTTTTTTTAAAAAAATTGAGCAAAAATCTTTGTAGATTATTTTATTAAATTTTTTATTTCATCTTGAAAGATTTTTAATGCATGAAAATTGTAAAAGATTTACTTATAAAAGATTTTGGGGTAAAATTTGATCAAAAATCTAAGTTCTTCAAAAAATAAATTTTCGAACTGATTTTTATTAATAACCTGTCAAATTTCTAATCACGTTATAAACAGACTATAAGAAATTTTAACTGGTGAACTTTAATCTCTTGAGATGTTGGACCTAAATGTGCCTTTGAATAGGCCAAAATATTTTAATACAAAATCTCTCATAATTTATTGCTTATTTTTTTTTATAAAAAACAATCATAAGATCGGTACAGATTAACGGTTCAAGAGTGAAGATCGGTTAATAAAAAATAATATCAGTTCGAACCTATAAACCCCAGTTCAAACTTCAGCGTATTAAGATTATGTAAAAAAGAATATTTTTTTTAAAAATATTTTATCGCTGTTCTCCAAAGAATAGTATTGAGCAGTATACAAAATATTTTCGACGTTCTCGTCTGTAAAATTATATCAATAAGAAGGAAGATTGCTAACTTGGACAGCTGGCACCGCCAAATAGCACTATACAAAATATTCAAGTATAATTTCTGATTTATCTGTCAAAAATTATTAATAATTTTTAAAATAGTTAAAATATCAAAAGATCCAACCCGATTCACATGTATTTTTAGAGGTTTGGTTCAGGTAAAGGTGGCCAATTCTTTAATGGTTCAGGTTCGGGTTAGGCTCATTAAATAATAACGGTTAACATGGGTTGAACTCGGATAAACATTTGAAATGTTTGAAAAGATAGGAAAAATAAAATAATTTTAGTAAGGTTTTATTTTATCATACCATTTCTGTAATCTACATAGCCCTCACCCCCAGAAACTATAAGGTAGTGATGAGATGATGGAGCAGATGATGCTTTGGAGTCTTCGGTATCGGCTAGATTAATATTTTTGTTAAAAAAGCAGAAGATATTATTTTTTTTAAAAAACAGTAAATTTTTTAAAAAAATGAAAAATTTCGTCAGATTTGGTTCGGGTCCAAGTTAGAAATATTTTTAATAAATGAGGACCTGTCCAGATCATTTATAAATAGACATTACTTGTAAATATCCCAAACTTTATAGGATGATGATGGACAGTTATATCCCTATTATATATTTATTTTTGTTATCTAATATAATCAATCACAAATGAATAAAAATTCCTGAATTGGGTCTGGCTGGACCCGGACCCAGGGAAAAATCAAGTCCGGGTTCGTAACTCGAAATATTTTCGGGCCGATATTTGGTAATGAGTTTTTAAAAAGAGTCCCAAATCCGTGTTCGAAGGTCTTGATTAATTTATCATTATTGATTATATGTCTATCATGGCAAAATTATAATATTATTTTGTAATACTACATGACATGGGCTACTTGCACGTGACCATCCAATCTTAAAACGATATTTTATATCAGGAAGTTACAAATAAAAAAGATATGCATAAAGAAGGAATAAATTAATATAAACATAAAAAACCACATGGAACGGTGATTAAAAATTTGACGGCCTCTTTGTGTCCGTGAAACGAAAATTGAGCGTCGGCGAGTTTGCAATAGGGGACAAAATTATTTTCGGGGAAAATTGAAGAAGTCATAGAATCGACTGTCACTGAATGAGCTGAATTGGGAATAATAGAGGGCGTATTTGCTTTTTATTGGAAGAGTGAATTTATTTAATAAAAATAAAAAGTAACTATTATATTTAAAAAAAATTTAAATTATGAAATTTGATAGAGTCAAATTAAAAGGAATCCAGTAATCTTTTGGGAGGGAGACACATTAACGATTACCGGAAAATTAATCAGACTCCTTAAAAATGTGACCCAAGGCAACATAAAAATTGCCTGAGGAAATATATCGTTTAAAAAAAATTAATTAATTAAACCTGGCTGAGAGAAGGGAATAGAAACGATGGTCCCTTTGGCTGTTCCTACCCAAAGCCTATGGCAAGACACGGAAAGCGTAGTTATTCGGTCAAAATGGGAAAATGCGCAGGATGTTTCTTTCTCTTTTTTTAAATACATATACCGAAAAAAATTTGAAAATTTTATCAATTTAATGAAAGGGCGGAGGATTTCTTTCTTTTTTTAAAAAAAAATAGGAACCCCCAGATAGGTGATATATTGTACAATCTTTAATTCACGAAGAAAGACAAATAAGAATTTTGGTATAACCAATATTTCTATTTTATTATTTTTATCGTGATTAATTTATTTGAATACTTTTCAAATCAAGCTAACCTTCCAAAAAAATATTCACATTATAATAATTCTATTTATATATATATAAATAATGATTCATTGAGTATTATTTTTACAAATTTTAAAGACATAATTTCTCTCTTTCTTTTATTTCTTTTTTTTTCTTTCTTTCTTTATTAATGTTATAACTTATACTACACTATTATTTTTGGTATAGGTATTTTAAAAAACCGGAAATAGTATCGAGCAGGAAGGTTTGCAAATCAATCCTGGTTAGGAGGGAACAAGTAAGGGCGTGGAACAAGGAAAGGCAGGCGTTCATTCTGAGAGTGACCCAAACGCCTACGCCACCACACCATACCATTGAACTAGCGTGATTTTCGTCGCGAACGTCGCAAGAGAATTCACGCTTTAAAAAAAAAATTGTATGAAAATAAAATAAAGCCAAGAGAATGATATATTTAAGTATATAAAAATTGAGAAGGAATGCAAGTTAAATAAGTTAGTACAACCCTGCAATCACAGTTAGCGCGAATTAGCGGCAAAATAAATAAAAATACAGCATATTTTGTATACTTCGCTGGGAATTCGTGCTAATTGTAAATATGCGGAGTAAGAAACAGATTTTGGGAATCTTTTATTTTAAGGAACGAAGACAAATGATGGCACATGTCTCCTAAAAAAAATTAACATTGATGCCAATCATTTTTTAACTTATTTTAGAAACAAAAATAATTGAGGTCACACGTTATAAGATACAAAATAATAATAAGCCAAGTTTTGACTTTAAAAAAATAAGCCATTAGGACAAATCATTAGTGAGTATAATCATGCGATTATAATAATAGTATTATTTTTACAAACAAAATAAGGTAACTTAAATTGGTTTTAAAAAAAAATCATCCTCTGCCTAACAAGATTTAATAGGAGAAAATATATATTAATTCTTTTCATTTTATTTAAAAAAACCAAAATTTTTAAGGTTGAAGGATCAATGACGTGAATAGTGTTGAGTCGACAGGCCCATATGTACCTGTCACAAACGGAGATAATGCACTTGATAGATCCCGTAAACTGAGGATCCAGATTTAATTCCATATATCTTGAGGTGTCCCAGTGTCCCTCTAATTACGAAAGCATAAGTAAAATCATCAAATTTATAATAATAAATATTTTTACAGAAAAAAAAAAATCTAATCGTGTGTTGCAAATTCGCTGATAATAAAATTAATCGGGAATATAAATGTTGCTTCTAAGTTTAGTCGAAGTGTTCAAAAAAAATATAATATTTTAGGATATATACTAACATAATTACTAATAGTACTCACGAGAACAAAAAAATATTAACAGCTATACATTGAGAACGAAAATTCTCCCCATTTTTTTTGTTTCTCCCTAATAATATTTGGCTTTTTTTCCCTCTAAATATATAAATAATTATTTTCCAGATTTTCTAAAATAAAAAGTAGAGTAATTATATTGCGTGTATAAAGAAGACCTAAATTTCTTTCGAACACGGCGATAGTGGCATTAGCCAGACCCGCGTAAACTTTTCCGCAAAAATGCAAAATGGAGAACACAGAATTCTGCAGTGGTATGATTTTTAAAGGCTTGTTCCATTCCGATATAGAGGAATGAATGGAAATTCTTTTTATATATTTTTTTAAAAAAAAATATTTAATTAAGTCATAAAATACTAAATTAATTACGAACATTTATTAAAATAAATTTTAAAAAAAAAAATTTTTTTGTTTACAATCCATTCTGAAATCCTATCCACATAGTAGGGAGTAATGTATTCATTTTATCGGCTTCTTCTAAAGGTGAAGAAATTATTTCGTCATCATCGTTATTTTCACGCTGCCGATAAAAATGTTTATCTTGGTTTTGAGGGTCGTTCGAAATGTTAACGTTGGTATTTTGGTTTATAACAACCATAGATAGATTCCCTATAATATAATTTGTTCAAGAAGCTCATAAATTTTAATCATTACACTTCCCCTTTACCTTAAATAAGCTAATATTTTCGAAACTTCTGTAGTAGTACCACATTTCTTTTAGGGTCTATTATCGGTGACTATATCATGTTTTTACTACTTATGCGTCCTAAACGTTACTAATCGAGGGAAAATTAAAATAAATGCGCAGATGTACCATCATGTTACGTAAGAGATACGTCATAACTAGAAATATCAGACGAAATCAAAATTAGAATAGAAATGCTAGAAGATTTAACAATTAACAGAAAAACACTGCGAACGGAAAAAAAATAGTCACTAAAATCAAGGTATATCAACTATTCCGGTTAACTGCAAGAGGCACGCTTGGAGCAGGTGGATACCGGAATCTCGATCGATAATAGACCCACCACAAATTAAAAGTGGGAAATGTGATGATTTAAACAATGAAAAAACAAAATAATAAATTTGAATAAAGAAAATATATTTAAAAATAATGATGTTTTTTAGAGTCCTGTAAAGTCACATCTAGTAGATCTGCAAAGATAGGCCCGGCCCGTATCCGGCCCGGCCTGAACGGGCTTCTACCTGGCTCGGGCCTAATTCTAATCGGGTTCGGGCCGGGTCGAGTCGGATTTTGGAATTTTTTTTAAATATATTTTAATTTATCAATTTTATATTGAATTTTTTATATAAAATAAAAATTTTTGATTTTATTTATTGAAACTAAACGCCATATAACATATGTCTTTAATTTTGAGTAATTACAAAAATTAATTTCTATATTTAAATAAATTCGGGCCGGGCCGAGCCGTTAAATTTTTTAAAAAAAAATTCGGGTTCGGACCGGGTCGGCAAAACTTTTTTAAAAAAAATTTTGGGCCGGGCTTGAAAAATTAGGCCCGATGCAGATCACTAACATCTAGTGTTAAAAGTCACTTGTTAAAAGTAATTGACTATGCTTCACTTTCATCGTTAATTTAATTCAAAATGTAACTAGTTACAATTTATTCAAATCAAATAGTTACATTATAATTATCTCAATTTTTTCATGAGCTTATGTAAATTATTTGACTTACTCGATGTGTTAAACCAAAAACAACTTTTAAAAAAGAAAGAAACATTTACTGTTTATGTCAAATTATTTTTTTTAGCAGATTTTTTAAAAAAATAAAATATAAGGCGCGTTTTTTAAATTTTTAAACATTTAATTTTGCGGGTCCTGCATCTATAAAAATAGAGTACTTACCCTGTAAATTATAGGGAATTTCACCAAAACTTTGGGTTCAATTAAGTGTAGTACAAATTCAAAGGTCCGCGACAAAATTGTCGGCTATACAGAGGGTAGACACCTATATTCAAGTAGGAATTACAAATCAATTGTAAAGATTTGCTAAAAACGCAGATTTGCTAAATCTTTAAGACATGTATATATCTATAAATTTTTATTTTTCACAAATAATGATGCATATACTATACAAAATATATTTTATTTTTATAAAAAAATATATTAATTTTGTTTGGCTAATATAATTTACAATTAAATACAAGAAATAAGTTTTGATAAACCTAAATCTAAAATAAAAATGTTTTTTTTAATTTACCTAAAATTAAATTGCGAAGCTTATAAGATGGAAAACAATTATTAGTATCACAAAAATTTTAGTTTCAATATGATTGAAAAATATTTATAAAAATAATTCAAAACTGTTTATTTAAGATACATTCGAATAAAAAAAAAATTGTAAATGTAACTAGTTACATTTATCTATCGTTATGTTCAAAATGTAACTATTTATAATTAGCGTTCCTCAAAAAGATAACTGGTTACATTAACAATACAACACTAGTATCATCAATAAAATGGGATGAGCCCGTATCTCGAAAATATTAATGTTTTATATTTCATTCCTATTTTTCTTGATTGACTATATTACATTATAAAATTAATTTTAATAATAAGAAAAGTTTTGTAAAAAATATCAAGATTCTTTCTTACTTTAAGATTAATATTCATTTTAATATCATATTTTGTAATAGAAAGAAAAAAATAGATAAACATTGTTAAATTATTACAAGTTATTGCTGAATATTTATAATTAATGCGTAACATTAAAATAGAAAATAAGTTTGAAATATTATATTTTTTATAAAAAAAAATCCCAGAGCTCGGCCCAAAATAAATTGAGTTTGCAGGGTCTCTAAAATTAAGGAATAAAAAGAAAAATAAAAAATCGCGTAATACCTCCACTCACATTACGATCGCTTTTCGCGTCTTCACTCAGTTTCGTCTCGCCGAAATAATCTTTGTCGTTATTTTTAAGGTCTAAATATTCGTTTTCGGATACTCCGGGTACAGAAGCGATGCACAATATACTTTGGCAATCATGATCGCATTTATTATTATTATTATTACTAGTCTCTGTTTTACGCGAAAAGTTTTGCAGATTTAGACAAAAATAATCCAATACGTTAGAAGGGTCGGTGGCGTCGAGAACAAAAATCATGGGTTGAGTTTGATTGGCAAATCGATTGGCGTTATCTGAGAATTGGGGCGAAGATTCATTAACGTTCGTATCGCCAGCGAAATTTGTCCCATTCGTTGTTGGTAAATGCCGTACTCGTTGTTCCAAGGTGTCTGGCGTGGTGATGTCCAAAGTGGTATCCATTTGATCGGGGGAATAATACGTGGTGCATATCCAAATGAGTGACGAGTAATTCGAGGAAGTAGAAGCAGAAATAGAGGCTGATAGGTCTCTGGAAGCCGCCATATTCGCCTAATATTACATTTTTCAAGTTATTAAGATTTTATTTCTATTATTTCTCTTCCTTTCTTATGAGATGACGTAGTACAGATAAATTGGTAATTAAAGAAACTATATATATAAAACAAAATGTAAAATAAAATAAGGAGGACATATTTTAAATTTAATATATAAAAAAGGAGGGAGAAAAAATAAATAAGTACTTGCAGTTCCTTTTCTAGTTCCGTGAGGTAATCGTTATTTTCCGCGGTGTTTTGAGGATTGGTTAACTTATCGGCGGATTGAGTTTCGTTTAAAGGGTTGTAAATATTATAAAACACACTAGCACCGCATATTTTTCCTCCATCTTTAGTCCTTCCACCGGACAAATTGACACCCGAGGCACACGATATCTATAGAGTAGTTTTTAAAAAAAATCAAATAATCGGTCTCATGATATCTATCCATTTTTTTCTAAACTTTCTCATGCACCATTTATCATTACAGTTCATTCTTCTTCTATTTGTTGTGTAAATTTTTTATAGCTTACTTTTTATAAGATTGACGTTTACCTTGTCCGTGTAAGGTTAGCTATTATTTTATTCGCCACCAAATACAATGACCCAACCGATTACAAGATTAACTTAACCCCAAATCTAAAATTCTTTATAAACGGTTTCAAATATAATATACCTTGCATCCATTTAACTGACTTCTTTCGGATGATAAGGGTCGGCAATATATAGGCACTGGTATGGATATTGACGTTAATTTTTTTGTTTGCATCTTATTTAAGAAGAAAAATTTTTTTTTAATGAATGATAATTCTGGATAAATGTTTGTATTTAAATATGTGTTTACCCTCGAGTAGAAAATGTGAGATCTATCAAAAACCCCAAAAAAATTTTAAAAATTGTTATTCACCAATCAAAATCAAATATATATTGATCTGTTTTATTTTTTTTTCCGGTACCTTCCTATTTTATGACGTATTATTGAATCGTTTTCTAAGATATTTTTTTTGAGACTGCGTATCAATCACAATTTGAAATTCCCATAATTTAAAAAAAAAATTATTATCGAAAATAGGGATTTGAAGAGACCTTATTCTATCGCTCGCGTTATCACGCGCCGAAAAAAATCCGATAATCACAGAGGAGCAAAGTTCATTTTTTTCATACATTCTCCAAAACTTGAGCTATTTTTTTAAAAAAAAAAGAAACCCGAGGCCGAAATGATAGTTGGATAAAAACCCGGTTTCGCACCCTATTTAGCTAGCTAAAAAATGGAGCGGATCCAACCATACCACATAGTTTTTTTTTTTACTTGAGATAAGAATAAGGATTTAAAAGAATATAGATTTTATAGAAATTAGATTCTTACTACATTCGATGAATGTTTGGTAGGGTCTATTCTGTTGGGAAATATGAAACGCGATTGCGAAACGGGAAGGCTCCAACCGTAAGCCTGGAATCGTCTATTTTCGTCATTGCCCTTTTTGTTGTTTCTATATAAATATTAATCGATGTTTTTAAAAATGTTTTTCTTTTTTCGTTCTATATATATATATATCAGATTAAGTCGCTTGTAGACCCTAATCAAAAAAAAATTGAGTTGTTAGTGAAAGTCACCTGTTAAGGTTCAAATTGTTCCACAAACCAAAACTTTTTTGAAATTTCTTCGGTTTGTTGTGTTGTTCGAACCTGAACCGTTGACTATCACTCGATTTTGTAGAAACTATAGCCCTGTACGGACAGGGCCAAGTCAGGACCATTAGAAGGAATCTTGGCCTTTTTAGGACCAGTTAGGAGCTCAAAAAACTGCTATAATTCGCGAGGGCTCTCATTATGCCGAAAATAATAAGTATCGTAGTGAAAATTAATTTGAATTTAAAAAAATATACATAAGATTCTTTTGTATATCAATATTTTCATTACTTATCTTCCTGAGATGGGTAAAAATGGTTAAGGCCATCGGACTCGTTATCCGAGAGCGAAACTTGAACGCGCGAAAATGTATTTAGTTTATCTCTTTTGTGGCGTTCGGCTCTCAATTTCTCGCTTAGTCTAAAAGAATAAAGTTTAAATAATTAAGTACATATTTATCAGACTTGCAGACGCGGACTAAAGCCCGGCCCGAATATCCGGGCATGGCCGTATAATTTTTTTAATTAAATCGGGACTGAAGGTGCAATCTTTTTAATTTAATTTAAGCCGGGAAAAAGATTATTATACCCTAGCCAAATTTTTTAAAATTCGACTTTTATCTAATATAATAAATAATAAATATTTTTTAAAATTATATCATAGAATAAGTGAAGGTCGTTGTACGGTCTATAGTTCGGGCCGATGCACACAGACTGGACCGGACCACGGTACTCAGAAAAAAGACAGGCCTAGACCATGGTCCTAAAAAAGACATTTAAACGTAAAATTCTTTTCATGGTTATATTGCAAAATAAAAATGAACTAGAAATAAGAACGAAGGTAACTCCTCTAGAAAAGTATTATAAAATAAAATATACACAAAAATATGGTAATAGGACCGTATCGTTGACCTTCACTGCATACAATGATATATCACATTCATTCACTTCTCATATTTTTTATTTCCCATTTCAAAATCTTTTACATCTCTCGATATAAAATACTTAACTAGTTTATAACTCATTTTTATTTTTCAATCAAACACATAACATTACAAAAATTAAATATATTTATTTCACCAAAATGAACATGAATGTAGTTTTTCCTTGTTATAAAATGTATAATAATCTTCATTTTAGAATAGAGAAGATAATTTTAAAAGTTATTCGAAATTAAATTATTTTATATTAGCTGAAAAGTGAACCGTAAAATGTCGAATTGGCCAATAAAAATTTTTTAATAATATGGGCCTGGCCAAAAATAAGTAGAAAGAAATATAAACCAATCAAAAGTAAACTAGCTTATAAAATACAACTATTAATTATTGTTTTTTAGGAGGGGGTGGAAGGGGGATTAGTGATATGAAATTGACCCCATAATTTTCAAATAACGTGTGGAGTTAGAATTCTAGAATATTCTAGAACATACAAACGTGTTAATAATAAATAAACTATAAAAACTAAATATAATAATTTTTCATTACAAATCTCGGTCAGGTAATATGGATTTAACACCGGGGGAGACTCTTTCATTGCACGCGTTGTATTTGATGGTAGCCATTTTATTTTCGGCGTTTATCATGTTAGAATCAATAAAGTTTTCTTGTTGGGGGGCCCCGAAAAGTTGACTAAAGCTATCGTTCATTTTAATTTTCATGAAATTATATAAAATAATTTATATATCGTTGCTTACTAATCGTATTAATTAACGAATAATTTCAAAGGGTAATCAGTGTATAAATACTATATTTAACTACTCTTTAATTTATAACTTTTTTATTTTTGTTTTCTTAAACGATGATAGGGGTTCTGGTAAGGCCTTAGTATGAAAGATATAATATTTATAATTAGGGATATTCTATTAATACTTGGCATAGCCTAAAAGTATAAAAATAAGCTATTACAAGCCCCATATAGTTCCAACTCTGCCTCCTGACTTTTCGCTGGCCTCGTTCATTCGTTTGGCGCTCCCGCTTCGTCCTCTCGTTTTATTGGTAGGAGCAGAGCGATTAGCAAATTTTTCGGAACGAGCGGCTTTGATGGTTTCGGTCCACCGCACAGCATCCCGCAATTCCAACCATTTTTCCTTGTACTCGTTCCGTTCCAGTATAACCCGAGCCATCTCCAACCGAGTGAAACGCTTATTTTGAGAGCGAGCCTTTTTTAATAAATAAAATTTCCCCATAATGTTATTATTTAAAATAGGATAGGCCATCAGTTATTGGCAGTTGGTTATCAACCAATATAACTTGGTATCGTTAATATTCGGGTTCTAGAAAATCGATTGTTCACTTTTATAACATTATACGATATCAATAGATAAATTTTAATAATAGTTAATGGAATAATATGTTCCGATATCGTGGGAGGGGGTGGTTGGGGGGGGGGGGGGATGAAGAAGGTCAGAAACATTCGTTTCCGTTTTTCTAGAAAGGAACGCCTTCCAAAAACGTTATACCTAAAATGGGAGGCGTCCACATCTTCACATTTTCGTTTCCAGTGATTATGCAAATAAATTACAAATATTAATTAATGTTCATTTAATATTCTAAGGCTAAAATCCACGATCATGAGAGCTCGAAAATTTTTTTAAAACAAATTACATTCCTGGCGAGAAGCCACCTCTAGTCTAAAATATAGCAACCTTGGAGTCCCCATTAAGTAACGCTTTACTTTTTTTGAAGGGATAAAGGTAGCACACTTCTTTTTAGAGAATAGCTAGACGTGCAACTTCGCTATTTACAAATTTTACATAAACACATTATAAAATATAATAAAACTTATTTATAATTTCAAAATGATAATCTTCGCAAAATAATTAAATATTAAAATTTTTAACTGGAATATAAATCTAATTTATCAAGCAATTTAAAATGAGGCCAACAAATATATGTGGAAGAGAATGAGACAGGTGACAACAACAAAATTTCACTAGAAAATGATTTTGTTGAATTTCCCAAGCCTGCAAAAATATTTTCAACTCTTTAGGCTATGGGTAAAATACTGAGTTCGCCATTTAAAAAAATAGGCTCAAATGAAGCGATATTTACTAGTCAGGACCATGTTTCACAAAAATTGTTTTATAAAGTCATAACCAATTTTAAATTGATAAAATTCAGCCAATTTACTTGGTCGAATCCCTCATTTATCAATCTGATTAAGACAATGTCTAAATAAACATTTTTGAAAATTTTTGTTATAAAATAAATTTATAAAATTAATTATCACGTGGTTCTCACGTGGTAGTGTTGAGCGATTATTTAATAAGACAAAGCTTATACCTTCTGATCGCCGTCCAATAAAAAAAAGCATATATTTTACATTTTTAGTTAACTTTTTTTTCAATATTTTTTTTACATGTTCGAATTTTTAAAATGTGAATTTTATGAATATCGGATTAGATACAAAAAAAAAATTCTTTAATTAAAATAAAAATAGCGTAAAAGTAGCGAGGCTATTTAAAAGAGTAGCTTCATACTATTTTTTTGCCAAGTAGAGCCGTAGCGTGCTACCTTTAAAAGTAGAATGCTGATAAATTAAAGAAACCAACAAAAAAGAATAACATCTTCAAAGGACTTTTCTAATGGAAGAGGAAATTATTAAGAATGAGCCAATATAAATAGAAGAAATAGAGAGCCATCTAAGCAACAAATGAACTTTTTACATTTCCGTCTCTAAAAAATAACTTCAGAGAACATATGGTACAAGCTAAAATCATGAACTTGAGTTACTGGACTAAAATGTTTAGCATTAGAATATAAAATGAACAATAATAAGTTTTTTGAGGATATAAATTAATATTTGTTATAAAAAATACTAAGTAAAGAATCATTATTTTTATTTTTTATTAAAAAATTACAAAACTGCGATAAAAAAGTTACGGGAACGGATGTAGACGCGTCCCGTTTAATAAGGGGAATGAGACGAATAAATTTAGTTGGCAGTTTTTTTAATAAAATGATTTAAATATATTTTGAGATATATATTTAGAGGGGGAGGGGCTTGTATGGGCATATAAAACACATTAAACCTCATCCGAGTCATCTACGTTTTCGGGTTTAGAAATAGCTTGAGCAGACGATTTCATGATCTTGAGTTCGTTTTCTAATTCATCTATTCTTCTCATAAAATTATCTTTTATCCTCTGCAAGGATTCGATTTCCTCTCTCAGTATCTCTTGTTCACTAAGGTAAGAAATAATAAAATGATTATTATAGATTTTTTATATAAATATTAAATAATTTTTGTCTCTTTCTTCCAACATTTCTTTCTTTCATTCTTCATTTCTTTCTTTCTTTCTCTCTTTCTTTCTTTCTTTCTTTCTTTCTTTCTTTCTTTCTTTCTTTCTTTCTTTCTTTCTTTCTTTCTTTCTTTCTTTCTTTCTTTCTTTCTTTTTGTTGAAAAAAAAAGACTAACCTCGTTAATTCGTCTAATTTTATGATGAGATCATCCTTTACAATGTTCAAGGCGTTTCTATTAAACATTTTATAATAAATTTAAAAAATCAACATAATCTAAATGATAGAATACGTAAAAACAAATAAATATAACATCTATATATGGTTAAATAATCATATGTTTAAGAAGGGTCAAAAAGAGAGCCTAAAAATTAAAAAGTCTCAATTTTATTCATGGTCACACCTTAAAATATTTTTTTATTCTACCTAAACGTTTTCCGCTATTTGTTTGAGCCCTTATAAAGTCAAATTTAAGAAGAATGTATGAAAAGAAGTAACGAAAAAAAAGATATTGTTGTAACTTGGTAGCCAAAAGTTCGTTGTTTTCTTCTATCAAATTTTCGACCTCTTTGCCCATCGCTATATTAAAATATAATTTTATAATATATTTTGTGAATAGCGGGAAACTATAAAAATAAAATACAGCAAAACCCCCAAAGGTGACAATTGTGTTGACACCCTTTTAGGTCGGTTCCTTCCAACCCCATTTAAAAAAAATGCTTAATCATAATGTTCTAAATATATTTATCACTTATCTATTAACCAACTCATAACATCCTTTTAATAGTCATCTTATAAATTTCAACGTAGAAGAATTATATATTATAAATTTTACCGAATATATGATCGCTAGCTTTATATTTGTTCCCATCGTGTGAATTTTTTTTGGCATACAAAGATGTAATAATTTTTGAAAAAATATAAGATTATATATTTTTTTTGTAAAATAAATTCATATAAAGTTATATTTAAATGAACTTTACCAAAGGATCTAACACTTTGTTCTTCTATATTGTGCATAAATAATTTGTAAAAATAGGCATTATATTTAGTAACTGTAACTTTTCCCAGATGTTAACAAAATATATTTATAATTTTAAATTTTACTAAAAAACATAATTAAAATAATTTTTTATAAAAATGAATGCGTGATTATAATGTTACCAGATGAATTTTCGTCGTATTGGGCATCGTAGAGTGATAAATTATCAGCTGCGGAATAACCAGAATCTTTAATAAGGGCATTGCTATGATATATTAATAGCAAAAAAAAAATCAAAAATAACTATTCATAAATTATATATATCGGAAAAAAAATCGATAAATATTTTGGACACTTAAGAAAAGGTTCAGGAAGTGAATTAAAATTTCGTATTACAAATTAAATTCTTAAAGGATAATTAATAATTAATTGTGCATACATTTAAAAAAATAATATAATTTATTTCATTTTAGTGGTTAATTTGTAAGAATTTGATTTAAAAATGAAATACATATATGCGAGGTATAAATTATATACGAACTCTCTTCAACCCCCCCCCCCCACCCAAAAAAAAATAAAATAAATAATTATCTCTAGTAGATGACCTGATGGCACGATAACCATACTTTGGGCCCACGGAAAATCACTAATATGGGACCACACATGAGCCTCTTCATTCCCCTCAAACTTAAATATCAATCCACTAATGCAGGCAGAAAGTAAAAAGATTAACAAATATAAAAATTTTAACAACTTCATATTCACTCCAATAGTAACTTCCACAAATGTCCACTTTTTGCCATTAACATATAAGTTTTTAAAAAAATCTAGGCATTAATACGGCTCTTTACAAAACAAAGGCAGATAATTTTTATATATGTGCTAAAAAAACTCAAATAGAAATTTTAGACATATTTATGGTTCCTTTTTGGGAACTCAATTATAAAATTATATTTTTAATTATTATAGTTTTTTAATTTTTATAGTATTTTCATAGTGTTTCATAGTATCTTAATTTGATCTTATATTATAATATAAATTGTCCAAAACTTGAAAATAAATAAATTGAATGGTAATTTTATCCTTTATTTTAGTATTATTTTTTGTTTTAACATATATCTAAAGCATATATAACGCCGTTCTGAGACATTTGGTGGCCTGAGGTAAATTAATTCGGTGACCCTAAACCACAATTTATATTTAAAAAATTTTTGTAACTCTGAAAGAAAAAAAAAACTAAAAGAATGTAACATGGTAAAATTTATTTATTTTAAATCATTAATAATATCAGTAAATCATTTAAAAAAATAGTGCATGACCGTGTATATAATCACTCTAATTGGCTAATTACTATATTTTTAGTCATTTGAGCCAATTTTTAGGCTAAAAAAATGATTAAACTTAGTTTTTCCATGTGAATAATATCGTGTCTCATTTGGGATTACACTAGTGTAGACATATTCGCTAAATCTAACACCCAAAATAAGAAGTGTGAATAAAAAATTTAAAAGAAATACTCAGAGTTAAACATTATTAAATTCGTTCCTGTTCAAATATATCATAAAATATGGATTAAGATCATAACACAACTATAATATTAATCTAAAAAAATGAAATGTTAAAGTTGTCAGATGCTTATTATAAGTGAGAAATATATTATTATTCATTTTTTTGAATTTTTTTCGCTATATGATAAAGATTATGTGTATGAGAAAAATAACTGTGAGAGAAATGAAGCTTCAAATCGCCTAGCCATTATTGCCGCAAGATTTGGACTGACCTCTACATTTTATTAACAGCGTTATAACCGGCTCAGATCAAACAATTTTTTTTTTTTTAAAAACTATAATAAAGGTGTATAAATATCATAATTATTATTACGTTGAATCTTGAATGTTATCTTCGATATATGGCTCGGATTCCGAAATTCGGTCTTTCCATATACCTTTTTTTTTTAATTTAAAACAAAAAACATTTTTCAAATTTCTTATAAATTTAAACTACATTTTCTTTTTCATTATTAAATCAATCTTAAATTTTGATAAATCTGTTAGACTGTATCCTGGTTAGGCATATTTTTTTGATACTTATTTAGCGTAAGGTCCTTGAAATAGGACACCACCATTTTGGCTTGTTTTTAAAAAAATTTGTGGCACTGTTATTTTTCATATTTTTATTTCACATTTTTTTTTGTTGTTTTTCTTTCTTACTTTTTTAGATAGTTTCGTCGAAACGCTAAACAGCTGGCTGTTTAGCAATAAGTCGAACCAGGACACACAACTCCTTAACGTTTCTTTTCATTTATTCTTTTAAGAAAACTTTTTATCATCTAAAAAATCGATTCGTTGATAGGTATTGCAGATTTCGGTAAATAGTCTCATACCGAAAAATTATTTCGAGTTTATGTAAATGGAATTCGCATTTAAGCCAAGACTTTGGGCCAGAGATATGGGCAAAAGGTTTGATGTTGGTAGGATTTTGCTCCAAATAATAAAAAAATTTGAAATTCGTTTTAAAGATTCATCTTTTTTAGGTAGTCGTTTTGCCGTTTTTTAAGCGATTTAAAAAAAAATAAACTTCTTAAGGTCTGTAGAAGAAAATACACATGGGGTGCTTGTAACTAGAACTTGAAGAACAGAAATAAATCAACTCGTACTTCATTGGCTTGGAAGTTCTTCGGCAAGCGTCTGTAATGACAGAATTAGCCATTACCCACCAAAACTATACATCTGCTTGATTATTCCAAATCAAATGTATGAGATAAGGTCCAAGTTTATATTTTTTTTAAATGGGCATATTTACGTTGTCAAAAAAAATTTTCCCAGTATGAGGTTATTTACCGAACCTGGTTGCCAATAACCCTGAGTAAATTTTGAAGGTTAATTTAAAAATTTGATATTATTGTCATAATATATAATAAAAATATTAACGTATTTATTTTCTCTTATATTTTTTTAAAAATTAAAAGCTTTTACGATTCGATAATTCGTCGTTGTCCAATGAGAATTCTTGAGCCCTATCATAATCGCTAGACTCAAAAGCTGCGCGGTTAAATTCGGATATATTATTGCTCGACCTGTAGTTATAGTAAATTGATTTTTAATTATTTATTTAAGCCGGTAAAATCACGTAATAAAAATTGATTTTTCAAAAATATTTCGTTCAATAATAAAAAAATTTCCAAAAAATATGAGTATAGTGGCATCCGATCCGACACAATTTAACAGCTGATGAAATTTTAAAATCTGCTCATGGGATCATTTTTTCTTTATTAAAAATCAATATTTCTTAGTTTATTATTATGAATTAGAATTAAAGATTGTTAATCTTAATAAAGAAATTTTTAAATAGATCAGCTGTTAATTCGTGTCAGATCGGATACTATGAATGCGGCCTAAGGCATTTAAACGAAATACCTTGGCCTTTCAATGATGTCCACTAAAGCCGATGACATACAGCTGACTTCGATGTGTGTACACTTTTATAAAATAAATCGTCTATCTTGATTAGTATTATATGCTAAAGCATAAACTGGTCTATGAAAGCAAAATTTTCGACAAATAAATATTATTGAAGTCTCGGAAGTTTAGGTACCGTTCTAAAACGCTAAAATAAAAATCGCTAAAAATTGGGAATATGGATAATATTTCCTCTATTTTCGCGATTTTTTTTAAAAAAAAACACAATTTAAATACGAGTGTTTACTTTCCTAGGCATCGATTAATATTCATTTCAAATTTACTTAAAAAAATTTCTAGGAGCGAGATTCCCAATTTTTCGCGATTTTTGTTTTAGCAATTTCGAACCTATCCCGGAAGTTTTTAACAGCACTAGGTGTAACAAGGCTTATTGTCTTTCAATATAAACCCTTATTTTCCTTTATTAACAATGTCTAAATTTGATTTATTTATTTTAAAAAAATATATATCTCTGACCCATCAATAATTATTTTCTTTGTTTATTTGTCTTTTTTCGTTTTATAAAGGCCACAAAATTTATTTTAAAAAATTATATTTCTTTTAGAGAAACCTAGAGGAAAGATTTCTGACTCGTCTTCCAAGCTGATTTGTTTTTAATAATGGCAAGCCTGTTTTTTTTCCTTATTTCACTCAAAATAAAAATCGAAATACAAATTTCCCCTTAATTGCTCACAATTAAAAAAAATTATGGGTATAACTATTGTAGTCTTCTTTATATGTGTGGCTGTCACAATTTCTAAAACCTTTGTTATTAAAACGGCACAGTAAGATTTGGTCAATGAGTTTTGGTTTGAGTATACAGAAAGTAACAAATTTAATGAATTTCACAGATATTTTTCCTTAAATTCTAAGACGAGATTATTTCAGTTTTATACTTGAAACTGCCTAAATATTTATTCTTAGCTTTTACGAATTTTTTTTCTGAGCATTGCAGTTTTAATCCTGAGCAATCAGCTAGAATCGTTTTTTGGAGCCCGATCAGATTAAAAATTTTGTCAATTCAAATAATTTCGACTCTATTTTGTAAATTGTTTCTAAAGGTAAATTGAAAATATGAGAATCCATGTTAAATGATCTATTTCCCAATTAGTTAAATTGATCATTCAGCCTATCATTATGGCCCAGGTTTGAGTAATTTTTTTTCAAGACAGGACTGCATTTTTCAAAATCATACCATTTTATGACCTACAAGCCATACCAGATATAAGGACCGGGATTATAACTTTCTGGTCTCTAATTTTTTTTAAATAAAATATTATTGCTTTCTATGATTAAAATTTTGTCTCAGTTTCTGTTATATAATAATAATTTACATTTTGATAAAATTTAATTTAACTTTTTTAATCTATCAAAAAAATAATCAAAAAAATAATATTTGAATTTAATTCGTTAAATAGATAACCGAGTTTATTATTATAAAAACAAACTGGACATATTTTATTTTGCAATGGATATAATTTATTTGTTATAATAATTAAAAAAATATATCATAACTTTTCGATTTATATTTCTAGACATCTTTGAAAAGAAATCAAAAAATTTATATTATATTTTTTTGGCCACCCCTTAAAATGATATAAAAATTATATACGTTTTGACATTCATTAAATTTTGAATGATTGTTCTATAAATGAGTGTCAGGATTTTAATATATTTAATGATTATCCCAATATTGTTTATGATTAAATATAGAAGCCTTTCTGTCGTCTAGTGTTGTTAATCGGCTCGTTTTGAGCCGATTTTTAAAAACGGCTAACTCAATATTTCATCCAGAAAAATATCACGCAAACCTGAAGATTTTGCTCATAGAAGGAACAAAGGTAGAAATATATTAACGAAATCTCGAAGCTTCGGCAATATTTTTTTGGCTAAAATATTGAGTTAGCCGTTTTAAAAAATCGGCTAAAAACGAGCCAATTAACAACACTACTGTCGTCAATTGCCCCGTTAGAAAACTAGCATGGCTAGAAAAGTCTTTACAGATAAACGGGGGTGCCTTAATGATAAAAAATTTGAGAATGTTTAATTATTCAAATCCTAACAACCACCCTTTTTGTCATAGATTTTGTATATAGATGTGATATCAGCTCAATAAATTTTTTATCGTTCACTTCTATATTTGAATTTTAACAATAGAATCCTAAATTAAGCATTATGCATACCGTACATAAGAATAATAAAAATTGTTTCTGTACGATGTATACGTATCGAGATACATTTGTAAAAATGTATCTTATGTAGATAGATCTTTAGGTAATATATCTATATCTAGATACATTAGATAAGTATCTTTTAAGAACTCTGGACTAAATTTTAATATTTTTAGTTTTCTCACGAGAAGGGGGCGGTATTGTGATAGGCGTTTTGATTGTTGGCGTTTAATTTTGCCATAATCTTTGTCCTTTCTTTATAATCCAAATGAGTTTTGAAGAGCTTTGGTGATGTGAGAAAAATTTTTATAAAAATAATTTTTTAAAAATAAATTAGAGCATTATTATTAAGGTTAAATTTTTGATCGACTCTAAATCTAATATCTTGGGTCAAAGTAACAAAACTATTCAGCCTTTTGAGTTTGAAAAGTTGTGAAATAGATCCACTACACCAAAAACCTATATTTCAAAAATAGTGATGGGGAGGGGGTGGTTAATAGATATTGCCAGTTAATAAATCCCTATAAAGATTTATGTTAAAGTAAGAAGAGAGATGGAGGGGGAGTTAAAATAATACAGAGCAAGGCATTAATTACAAACTGATAAATTTTATGAGATTATTCAAATGGCTTTTAAACTATATTTATACAAATTACTTCCGAATATCTTTCGTGCAGTTTATTGTAATCCTTTTTCCATTCACTCTCTTTTTCTTCTAGTCGATTGGCTGAAGTTTTTAATTAAATATAAAAATTTAATCCTATAATTTATTTATTTTTTTGGTAAAAAAATATTATATTCTTATATTATGCAAATTAATATCCTCTTTTTATTTTTTTGTTTGAATATTAAATGATAAGTTACTTATATACTGAAGAGTGACCACAAAATGGGGGTTTAATGCATTATAATAATTAAATAACTAAAATTTCTTTGAGTTTCATTTTTTAATTATTTAAGACCTGGCCTTGCCCTATATTTGGATTCCAAAGACTAATGTAATATTAACTTATCTAAATTGCTCATTTGTTCCTCTATTAATGATAAAATTGAGGCAAAAAATATAAAATAAATATATTTTAAGAGGTCAACTTATGATAATTTCATTTAAGACTATAATATATTGGAATGCAAATTGTGATAACTCTAGTTGGATAATTACTATTATTTGGCTGTTTACGCCATTTTTAAAGGCTAAAAAATCATTTAACCAAGTTTTTTTTGCTTAAAACTATCACTTTGACCATAAGGTATTTTCTTAAAGATATAGCAGTTTTAATTTAAGATACTTAAAAAATGCTTTAATGTTAATATTAACAAATTTTTCCAGGACATGCCTGCAGATTGATCCAAATTAGCCAACCTTAAGCCATTACCCAACTAAGTGATAACAGAAAGTAAATTAACCATGATCCATAGAATTTTTGGATTTTAACTCCATGATATGCACCAATGACTCCAAACTTTTAATCCTGTCTTGTAGATTTTTCTTTTCACCTTCTAATACATCATCCAATTCAAAATATTTCTGATTTTTAAAATATTTTTATAATATTGCTGATTTATTTTTTATAATGTATATTGTAGCATTTTATTATATAAAAAGGTACATGAATAATTTTGATTTATAGGGAGACAAGTTAAAAACATTTAGATATATTTATTATTAAAACTTAATATTGTTTAACTAATTTGTTAAAAGATAAAATAATTTATAATGGATTTTAGATTTTAATTGTATACAAACTATTCATGGGATAAAATCAAATATTTTATGATTATAAAATGAAAAGGAAAGATTTAAACTAAATTTTAAGGTTAATATTGATTTTAAAACCTATTTATCTTTATATTGGTGAAATATTTATGTAGCATAATTATATTTAAATAACAATAAAATTACTTGCTCAATCGATCTCTTAGATTGTTTTTCCCTTTCATATTGTGTCATTAGTTGATCATTATCTTCCTTTAAAATTTCTAATTCTATTTTTGTTTCCTCAGCCTGTAAATGTGTAGTTTCAAGATTTTCTAGTAATGAAACTACTAATGGCATTAAACTTTTGACTACCTCTTCATCATATTTTCTTATCATCCTTTCAAATTCCTGATATATACCTCTTGCCATACTTTGAACTCTATCAGATACTACCATATGATTATCATCTGATATATGCTCTTCATCCATTAATTTATTGTGAATAAATAGATAAGAAATTCAATGTTTAATATAGCCAATTATTTCGTAGTTCACATTTTATTTAAAATAGATATAAAATAAAAAAATCTTGCTATGCTTTAAAAAAAAATTTCTTTACAAAAGGATCGCTGGTTATACAACAATAATCATATGTTATATTTTAGGATATTATGTATTTTTGAAATTCAAGTTATCTCAACAGTTTATTTGTATTTTATTACATTGAATCTTAAAATACCCTTATCAGTCACTAGAGAGAAAAGTGCATCACTCATGAGGGGGAAAAAATATTTCACGAGAGGAAAAAGTGTAATTTTTAAACACTTTAAGTTTAAGTTACTCTAATATATCTGTTCCACCAATAAAAAATAAAATATAAATACACTTTTTTGCCTTGTATAAAAAAAAAGCATTATCAATTTCAAACTAATCTAAAAAAGAAGTTGTGTAATATTAGTCTTCTTTTCCTGTCTAACTATATTCTCATGTGAGTAGTATAGAATATTATCCAAAACCTTTAATCCAGTCTAAACGCGAGTTTTTTAAAAAATATTCTAGATTGCCTTCTTGAATTAAAGTCTTATAGCCCAAATAAAAGTTTATAATCAAAATTTATAAAAATCATTTTTAGATAATGATTTATATTATTATTAATTTTTAAATAATAATTACCCATTTTTTAAAATAAAATATTTCTTGAAAAATTAGCAGCCATGGAATATAAATCTAATAAGGTGTTCATAGTTTAATTTGCAATTAATATACGTATATTTTTTTTATATTGAAAATCTATATAATATAGCCTTTTGCTTACCAACTACATTATATAAACAGAAATTTATTAAATAATATTCTTTCATTTTTATACATTTCTTTATACATTTCAGGCAATTTTCGACCAGCTTTGAATAGTTGAAAATCTTGGGTCGTAATATGAATGTCTCGCCTAAACAGGAGACCACAACGAATGCCTTTATCTAAGAAACAAGTATCTTTAACAACATAGCTCAACCAGGTTTACCTAATGGAGTGATTTAAAAATTTTGGGGGTTTCGCGCTCAGATCCCTTTTTCTAGGACTTTGGGAATCTTTTGACTGGGTTTCCTTGGCCTACATATAGCCAGAAACAGGAACGGACTGGCCATAAGACCAGGTGGGTATTTTGCCTACAAGGCCACGAGAAAATGTCAATTGAGACCCAGAGAAAAATAACAAAAAATAGGCCGATTAGAAAAAAAGAATATTATTATGTTTACATTATTATCTCATATCATTTAATTATTTTTAATAATACTCTATTATTTGATTATCACATTCCTTGAGAATTATCATGTCGTTTACTATATTTAATGCATAAAATATCAATAACTGTAGCTATACTTTATTACCACGTGTTCAAATGAATTAAAAACCAAGGGCGTCGCTATCCTTTACAATCTCAGGGGGCTCAAATTTTTATGTAACTCTAAATAATTATTCTGAATGTCATTTATTATATTTTGCATGCAAAATAAATTAGCATATAAATCATTAAAATAATACAAGACATTTCTAAAAATAATATTTTTTAATACAAAATGTATTTATTACAGTATAAAATATTTTCGATTGTTGATATAAAAAAATTTTGCGTCTAAAGAATTATAAATGATAAAAAAAGGTTAATTAATATATATATATGTCTCAATTGATAATGGTTTTTGAAAACTAGATAATATAATATAATCTTAGCAACTTACATTGACGAAAGGTCATGAAACTAATATAGCTCTATATTATAATTTAAGACAATGTTTTATAGAATGGACTAATAAGAAATAATTTATAGACCTTACCAAATCAACAATTCTTGAAGAAGAGAATATAAATGACCAATCCAAATCATAAAACTATATGGTGGATAGAGCTTCCTCTTAGATGACATGATGGACTAGACAGCGTCTACATGACAGGATTTTCACTGGATGCTAGTGTTGTTAAATGGCTCAATTCGAGCCGATTTTTAAAACGGCTAACTCAATAATTTATCCAGAAAAATATTATGCAAGCTTAGAGATTTTGCTCATAGATGGCACATAGTATTGAACATCTATTGGCGAAATCTCGACAATTAGGCAATATTTTCCTGGCTATAATTTTGAGTTAGCCGTTTTTAAAAATCGGCTAAAATCGAGCCGTTTAACAACACTACTGGATGCAAACCCCATTCAAAAACCTTTGCCTACCCCTCTAAAAAATCCCCGCCGCCTTCGGCGGCGATGTCTCTTTATCATTATTTTCACCTATTTATTTATTGATACTCTTTTCAAAGAATTTATAAAAAATAACTTAAATTAATCTACCTCTACTACCAACTATCGATATTTTATGAATATAAATAATTTATTTTTTAGATAATAAATTCAATTAAAACTTCCATTATTTACAATGATCTTAAAATTTAATAGATAACCCCCAAAAAAATTTATCCTACCCCAACTAAAGAAGCTTACCCCATACCCACTCAAAAAAATAGGATGCAAACTGTTCCTACCCCTCCCGCTCATGTAGACGCTGTAGCTAGATAAGTAATCGAGAAATTATTGTATAATATTAAATTTCTAAAAGATTATCTTCCATTTTTAATGATATATAAGCGACTACAAAGTTGACCATTATTGCTTATCTAAAATATGCGATCATATGCTCTCAGCAGCTTTAGTAACAATCTGAAATTACATAGCCACACAAATAATAGATGCTGGTTAACTTGCAGTCCTAGCCATGACACTCACGATGGTAACCCATAGATAAATTGATAAAACAAAAACACTAAAAACCTTTAGAAGAAATTATGCAAATATATTGAAGCCTTGAGTTATTTACACGTCAAAAATGCCATATTAGAAATGAAACATTTTGTAACTACAAAATAAGAAGTAGAGCGATATCCTGAAAGCAATTAAGATTTTATATATTATTGTCGCACCATCTCTAGTTGGTATATTATATCTTAAAATAATAGTAGTTTATAATGATATTAAAAATATATCCGTATTAAAAATTTAACTCAAATCTATATTACGAAGAAGAAAAAAATATCTTTCCTAAAAAGACGTAAAAAGATATTTACATACATTGTGGGACTGGGATGAATAATAATACATTTAAATATAAATATATTGTAAATAAATAGATGGCGTTAAATATTTGTAAACAAATTGTTACTTATATTTATTATCAAAAGCATTTATTAGTAAAATTTTAGAAATATTAACTGTAATATAATATATAAATGTCAGATACGTCTGTAAAAGTGGCATTTTACCTAATATTTTATAAAAAATTATATATAATAGAGGATTATAAATTCTATGTCTACTTACTTTTTATAAATAAATCTCTTATACTTATTTGGATTTGGACCTTGAAAATAATTTTAGGAAGAGACATGATAATTTAAAAATCAATAATATAGTTGATTAGTGATTTTGAACTCGGCTAAAATATTAAATTATTAATTTTCAATTAATAAATGATTATATTTATTTAATTAGGGTTATATAATAGTTTAAATAATAAAAGTCAATTAAGCTTCAACTGTTAATGCTAAATTAATATTTAGTGATTGATATTGTTATATTTTTAATATAGAATTTGATTACAAGCTGACATAGTATAATTTATATGTAATAATCTAATCTAATAATTAAAATAGTATTCATTTCAGAGTTGTACAAAAGATCTTCTTTGAAGATTTTTGAGCGAGATCTAGCTCAAAAATTTGAGCAAGATCTTTGAAGATCGTAAAATTTGAAGATCTTTTATTTTTTAAAAATTTTGTGTAACGATCTTCAAAGATCTTCATGATATTTATTTTTTTACCCCTTTATTAAAAGCCCAGATGTTTTTCAATTTTCATCAAGGCAGGAGGAGAGGTATAAAACATAAAAGAAATATTATAATAATAAAATTGAAAAACATCTGGGTTTTTAATAAAGGGGTAAAAAAATAAATATCATGAAGATCTTTGAAGATCGTTGATCGCAGCGATCTTTGAAGATCGTTACACAAAATTTTTAAAAAATAAAAGATCTTCAAATTTTACGATCTTCAAAGATCTAGATGATCTTTGTTCTTTTTATTTTGAGCAAATGTACAACTCTGATTCATTTAATAAAAATTAAGATAGTCTTATTAATTTTTTAATAAAATTAAATCTATATATTACTCAATAGAATTTTAAAAGAAATTATTCAGAGGGCAATCAAAACATTTATTTTTAGTTCAAGGGGATATTAAGGAGCCATTAAAAAAAAAATTTTGCTTCAGGGAGCTATTCAAACTTTTCAGGGGGCTCGAGCCCCTGCGCCCCCCCCCTAGCGACGCCACTGGTGAAAACGCTTCTGTTTGTGTAGAGTGAACGCTAAGTTTTAATTAATTTATTAAATTATATTTTTATACATTGATTTATTGTAGAAATAATATAGCCAACATTTCTTGTTCTTAATTCATTGAAATTAAATAAAACGCAGGTCGATGTATTATATAAAAGGATGGATGCTTGGGTGAAACACAATAATTCATCTGACCAAAATAAGTTGAGAAGGCTGCAAAAAATAAGTGAGATAAGGTGGTGGGCACGTAAAAAAGCCCTTAGATGGATATATGTCAAAAAGACCTTGCTCCCAATAACGATAAACGCACTTCAATTTATAATAAATAATAAATCAATTGAGGCAAAAACTCGATAATTATGTAAATTTAAGACTCTAAGTATTAAATCTTCAAACTAAAAATTTAAATATTTTATCAGCATGGAAAATGATAGAAGATGCCAAGTCTTCTGTATCATCGATAACTATTACAACGATTCAAATATAAACAATAAAAATGGCTTCTAATTTAAATAAAACACTTTCATATTTAAAGCTTCCGGAGAATATTTGGGTACAGAATGCTCTGCCAAAAAATTGAATAGGACGAGTGAAGAGAATATATAAGGATGAAGGACAAGATGAACTTCCTCAAGAATCGATTGACCTTTATAGATTCGAAGTATTTCGTCCTATAATTGATCAAATTATAAACAGCTTGTCAGAACGGCTTTTTGATTATTTTGAATGGGAAATATTTGCATCCAAGACATTTTGATGAAGATGAAATAAATGTAAAACTATTTCTGAAAATCTTGGAAAACTGGCACATTTGCCATATATATTGAGTGTTAAATTACATAACGAATTGTGTTCATTTGCCAGTGTGTTCAAAGATTTAATAGCAGAATTAAATATATCGTATTTACAAGTGAGGAGTCAAATTATGAAGATAAAATATAATAATATGATAATAACTCAGACAGAGTGTGATAATAAATATAACAAGTGTTTAATATGCGTGTACGAAATTCTTAAAAGATCAATATTCACACAAGTGCATACACCAATTTATTTTTGGCATATGAATATGTCAGTTGAACGAGAACTATCAGCGCAGATTGAACTTGAAGATATTCTTGTTTATTTGTGCAAAGAGTCAAAGTTAATTATAGATTTATTAACGTAAAAATTATATATTATCTTAATTCTTTTATTTGAATCTTATTAATATCTATTAACAATATGATCGGTGCCTAATTTTATAAGTGCAGTAATTTTATTCTCTGTGCAATATTGTATAATTGCAATAATATTATATGTGTTAATAATTGATTTGATATATTGAGTATGTATTATTTTATATTTAAGTGATGTATGATTTGATTTTATAGTGCAATAGCGTTGTAAATCTAATATAAAATATATATGTGCAATTAACATTAATATAGGCAATGAATATGTTTAGATACGCAATTTTTTAAAATAAAATAATAAAAAGTAATAAAAATCATGTAATTATAAGAAGCCATTTATGAGGTCTAAGACCGTGCAAAAGCGGGCCAAGGGCCCACAAGATGGGGGAATGAGGGCGAAGCCCCCATAAAAATGAGGCCGCTATAAAAAATGCCCATAAGGCCGTATCGTCGTCAGTCCACCCCTGGCCAGAAAATATTTTTATAAGTTAATTCATATAAAAGCAACTTAGGAAAAAATGATATCAAAAACAAGCTGTCTGGATATATTTACACTTCATGTAAAATTAAATTTTATATATTATATTATTTAATCATTATAAGGACACATTAAAAGTCACATTTTTCTTATGATATGCCTTTGACTTACATTTCATTTCTAAATAATATTTTTGGTTTATCACTTTATATATATATATATATAAATGTTTCTTCCAAAAAATATAAATTATATAGTTTTAGTATAAAAATTATTAACTTTTACCTTCTTTTTTTAAATTCTTGTTAAAGATATATGCATACATTTTTTGGGGACAGTGGGTGGGGAGTAAGTGACATATTTCTGAAGCAGACCTTTGTCCCTTCTCCGGCTACTCCTATGCATAGCAATATATAAATCTAACCTGATATGTGGTAATGGGTCCAATATGACCTAAAGAAATATTATCGTCATTAACTTCTTTTTTATATGCATGCTTTTTGTATGCATTTTGAAGTAAAAATATTTAAATAAAAAATCTTTATATAAATTTTTTTCTAAAACTATATAAATGTATATTAATTATCAGTTGAAATTTAAAATCGAACAAAATATACCATTATTCGTTTCTGGAAGAGCTTCAAAGAATAAGACTCATAAAATTTGAGTACGTTTCCGATACAAATATAATATAACATCTTAATGTTAATTATTTTTTTATCATATTTAGGCCATGTTTAGCTTCATTTTAAATTTATTTATAGAGGTAAATGTTAGATATAATATGGTGTGATATTGAACCAGTGGCGTAGCTACGGGGGTGGTTTTCGGGTTTGGACCCCTCCCAGAGCAAAAATTTATTTTTAGATCATACGTTCAAAAGACTTATAAGTGGTGACTTTATATCAAATAAATACCAATAATATTTATATTTTTCTGGTTTTGATGTTTGTGGAAGAATATTATATTACTATTGAAATTATTCTGGATAGTATTATTATAAAGTCATTGAGAATAATCTACTAAATTATAAAACAAATTATTGATTAAAAATATATTTATTATATATTATCGAAGATATGGTTATGATTTGTAAAATAAACCCAGCCGAAGGCCCGTTGAATGGGGTCTGGGGGGCGAAGCCCCCAGGCTTTTATATGTATGGACCCCCTCTAAGGAAAATTCCTAGCTACGCCACTGTATTGAACGAACAAAATTTTGATAGGATCGAGGTAACACTTGTTAATTTATATTTAAAAAATAATTAAAATCGAAGATTCTCTCTGACCTAGTCTGATGAATGCGTGCATCTCAATCCATTTGAATCCCGTAAGGACCATGTTTCTTTTCTGAAGCCAACTAAGTGGATGATATATAGTAGATCGGGCTCAACCATGTGATCCCATTAATATGTAACATAAAATAAATGTCTTATTACTCTTTTTTTTTAAATTGGTCGTTGTTTTGTAATTGCCATATGTTGACCATGTTATATCCAATGACGTATAATAATATCTAAATTGATAATTCATTCATTAAAATGCATTTTTAAGAGTCGTTTAAAGTAAATCAGCTGGACCCGCCATTTTGGAAACACATATAGTAATCATTTTCATGTTAAAAACTACTATTAAATTGATAACTTGCTTCCTTATTATCTCGATTATCCGGTAATTAGATATAGGAATAAATTAGGCTCTCGTTTAAAATTTTAATAATGATTAGTGTAACCAAGATGGCGTCTCCGGCTAATTTGAATTGATGTACACTTTTAATGAATTAATCGTCAGTCTAGGTATTATTATATCTGTCATTGGTTATATCTAACATTAACCATTTATAGACAGGCATTTATTTATTATTTTCAAACTTTATAAACAACCAAGATTTTGAAAAGTAAAGAATTGGGTAGTTAAGCCTATTGATAAGAAATATGATTAAATAAAGATGAAAAAAAATCTTTTTATTTTAGAATAATAATTATTGTCATAATTATATATATATCAAAAATATTAAATAAACGTGCTTTGTTGTGTGTAAAAGAGTATATAAAAATTTACTATGTACAACTTTAAAAATTTGTATAAATTAAAATATGTATATAAAAGTTTTGAGGAATTATAAATCATTATGTTTGTTGAGTAATTCGTAAATCTAGTAGTTTTTTTTCTATTAGAGAATATTTGCAGAATTATAGTTCACCAGTATGATTTTTTGATTTGAATGAACGATATTATTCGTGTCGCTAGGATATCAGCCGCTGTTTAATATTTTTTGTAATTTTTCAAAATAATAAAATATAATAGTGTTTTTTATTGATATTATATTAATAGATAATGTAGGAAATTATAATATTTATAATAATACTAATAAGGGATTGATACTATTAAAAAAATATACATTTGAAATTCTTTAGAAATCAAAAATTGGTTAAAGCTTCAACTTATATAATTAATTTTTATATCATAGAAATAAGTTGTAGGGTAGATTACTAATAACATGAGCCCAGACAAATTTGTTTACTATTTTGAACAATAACAAAAATATAGATTAATAGTTTAGACTATTTGAATAAATCATATATTATATATACTTTAATATCTTCTTCGTATAGGGCTATGAGTAACATGATAGTGACACCAGTTGTAATACCGCCCATTTGAACGATAAAATATTTGAGTTCTTGCTTGACTTTGAGCTGGTTTGATGCTTGGCCCGTGATCCCGCGAAAATTTACATTATCAATATCGTTGGATTCTTCTGTCTTGTGATGGTGATGATCATGATGATGACTTTCGTTTTTTTGCCTCAATTCTGGGATCTTATGTAAAAATGTAATAATATCAATTGTTTTAAGTTATTATTATTATTATTATTACAGCTAAATTTAATTTCAAATTTAGTAATTTCTATCTTTTAAAATTCCCAAGAGAAAAAAAAGAGTTTAATCGCTTATGCCCAAGCAACAATAGAAGACCTGATGACATAAGCCTAATACCTTGGTCTTCTGGTCTTCCAGTAACTTGGGATTACACATACATCGATTTAATGCCGCGTTCCAGCAGAAATGCTTCAGCACTTTATTCAGCAGAAATTTTAAAAATAAATAAATATTCAGATAACGTAATTTTAATCCTACCCGTCATCAATAATCTTGATAATTTCTTAAATTTATGATATTATTAGGGAGAAAATTAAGACAAATAAGTGGCAATCTTAATGAAGCCTTCTATTTCAAACAAGCCATTACGATGGCTATTCATCAGAATAATTACATTTCTACTTATGTTTCCATAAAAAATGCAAATAAACTGATCTCTTAATTGTTTTTAAAATTTCATCCAGTTATTTGTTTTAAATTTTATTATATGTATATGAGCTATATTTTACCTATAATTGTTTTTTGTGTGACCTATGTTTTAAATTCGTTTTTAATAATAAACTCAATGATAATTTTTAAAATAAAATTAAAGTTTAAAATAAATTTTTTTTGCAATTCTTTTTTGCTTTAAAATTTTATAAGCAGCTATATTTAAGTTTATCAAACCTTATCAAACCTCTAGTAATGTTTCTATAATTATACAAATTCGTATCAGGTCAATTCAGCGAAACTTTTATCGCAAAACACTTTAGCAAATTTTTTTTTACCGAGAATGTCGTTTATACCAAAATATTTTAGAACGAATATAATATCGCCAAATCCTTTCCGCGAATTATTTTTCGCAAAACATTTACACTGAATACAATATTGCGAATTCATTTCGGCCAAACCGGAATGGGTAACACTTTAGAGCGAATACATTATAGCGAAACATTTATTTGAATATTTTATCGCGAAACTAAAGCCACGACGATTATTTTTAGCTAAACCTTTATCGTAATCCCATTATAGCAAATTTTCAGGAGAATGTATTTGCGCAGTTATTATCGAGAGAGCATTACCGCGAACTAATGAATATATTGAGAATGCATCAATAGAAAAACAACCTATGCAATAATAATTTGCTAAATTTTTAAATTGTAAGCGCGAAATGTTTTACGAGTAATTCGCTACTTATTGGCTATTAAGTGAGTAAGAGTTGGCTTAAATGCAACCTTTTTCAGATTTAATGAAAAATAACTTAACAATTTCTTTCTAGACTCTTACTTGTGGTCGTGTACGGGAGGGTTATCTATGGTGTTGAAAAACAATTTGAGCGACGGTTTAATTGCTTATATTTTCTTTAGAGTTTAATTTTATCAGTTTTGAGGTATTCTTCCAAATATAAGTCCTTTACAATTACAATCACAATAAAGTACAAAATAATATTATTAGTGCAGCTTAATATATAAAACATTATTTTTTATTTAATCAATTCAAACCTTTTAGATCATATTTATCAAACATTTAAACCTATTTTAAGAATATTAATAAAATAATAAGAACATAATTATAGTAATAAAAGAACATGTGATGTAATTTATAAAATCATTCATATCGAATTGATTTATTTTCCTTCTCCAATTAAATAGTTTTTTTAATCACGTTTGGTATAGCATCCACAATGGCTACCATAACAAGCACATTTCGTTCTTCCGTCATAACATCTGAAAGTTTCGCAACAATGTTTTCCGTTCACAAAGCAGTTAGTGAGCATCGGGCTCTGGCTGTCAGAAAGTAATAAACTTATACTCTTTTCCTCCTTAACCAAACGTTGAGGGTTGCCCCTATCGATAAAGGCACAATCATATGGCAGGATTAAAAATATAGTAAACAATAAAGTATAATTGCCTCTTAATTTCATGCTAGAATAACATTTAAGATTTAAAATAATTTAAAAAATGACACGATACGACAAATTCGACGAAGTGTAAATTCATGTAATATTATGAAAAATTTATATAATTTTACCAAGGATTTGTCAATTTATGTTTCCTTTTAAATTAAACAATCATAATAATATACATTCAATCTATCTTCGAGCGTGCATGAGGAATCTCATTGTTTAGAAATTGGTCAAGATTTCTAGAAAAGAAGGCTCCAAAAAATTTTCAGCCATTATCTGTAGAGAAAAAAAAGGAAACGGACATATTTTTCTGTTAGGCACTTCAATTTAAGAAATGTGACGGAATTGCTAACTAAATGATTAAACTATTCACTTTGTGGTGGCTCTAGAAGGAAGGTCAAGTAGGAAAAAAGATTTCTAAAGGTTGGTCGTCTGACGGAGTAGAGATCTAGGATTAAGGTTTTGGCTAAAAATAATGCCAAACTATAAAATATTAGGACAGGCAGAGATTTGGTATAAACTTTAAGTGAACCAAATATTTTAAATTTTAGTGTGCCGCTTTGAGTGATCTCTATGCCTAGTAAATAATCAAGATAATTGGTTAGTTTGCTGATGACGAATCCCATTATAAAGAGATAGTAAAATGTTAAAAATGCCAATTTCATTAGATATTTGGAGAGTAGGTCCTGGCTATTATAGATTTTAAAACTTAATATTGATTATTCGTTGGGTTAGACTATTTCTTCTTAAAAATAAGAAAAGCGGAGAAAGCAATGGGATAGCGGGCGCATCAATTATTCAGAATTATGACATTTGTATCCTTAGTTTAATTAATTTGTTGTACAGTGAAATACAACATTATATGTGAATGCAATTGGGTTTTATCTATTAGCGGGTTGTTGAATCTAAAGTTTATTGGTTTGGTATGGCTTTTATGTGTATAAATTGTATTTGTATGATTTTTAGATTTACAATTGATTTTATCTGCGAACTGTCAAACAGTGGTCTAGATTACGTTTGGCACAAAGATCCTGCAAATATCCGATCTTACTAGCAAAAATAATACGTAATTATCTGCCATTGATCGCCTTACTACATTCTTCAAAAAGAATGAAAGGGTTGACAATAAAAATTACACAAATGATAAAGACACTCGACATCCTAAATATTAAATCCGTCATGTCTATTGTACATTTTAAAATGATCTAGATTACTACGACGTCGCCATTTATCGAGTTCTCCTTCTAAAATGCTTATCATGTGATAGGGGCCGATAAGCCAGCGTATATTAAAATCTCTATGATTGCAGCCGAATTTCCAGTTTCTTTCAAAAGTGAAGCCTCACCTGGGGTTGGCGGCCAATCTTGATCTAGCTGCTCCGTATATCACACAATAATGGGACATTTTGAAAAGTACCCCCATCACCGTTCTACCATTACACAAAGCTAAACTTATCGCCCTAAACCTAATATCCGATTAGAATAATTTGGTGCCGGTTACTTTTTAGGCTAATAGAATAGTGTTCATTATATCCCCCAATCTAGAAATCAATATAAAAGTCATATGCGATGTTTCTCTTCACCGGACCCAAATTGTACCTAAACACAAACAAGGACGGCATCCTGGCTAAAATATATTTTCCTAACACCTCTCTCTAAAGCGTAGCAAATTTTTAAGGTCATCGTCACTCTTTATGACTCATATCCCCAATTCGGAGATAGATTAATCATTTCCACCAAGAGAATTCAATACGACCCTCGGTGTCCCATATTATTATGTTTAGATATAAATGACTTAAATCGTGATATCAATAACCAAACCTAAATCTTCATAATTTGTAAATTGATGACATGAAGGCATATTAAGTAGACGGCCATAGAAGTAGAAAAGTCAGGGCAATCAGACCCTGCAAAAGTAGCCTAGAATAAAATATAACCTAGATAAGAGTGAATATTTTCCCCAAGGCGATCTTAATCATGGTCTTATGTTCAATTATACATAATTTAATTTCTCTAACACATTTGAGATCTCAGATAGGAAACGAATAATATTTCAAGTTCCTAATTGATATTTCACAGGACATGACTAATGTGTGATACAAGTGGCGCCATTAGCCTTTACAATCTCAGTGGTATAAGTGGGTTATGGCAAAATGTCGGCTAATTCGGCTCAATCTTTAAGCGCCTGCAGGAGAAATCCCTTAAAATTAAGGCATAATTTATATTAGTTTCTTCCAAATTTGAGCTTGTTATCTTTTTTTTAAAAAAACAGAGACGTAAGGGATAGTTTTAACTTAAACAGCTAAAATAGAGTAATTACCCAACTATATTTAGGGGGCCCAAAAAAAATTTCAATTTCGGAATTTTTTTTTATCAAAATGACCTTATTTTGGGTATTTTTTTTAAAAAAATTAAATTTTTTAAAGCGCTCTTCAAATTTTTGGGGGGCTTGAGACCTTTTTCTTGTTTAAGAATTACTAATTCGTGGATTCTGGGCTGAGTAAATCGCCAATCCTGGTATACCCCTTCAGCATCATATTTTTACACGTAATTGCAACAACGCAATTTCTGGCTCTCAAACCATCGCTTTTTTAAAGTAGGACTAATCCCTACTAAGACCAAAACCTCTATCGAAAAATACTATCTATAGTAAAAACTAGCTATTTGCATCATCAGAGTAAAACCTTATAAACCATTAATGTGCAAAGTACAGATCGTTCCTGGGTCTATTTTTTTTCTGTGCTGACTAATTGTGACACTAACCTTTATTTACACTAATCCATTATATAGAAATTTATATACCACTTTATTCTTTTTTAGATATTTTTAGAAATAATATAATTAGATTAATTTCACGTTTTAACTAATATATTTCTTCCTAAGCAAAGCTAAGCAATATAACAAATGTTTTAAATACAAATATATATATATAAAGCACTAGTACATGCAAAACATACATACCATGTTAGACAATGAGATGTAAAGAAACATGCCAGAGATGGCGCAAAATATCCAATCATCTATGTCATTGGCATCGTAGTTAGCATCGGTCACCGACGATTTAAGACCTTTACCCGACGAAATAAAGAGCCCCACCAGACAACCAAATACTGCACAAAGGCTAGAGAAACAATTGAAAAGTAGGCATAATTTACGTTTCACACCGCAATTGATGAGATAAGCAAAGTCACCTATAAAAAGAAATAGAGTAGGTTATGAAATAAGATGAGATAGAGATAATTAGTTTCATTTCTGTAAGATTAAAAATAAGCTTTGGTTCTTGGTTTTGGTTCCTAGATTTGTTACGATTCCAAATGCAAATTCCGAATTTGATAACAATAGGGCTATAAATCTGAGTAGTATATTTAGCTTTAGATATGGGGTTCAGCGATAATTAAAATAGATAATATCGTATTATCAAACTATAATTAGATATAAAATTGCTTGGTTCCCAATTTGTCTTAAATAATTAATCAGTAAATACTTGACAACAATTATCCCAAAATTTGGAGACAGAACTTGTGCTGTTAAACGGTTCGCTTTAAACCAATTTTTAAAACCGCTAACTCAATATTTTATCCGGAAAAATATTAGGCAAGTCCGAAGATTTTGGTTATAGATGGCACAAAAGTTTGGACATCTATTAGCGGAATCTCGAGGCTTGAGCAACATTTTCTGGATAAAATATTAAGTCCGCCGTTTTTAAAAATCGCCTCAAATCGAGCTGTTTAGCAATACAAGGCAGACAACTTGGAATAATCCAGCGGATATTAGGTTATGCTAGGTTTTAAATGGAGAATTGTGAAGTTAATATCCCTCGCGTCCGCAATTATTTTCAAAATAATATATTTTATAAGAAAAAAAGATGGTAGGATTTAGCTAAGCGATATTAAATCATGTGTTTCGTAACTTTGCATTCAAAAAAAAAATTTAACTTGCCCATATTTTTTTTTAAAAGACAATCATATCGAATAAAACCGTATTATGTCTTTAATAACTTATGTAATCATAAGTCATAACTGACGTAGATTTGTTGTAGATTTACATTATCTTTAATTTTATGTAATATCGTATGACAATCAAATAATTTGTGCGTGTCGAATATCAATATTATATCAATCAAAATTATAAATTCTAATTAATAGGGATGTGATTCTGAATCCTTTTGTTATTAAATATATTGCGATTTAATCTTAATAAAAAAAGTTATGGAGTGTAAAATCTGAGAAAATATAGATATCAAATTGAGGAATACAAAAATAACCAGAGTTGTTAAAGTATCTAGATACAAAAAATGATATCTTTATCTAGATCTAATTTTAAGATGATGTGTCTGTATCTAGATTCATTTGAAAAGTATATATTTTAACAACTCTGGTCATAACTAATGATTAGAATTTCGAATAAAAGGATAGCTTAATCAAAATAAATGATTTAAATCAATCAATTTATTTTTAGAATTACACTTTAAAGAATTAGGAACGTATAATTTACCCAATTCGTGAGGCAACTCGTGGCACAATATAGCGATCGCAGTGCTGATGCCGGCAGTAATACTTCCACTAAATGCTACGCCTTTTTTTCAATGGAAAATTAATATTATTGTTTAAAAAAATGTTTAATAAATATCTGAGACCTTACAGGCTTTCTATATTTAACTAGTTTGAAACCCCGATGGGAAAGAATAAATAAAATTTACAAACCCGGTATGCAAAATACAAACCTGGGTTAGACCTAATGGGGCATATAGACCACAGCAGGTCATTATATATATGATTATTTTTAAAGTTAAAAACCTATGGCTAATCCATCGAATAAATTGTGAAAAGCATCTCCAAATACGACAGTCAGTGCGTTTATAGACAAATATTTTCTGCGCCTTGGTTTTAATGATTTGGGCATATCAAGATTGTGGATACGATCTATAATACAGTAGTTTTATTATTAGTAATTTCAAACATATGCTCGATGTGAGACCTGCAGAGTTGTTAAAGTAGCGCGCTAACTTTTTGGTAGCTATAGCTAATAGCGGCTACTTTTTTTGTCATTATTTAATTTTTTTAGCGCGCTACTTTTTTTGAAAGTAGCTAAGTAGCCTACTTCGCTACTTTTAAAAAATATAATGAAGGTAAGTGTAAACATGAAAATTTAAATATAATATCATAATTAATTATAATTTTTATGATTTATTATTTAATTTTGAAATTAAAATATAATTTATATTTGTAATTTATATTTTCATTTGTATTATAAACCCAAATCACGTGTTAATAATTTAAAATGTCATCGCCTATGGATATCCAAATCGTTGAAAGTGATTCAGACAATGATATTAATGAAATGGAAGATACCAGGGAAGAAAATGTTCTTAATAGCTATAATACAAATTTCATATTCCCTAGATTTGAAAATTTTTTTAAATAAATATATAACCAAAACTGGTTTCAAATTTATTTGTTTAAAATGTAAAAAATAATATTTCTTCAAATCAATCCAGTAGCTATAACCTCAAGAAACACCTAAAGGTAAATTGTCATTTTTACATTCTAATAATATTTATTTTATAAGACTGTTCATGAGTTTTAAGGAAATGGAGAAACATCTAAATAATTTTGGTATAGGCGACTCTATATCCAAAAAGACTTATTCAATTCAAACCAAATTAATTAATAATGCAGACAATATTTCTCAGAAATTGGCTGATAAAGTTATTGTTGATTTTATAATTTATACAGTTCAGCCAATGTCCTTAGTTGATAATCCATCATTTACCATGATTAAAACTCTATCCCCTGGTACAACAATTTTATGCTGCCAGACACTAATGAATAAAATAGCAGATAACTTTAAAACGATGAAAGATGCTCTAATATTAGAGTTATCAGAGATATATATATATGTACCACGGGAGATAGTTGGACACATAACAGAAGGGAAAAACTTATTTACATTTATAAATTGATCTGATTAAATATTTTTGAGCTTATGTTGGAATCACAAGCCATTGGCTAGACCCTAATACTTTAAAAAGAAGATCTGTGGCATTAATCCAAAATGATAATAGGATGCCAGACATACGATGTACTTGCAAATAAAATTACTGATAATCTATCTTATATTAAAAATATGTATATAAGATTAAATACGCCCTTACCCTCAAGTGCTAGTGTCGAGAGATTATTTAGTAAGGCAAAACTTATATTTTCTGATCGTCACTCTAGACTTGGGGATGATAATATTGAAATGTTTTTATTATTAAAATGCAACAAATTACCATAAATATTTTTTTTATTACATAAATTTTTTTATAATCAAAACTAACTATATTTTAATATTTATAAGTGTTGATTTTTATATATTTACTATACAATAACATTATAAGCAAAAAATAAAAAATTGGTTTGTAAATTATTTTTTTTTAAAGTAGCTTTAAAAATAGCTTACAAATAGCGATAGCGGTAGCGCGCTACTTTTAAAAGTAGCGTTTAACAACTCTGGAGACCTGATATAAGGCTTTATTAAATCTTAAGCAATTAAATTAATTTTACAAAATTATAGAATAATTATATTAAAAAAATACAGTTCAAACTATGAACTATTTGTAAAAATAATTCGTTTTGCTTCTTTCTCTGGTAAATAAATTACTCGAAATAGCAAATTACTTTTTTCATCTTGGTTTAAAAGAGTGTAACTATTAGTGTTCGTGCAATTCGACGAATCATCGTGATTCTGATTAGACTGATTAGGATAAAGGGTCGAATGATTATTATTATTTATTGCCGATCGAGCCTTGTCATCATCGTTGGATTGAGGATTCTGATATTTAATTTGTATGTAAGCGTTGTGAAATAATGAGAACAATTTTTAGACACCCCCCCCCCCATCCTTATTCCAGTCAATGCAATACTCTTTGTCAAAATTCTATAATTGGCATTTGTTATTATTATACATAAAGTTTGGATGCCCCAAATATTATTAGCTAAATTCGACAACACCATCCAGATAAGGATGTCTAGTAATTTAATAGAACTGATCAGGAAATAACCATAATGAAAAATACAATTTGATTTGACAAACAACGACACTAGCATCACTTTCAAACAAAAAAATTTTGACCTGTTCAAGGACTCAAACCCATGTCTGTGAGAAGGAGTGTGTGGTAGAGTTTTTATTTAGGCCCGGTTTGAAATTATTTAAAAATTTTGTCATATACACAACCAAAATTATTTCAAAAAATTAAGCCCTTGGTTTGGAGTGGAGAGGGGCCTTTCAGATGACTAAAGTATGGTGTCTTCGCCCCTAAAACATTATTTTAGATTGCATACATATATTTTTTTTTTAAATTATGGTCAAATCATGAGGGGTCGCTGTTTTATCAAATTGTATGATTATGGTCCAACTCAAGGAAATTGCCCTTGTTACAACTGCTGATTTATTTAAATTTTTATTAGTTATGATATGAGTACAAGATGCGAAGTCGGTAAATATTCTCATATTAAAATAAACATTATAATCATGTAACAAAACACACTTTTGCGCATAAAGCTTATCCCACCTAATATATGGTTTTGTTGAGATCAATTAAATAACAAATAATTTATGCCATTGAACGAATTTTAACATTGTAAAATTTCGCATTATAATTTTTCTAGTGTTAGCTCGATTTTTAAAAGGGACTAACCAGATATTTTTGCCAAAAATATTATGCAATCCTGGAGTAATCGAGGTGTTTAACAACACTAACTTGGAGATTTTGCTCATAGATGGCGAAAGGGTTGGATTGGGCATTTATTAACAAAATCTCAAAGTTTGCGTGATATTTTTGGCCAAAACTAATAACTTTAAAAAAAGGCAAACATCAAACATTTGGCCATATTTAAATATAGCCAACATCTGGCCTAGGCCTTATACGTTGATTTTCTTTTATTGTAGACCAAGTTTAAAAAAATTTCGACATGAGGTTATATACCCAACTAATGCAACGTGTAAATCATAAAATCATCTCTTTTTAATGTATACTATTTTTTGGTTATTTTGATCACAGACAACAACGCACCCGTCATCCAAAACTTCCAGAGGACTAACTTTGTAAACATGTTGGATCATATTCTTACGATGATGAATATCGTTGATCTTATCATCGTCGCCAAAATTTTTGTCCTCTTCGAACGAATAATTCTTGTGAGCGTTACGCCAGCAGGATACGAACCTCATCAATTTTTCGAAAAAGAAAAACATCACCAGGACAGAAAGGGTGAGAAAACCTTTCCAAATAATTATTTTGTTATTGTGTTCGTGGTCGTTGACGTTGGCTTCGAAAATTGCCTTTTTTTTTGTGTATTATATAAATTATAAAAATAATTGTTAATATCTTCTTTTTTTTCAATATTTTTTAAGTCAAGTTTGAAGCCAAAATTATAATTCATCTTGTCTATATCTTGTAGGTATGGTATTATTAATATCATATAAAGTTATGCTTGAATTTGTGTTTTAAATAAAATATATATTTTTATTAATTTTCTTAAATTTGATGAATAGCATAGCAACCGCATATTGTTTTTTAAGATGGTCGTGTTTAGTTTATATAAGAATATGTAGTGAAAAATATATGTCTGAACTAGAGGTCTGCAACGGGGAAATTTTTACCAATTGTTTTAAAAAATTTATGAACCCCCACCCCCATGTTTAAAAATTATTTTAATGACTGGTTGGGCTCTTTATTTATGTATTTAATGTATTTTTAATTTTAACTTATAAAATATGGTAATTTAAAAAAATTATTTTTAATTGCTCATTTCGCTCAAAATATATTTAAAATTCACGGAAATTGGGCGGGTGTGTGCGGGTGAAACGAATCCATTGTAGACCTTTAGTTTGTTGTTAAACAGCTCGTATTGAGCCGATTTTTAAAAACGGCCAACTCAATATTTCATCCAGGAAAATATTACGCAAGCCTGAAGATTTTGCTCATAGAAGGAACAAAGATCTAGTATATTATCGAAATCTCGAAGCTAGCTAAAATATTGAGTTAGCCATTTTAAACACCCGGCTCAAAACGAGTCGTTTAACAACACTTATTTAGTCTGAATCTTGATGTTCTATGGTCCGAAGTCGGACCATGATCCGTTCTTTTTCATGAATCTTTAGTTCGGTATAAGAATGGTCCAGTACAATATCGAACATCGCTCTACTAGTTCCGTTACAAAAAAATAAATATATCTTTATCTAGTTGGATAATATAATTTTTACAAAATCCAAAAATTTTATATAATTTAGTGGTGGAATTTTACAACAAAGGGAAATACCCAATAGACAGGAAATTTATCGACCTAATCTAGACATTTTATATTCAATTAATATTTAGAAAGGATTAATCTTCAAACATTTTTGATCTCTAAAGATTTTTATTAAAAACAATATTTTTTTTATAATGCCCACTCAAACAGGACTATTGGTCAAATTTTATCTATAATTCCAAGTTTAATTTTTTGTAAAAAAAATATTTTTTATAATTTCTTCTTTTGTGATTTTTAATGCGTATAAAATCTTTCATGATTTAAGGCCACAAATTTTTATTTTTTGGAAAAAACAAAATTTTGAACATCTTTTAAAAAAAATCAAACTCCGAATAATTGATTAATAGTTACGGGAAGAAAGGAGATATCGATCCGGATATTCTTATGATTAAGGATCATAGTTTAAATTAGTATTTGAACTCACAACTACGGGTTCCGTCATTTATAATTAAAATTGCAATCTTAACTACAATATGATCGCTATGATTTTTAATTCAAAGATCCATTTGCAAATATTTATACCAAAATATTATTTAAAATCTAATTTAAAATACAAAATTATATATGTTTATATAAAAAACCAGAAATATTTTTAAAAAAACTTACTATATCTAAAAAAATATTTTTAATAAATGTGCTCACTTAAAAAAAAAATCATCGATTTCATATTATTACGTGTGGCAGGAGATGTAATAAGGCGTCTCCGGCCAAGGATCCCACAGCTAGAGCTACGCAGAATTGCGATAACAAAGTACTATCCTTGCGGGCTTTGTAAGGATCATTCTTAGATGATTTCGAACGATTGGTGGATATGAAATGGCAAAATATCAAGACCAATAAAAATCCCACAACGCTGATTATGAAGACAGATATCAACGCATACACCCAAGCTTATAAGAAAAATTTTTAAAGATTTTATATATATTATTATTTCAGCAAGGAGAAAAACAAACCCATTATAAAAATTTTATCCTTCCCTTAAATCGTTCATAATTGAAATATGAACTGTTTAAATTATAATTTTTTTATGGTAAAAAAAAATTTATGGCACCATGAAAATAATAATCGCGGTCAGCTGTTGACATTTCACTATTGAGCTTCTTTTTCCTTCTTCTTGTAATTAAAAATATAAATTTCAAATATTTTTAAAAAACTTCAATGGGATAATTATAACGTCAATTCTAGTTTTCTTATTTTATTTGAATGGTAATTTTAAACATCCTAAAGGCTTTTACTATTTAAAACTTTGATTTTATTACATACAATTTTATCATTTAAACTTTGATTTTTAAATTAAAGTGTCAAAAAAAGGCAAAAAAAATCGTTATATTAGATCATAGGCACTAATGTTGTTAAATGGCTCGATATAAGCCTAACGACTAACTCAATATTTTAGCCAGAAAAATCATTGCGTAAGTCTCGAGATTTAATAGAATATCTAAACCTTTGTGCTATCTCTGAGCAAAATCTTCATGCATGCATCAAATTTTTCCGGATAAAATATTGGGTTAGCCGTTAAAAATCGGCTCAGATCGAGGTGTGTTTAATAATACTTATACTATGCAGCATAACTCGATAAAGAGATATAACGTGTTATGCTTCGGGCCTCTGGCGGTAGAAAAAAAAGATATTTTTATAAAGGTACTTAAGCTAACATATAAAAATTGATAATCATTGTATTTAAAAAATCATATAATTAATCATTTTTAAATTGATTTATTTCTGAAATGGGAATATATCAAATCGTACCATGAATCCAACTTATTTTTTCAGATCCTAACCGATCAACAAAAAAATATTAAAAAATTTTTTGTATGACCAATCAAATCCAAGTATTTTTTATTTACTCAAAGAATTCAAGTCTAATCCGAAATTTTATTTAATAAGTCATCCAAATCATCTTTTATATATCGAGCTGTTAAAAAAAGAGTATGATATTTCTAAAGAATATGAAAAATTTTATATAAGCTATAAAGAAAATAAAAGATTTTGTGTTGTATTCCTGTCTAATATTGGGTACCATTTAGTGTTGTTAATGAATTGCTGACCTCTGAACATTTTCCATATCACTAAATGTTTTAATGATTTAGAAAGCTAATTATAACAAATAATCCTGATTTGCCTGAAGATGATATTATTTACATAATAATTTATTAAAATTTTACAAAATGGTTAATAGTAAAAAATAATTTTCAGTGATACCGTAAAAATCTACTTTCCAAAAAGTATTCATCAAAATATTTGTATTTAGAATACTTATTTAGTATTTTATATTTTAAATATATTTGTTTTCATTTTCAAAAAGTTTTTGTATTTAATTTATATTCAAATACTTTTTTTTTTGAAATGTATTTGTGGTTACATATTATGCCCAACCATGATTACATATTATATATGATTTTTTTATTTTGAAAAACAAATAGATGCAAATTTATATATAAAATAAAATGCTTACGAGATTTCCACATAACAAAATTATGAACTCAATTTGGTTTAATAGAACAACACAAAGAGAGTAATATAATTTATAAAAAGATTAATTACTTTTTTATATTTTTATCTTTATATAATTATATATAAGTTATTTTAAAATGCATTTATTATTTATTTATTATAAAAAATTAAGTTAAAAGTTTTTTTTTTGACAACCAAATTTTTTTTAAAAAAAGTTACATTTTAGGTTTTAAATATAGAATATTTAAATTTATAATAATAATTATTATATTTTTATTTTTAAACATTACTTTATATTATTTACGTTAAGTTTTTTAAGATGACAAGAATTGATTTCAATTCAAAATTATTCATTTTATCTTTGTTTTGTTTGTTATTATATTTAATTTACCGCCTACCGCTTTATATAACTTCTTTAATTATAGTATAAGAAAGGTAAATATTGTAATTTTATAAAAAAAGCATAATACTAAAAAAAAGAAGAAAAATATTATACCTCGAAGGTAAAGGTATATGAAAAAATAAAAATTTAATTATGAAAACTTTAAAGGAATTACGATATTAGATTTTTTTTAGTATGGTATGGTATCTTATAAAATATTATTCTATTTATTTATTTTTTTGATTTTCTCCCAAAAATATTATCCAAATTTTAATAGATTAATTATATTATGTTTTGAAAACGAAAAAAATGAACTTGAAAACACGAGATAATGCGTTAAGGAATGTTACCAGATTTGTTAAATATCGGGACTAAGGATGTAACCATTCCGTCTTTTTCTTTAAAAAGAAATATCGGATAGGCCCTTTCAAAAACGAATATCGAATAGTGCTAATTCGATATGTACAAGTAGTTGCATTTGCTATTCGTTTGATTATTCATCGCGAGAATCGAATAATGCCCTATTCGATTGGTATTCATTTTTAAACAGGCCCGATATCGGGTATCGGTTGATATTTTTATGGCCGATTATGATAGCCGATCAAATCAATATCAATTGAATATCTACTGATAAGCTTCTGGCATACAGTATAAAATAAACCTCCATTAAAAAAAATCCAGTTTAATAACTTTTCGCTTCAATTTAGGGTTATCAGAAATCTTGAATATATATTTCAAGTCTTACTTCCTTTCTTACCTTCCTTCTCCTTATTTTATTTATTAATCAGTTTAAACTTTTCCCATCTATAAAAGAATTGTCTTTAAAAAACTGACTTCATTCTCAGCGCGAAGTCCGCTCCTAACTGCTATTGGAGAAATAGTTAGCAACAGTTTCAAAGATGTTAAATATTTATCAATCTAACTCCTAACAACATAATCTGAGAAAATTAAAAGATTAAACGTAAGGTCAATTTTTTGATTTAAACTTACATCAAAAGGAACGTTTTGGGTTAAGCACGCGGATTCAAATTAAATACGCGCAATAAGATCGTGATCCTTCCCTAGTGGCGCTATTGATTATGAAAGGATTTTTTTTTCTATTATTTTTTAAAAAGTCTCAAAAAATTATCATACGAAAAATAATTCATCATTTCGCATTTTATTTAGGCATACAATACAAAACAATTTTTGCAACAAAAAAAATTTAATAATTTTACAAATTAATTGCACATATATATATATTATACATAGATAGGTGATATTTAAAAAATTTATATGGTGACGTCAATGTGTTATTTTTTCAACTTTATTTCATTTTTTTTGAGCGCGTCTTTTTTTAAATTAAAATTTTGATTTTAGCGGAAATGTTTTCTATCATCCTATCCTATAAATATGAGATAATTTCGCTCTGAACTTTTAAACTTAATATAATTTATATTCGTTTTTCCTTAGAATTTTTATATAAATTAGAAATTACTCAACAAAGGTTAAGGGCAAAATTATCTAAAATTCATAAAGATAGGTATTCTAAAAATGCTGGAATACAATTTCTGGTAAAATCCGATATATAAATTTTAAAAGAACGAGCTCAAAAAATGCTTTAAGAAAAAATAACAAATTGCCGGAAAAAACGCATTGACGCTAACATATATATTAATTGGGGAAAGGGAGATTCATTAGTAGGGAAATTCAATGTCACCTATTTCATAATAAATATCGAAACAAATTTTTATTTTTTTTAAATACATATATTTTTATTTTATTTTTTTTTAATTTATGCGTAATTAATTTAAATAAAATTACATTTTTTTTTAAATTTAAAATTTAGGATGATATAAGCGTATTTAACATTATAAGAATGATGAAATATTTTTATATTTTAGGAAATATATTTATGCATATAATATAATATATATATAAGGGTTAGGGAATTTATTGATTAATTAAAAGAATAAGAAATTATTATTTTTTAAACACCCATCATTGCCAATGCTTACGAAAATTTGGATCGATATTTATCACAGTTATGAGACCTTACTATCTAAATTTCAATAAGGTTGAGGATAGGTGAGTGGAGTGCACGGATTCCTGTTTTTTAAATATGTATAGTCAGGGTTGGGCAGTATCGCGGATATTTGTATCTTGTATCTTTTTTAAATTTTGGAAAGTATTTTGTGTCCAGTATCTAAGATACATATTATTTAAAAGTATTTGTATCTTAACCAACTTTGTATTCAAAAAGATACAGATACTTAAAAAAAAATTTATATTAGTTAATTTAAATAGTATTCAAATTTAAAATGATATTGTTTTAAAATTTAAATGAAAAATTTAATCAGAATTTATATATTTTAAAATAATTTATGATATATGACGTTGGTCGTCATATAGCAATTTGCTAACAATTAGAACTACCATATTTTATTTGAATCGTTTTATATCCGTCTATTTTAAAATAATGGAAGAAGAAAATAGAATAATATGTTTATACTCATCTTCAGATGATTCTCCAACCGAAAAATATAACTATAAATTTAAATTAAGTATTTTAAATGGGAAATTTTTTCAAGTACTTCAACATGATCATAATAAAATTACTGGAATTTAAAGAATGCCACAAATCTATAAGTGGTTCTGCAGACTCGTCATCAAATTTTGTCAAGCATCTAAAAGCATAATATATAATTATATAATAAATCATATTCATTATCATCATTTCATATTCCCACATTCGTTGTCTATGCCATACAATAAGTCTTATTGCCATAACAGATGTCGAGAAAGCTATTAAATATTCTCCTAACATTTCTAAAATTCATCATCCCGCAATAGCCAAATGTACTAAGCTATGGAATGCTATTAATAGGCCTAAAAATGCTGAACTTATCAAAGCAATTTTAGGAAAACAATTAGTTACACCTTGCTGCACAAGATGGGATAGTATGTTTGATAGTCTTAGTAGTTTATTAAAATTTAAAGGGGAACTTCCTAAATTATGTCAAAAATTAGAATTTCCAAAATTAAGAGATATTGAAATTCAATATTTAGAAGAATATTGCAATATAATGTCCCCATTGGGTATAGCGATTGACAAAATACAAAGTGAAATCAACTGCTGGAGAATCAGCTCCAATATTAAATGTTAAAAAAAATTACAAATTTAATTCAAACTGTGCAAACCATTAGCTATTGCCGTAGAAAATTCTTTAAATAAAGGATTTAAAAATATATATGATTTTGATAATAACTTTAAGCGCATTTTTGGCAACTATTTCTCATCCCTATTTCAAAAATCGTTGGATTGATAGTGAAAAAGAAAAAAAATACCTTCAGGATTTGTTAATACATGAAGCTTTAATTATTTTTAAAAATGATATTGAAATTAATACGTCACAAAATCTTCAATTGATGAGATGATTATTACTTATGTTTTAAAAGTACCACATCCAATTCTAATAATTCAATAAATGATATTGAATTAGAGGTCCTAAATTATATGAAAGATGACAGGCGCAGTATAAATATGTTAAATAGTTATAAATATATAAAAGAAATATTTATTAAATATAACACAATATTACCCTCCTCTGCCTCCGTTGAACGATTATTTAGCTTTGCTAATATGGTTAATAGACCTAATCGTCAAAGATTGAACGATAAATTATTTGAAAAATTAATAATATTAAAAAATAATGTTGATTTATGATGATAATTTATTATTATTTACTAATCATACAATTATTAAAAAAAATATAGCATTATCTTATATAATAAATTTGTTATTTTCTACAATTTATTTTAATTTTTTTTTATAAATTTATATTATTAATAAGAAAATAAAGCTTTATACATTTTGATTTTGACTATTTAAAGTTTTTAAAAAAGTATCTTGTATCTTAGATACTTTTTTAAAAAAGATAGAAGTATCTTGTATCTTATAGAAATTTTTCTAAGGTAACTTGTATCTTAAATACAAAATTTCATAAAGTATCTGTATCCGAATACTATTTTCTGAAAATTTGCCCAACCCTGTGTATAGTATATATTTTGTAATAGAATCAGATATCTGCATGACCCTCGCGAATTCCACAAAATATGCTGCATTTTTGTAGACTTCGCAGCCGCAAATTCGCGCTAACTATGACCCGACCTGGAAGTCAGGTCCGCGGGCCGGGTTATAGGCCAATAAATTGTTTAAAATATTTATTTTTTTTCAACTTTTAAACCTTATGAATAAATGCAAATTTAGGAGTATTTTTCATCCACAAAAAAAAAACTATGGTCCTGGCTAAAATATAAATATTTTTTAAAGGACTAACTAAGACTAGAGTTGTTAAAAAGCCCGATTCAGTGACCCAATTCAGGTTTTGTCCAAACTAATATGATATAAGCCTAGAGATGTTTTCTCATAGGTGGTACAATGGTTTGGACATTAGTTAACGAAATCTCGAGGCTTAGGCGATATTTTTCCTGGCTGAAATATTGAGTCAGCCGTTTTAAAAATTCGATTCCAATCGAGCTGTTTAACAACACTAGGTGGTAGAGAGATTTGGATTAGTCAAAAATCTTAATCGAGCTGCTTTTAAAAATCGACCCGAATCAGGCTTTTAACTTTAGCTAGGACAAAATAAAAATATTATGCTTCAGGCCGATCCGAAATATACTGACCCTTGAAAATCTTCTTCGAGGGTCAGTTTGGAGTGTGGATATCTAACTAAAATACTTTATCTAAAAAATAATCACCCAATCATATTTTGGCAAATAAAATATATTGTAACTATTATATCTACATATTTTTTTAAAAAAAACTTTAAATTTTAATTATAAATGCTTATATTAAACTACATTTATGGTATAATTGTTTAAAGAGTAAAAAAGTACAAGCAAATTAATTATTAGTGAACTTCGTAAAGTTTATAGTCCTAATAAATTTTTATCGCAACTTAAGATGAAAAGAAAATGTATACATAAATATTTTAAGTTTTTTTTATAGTATAACATTACCGTACTTACAGGTTAGATTTAATGTTTGTATTGCTTTGGTAGGTGAGTAAACAAACTATAAATTCAATAAATCATGATGGGGGATGGGGGGGGGGGGGAAGAGCTTTAGCAAAATATTATTATAGAAAAAAAATTTTTTTTTAATAAAACACATAAACCATTATTGGTAAAAAAAAACTAAAGTTACAATTCCATCTAGATTATTTAAAGAAAAATAATGGGTGGAATAATAAGTTCGCATCGTTAAAATTTAGTAATATTTATTTTCTCTCTCCACATTTCGAATTAGCTTTAATTTGGGTGCGTATAGCTTTTAAACGGTACCTATTATAGCTTCACCGCGAACCTGACCCTGACTGCGTAGGATTTCAATTTCAAATCATTCGGGCTGGGTGTTATTTGAACAAATTAGTTATAAGTACTTTTGATTTTCTTAATGACTTCCTTCCAAAAATATCAAAATTCTCTAATTCTACTCCTAGTGCTTATAATTTTTCCATTTTCCTTTCTATCTATCAATTTTTCCCTAATCCCCCCCCTATATCTGATTTCGATTTTTATTTTATTGGACTCGAAAAAATAGGTAGTAATAGAACTGAAGCATCTATCCTAAATTTCTCCCTCTCTTTCCAATATTATCCCACCTCCTCCCTATAACTTTTCATAAAATATTTCAAATGTTTTAAAAAAATATATACTTAAAATAAAAATATATACTTAAAATATAAAAAAAAACTTTTAGGCGCGAATATAAGTCGCGAAGTCTTTGTTTTAAGATGAGGTGGATACCTTGAATCCGAAAGCATCTGTTGTTGAGATTTGACAAAAGATGTTTGAGCGGGTACAAGGGCGCGTCGGCACTCGTCCTGGTCCAGTTGGAATATTAACACGGGGCAAATATGGGCCAAGAAATCGTGTTTAGTGATGCCTTTGTAAGGGGGCATATTGAATTGATTCAGGATACCGCGAGGAGATAAACATGCCTTAATAATTTTCGAGTCGTATACAAGCAAACAAACAAAAAAATAAATTATCGCATTTGTGGCGAAATTGAATATATAATAATTTTATATTTTAGCGTATTCATTATTTTATCTTATTCGTCATGTGCATCCCAAAACTATTTGGGGTTTTTTTAAAAATCGCGTCCTACCCTTCCATATGGTTCGGCTTTGAGCTCAACACCAATTTTCTTATCCAACATGTCCTTGCGGATTTAAGAACCAAGTTACGGTTTTTTTAAAGTTGCGCGCTACCTTTTTTTGTAGCTTTAAAGATTAAACGCTATTTTTTTTTAAAAAAAAATCGCATTAAGGTACTGCGATACTTTTATAAACAGCCTTTAACAAGGCCAAAAGGCTAGACTATATTCCTACCATTTTCGTATAAAAAAAATCTATAAGTGGCGGCACGATATGGAAATACAAATCTATTTAATTTAAATCACGATTTTTTAATTAAAAATCCATTTTATAGAGGAATCCGAATTTATTAAATTATTAAAATATACTCCAACAATTTTGATTTTAATGTTAATTTTAGCATTTGAGAGAACAAAAATTGTTTAATATTTAATAGTTTTTTTAAATTATATCGTCGGTCTAGAATGCGAGTGCTCCACTTGATATTTTTAAGATTTTTGAGTTAAGGAGTGGATTTTAATTGATTAATTTTCACGATATATATAAATAAAAAACTAGATTTAAGAATATTAATTTTTGGCCCATGTTGCGGCACTTAATTTTTTTTATTCAGCTAATTAATTCTATGAATAAATTAGAATTAAATAAAGATTGTTTGTCTGTATTATATAATTTAATTATTTATAGTAGTTACTAAAAAGAAAATGTTAATCAAATATAGAATATTAATTAAATAATAGCCTTAATATTTTTCATTACAAATATCTAACTTTGATTAAATTAATTTGTCATTTATTTCTTAGTAAAGTGCTCCAACAATATTCTTCCAATATAGAATAATGGCGATATTCTTCAAATATAAAAATCAAAATTAATAGCGATATATCTTCATATATATGGCATATTTCAAATATCAAAATTATGGCGATCTTTTCCGATTAAAAAACAAAAATGAATCCTTTTGTTGCCACTGTATTAATTTTTTTCCATAAAGTAAATAAAATACATGGCCAAAGACAGGTTCTATATTTCATCTTTTAAAAGCATTAATTTAACAAATATATCCTTTAAAAAAACATTGATTACAACAGTTGACTGTTTATTTGGATTTTATTTAATAAATTCCAGTTGTTAAAGATACTTTTCAATTGATATAGATACACCGCATAAAATGAATCGAGTTACAGATAAGTGGGATTTTTTTTAGTTTATTTGGCATAATCAGGTAAATTTCCGAAGGGGAGATCTCCCCTCCTTTCCCACTGGCTACGCCTAAGTTTTATCATAAATATAAGTAATAAAAAATCGCTTTATTTGAGCCGGTTTTTAAAAATATATAACTCAGTATTTTATCCAGAAAAATAATACGCACGCATAAAAATTTTGCTCATAGATGGCAAAGGTTTGGACATCTATTAGCGAAATCGTGAAACTTAAATTTATGGCTAAAATATTGAATTAGTCGTTTTTAAAAATAGACTCAAATGAGCGATTTTACATCACTGATAAATATATTAAAATCACAACACTCATAGTGATTCGTATTTTTTGATATTTCGGCCTTTAGTATAAATTATCAAAAAAACCAAAATTTAAGCATTTTCCTCTTCATTTAAAAGAAAAAATCTTCAGAGATCAAAATCCTTTGAAGATTTTTTATTTTGAGGAGCATTATAAACTCTGGTTATTATTGGCTAATTTTAAAATTTCAACAATGATGTTTTCACGGGGCTCGAGTCCCTGCCCCATCCCTCGCCTAGTGACGCTACTGTTTAATTAATTATAATAGATGATAAGCATGATTTGATATTATTATTATTATCTTAATTAAAATATCGGTTATTGGCCAATATTATAAAATTTTCCGATCCGATCCGATAAAATGGCGTATTAATTTGAAAAAATTTATTTCATATTTCATAATATATTTGTTTGTTACTTATCATGTAAATAGATTAATGTTAAGTGGATACTATTAGATTTCTGGATATAAACTAAAACTGATCATTATTATATTTAAATAACTTATGTTATAGTTACATTATAGAGGTTATACTAAAAAGTTTATGAGATGAGTAAGATGTATGTAGTGAGCAAAATCGCTCCTTCTGAGCCGATTTTTAAAAAAGTATAACTGCCTATCAAAAAATATTTATGACAGTCGCATTTTAATACATTATTAATTTCGAAAGATAATTCAACTGCTGACGTATGTTTAAATATAGTCTTAAAATGCGGGTTGGTATTTCAAAATTAGGCAGACCATTTTTTTTTAAGATACACTTAAATTTTATCGAAAATAATTTATATCCAACTTTCCTTTCTTTCTTTAATTTTCTAAAAAAAACTTTTCAAATTTTTTTTTTTGCTTATAAATGAATGCATTTAAACTTTTCCAAATTCATCTCCGTTCAATTCAGACGTCTCCATTTTGACTTGCCTCATGACTCTATTATTAACATTCGTAGCGTCTACGATGTTTACATTGTTTGAAACGGTAGTTATATTAATATCATTAACCATTTCGTCAGTTTTCGTCTTTTTAATCGATTCTCTGGGATTGGTTGATTTGGGGCTAGTGTCGAGACCTATTTTAGATAACAGCAGCGTAAATTGGGTTATATTAATAACGGCATTTTCGTTATTGTTTTGCTCGGGTTCGGGCATAGCCCTTCTATTAGACAATTCAATGAGAGAGGCAGGTGTCAACGTGGTTGTAGACCTGACAGCACTTTGGGTATCACGAGAGCAACCACCGTACTTGGTAAATATTTGGTCAAGGCAAAACTTCGTGAAATTCAGGATATGATTCTCGTCCTCTTGCAAAAGCCATGAGTTATGGGGAGATTTAACGAATGAAGAGGGATCCGGAAAAAACCATAACAAGATTTGAGATATCATAAAGAAACGTTGTAAAGTGTTAATGCTTCCAAAACGGATCCAATGAGATTGCATAGTTTAAATATGTTGGAATGTGATGGTTTCAAATTTAGTTCTTCTTAATTTATCACTATGAAATAAAAAAAAATAATAAAATAAATTATACAGTAAATGAAATGAGTGAATTTACAATTTAAAGGACTCAAAATCAAATTTTTATTTGACCCAAGCTCACTCAAATCTCGCTAATTTTTTTCAAGTCTAGATTTAGCTCTTGACCTGACTCATTTTATAAATTGAATTAGAAGTTATATCTCAAAATTATTTTATTCTTTATTTTATGCATAAATTTAAGTATCCATTCAGTAGTTTTGTTAAACGGCTCGATTTGAGCCCATTTTTAAAAAAGGCTAACCCATTATTTTATCCAGAAGCCTGAAGATTTTTCTCATAGATGGCACAAAGATCCAGCCATCAATTAGCAAAATCTCGAGGCTTATGCAATAATGCAATACTTTTCTAGATAAAATATTGAGTTAGCCGTTTTTAAAAATCGGCTCAAAACGAGCCGTTTTACAACACTACTATTATAACTCGACTGATAATTTAAACGTTGCTTATCTATATAATTTTATATATTACAAAATATGATACGGAAATGAATGGTAAATATTTTCAACCTCCAAATTTTTATATAAAAAAAAAGTTTTTTTATTTTTTTTCTAGAATTCATTTTTTAATTGTTATGTTCAATCAGGCAAAAAAAACGAAGAATATGGAAATATATTTTTTCAGGCCATGGCTGGGTCTATATTTTATTAAAGATGGCCTGTCCCAGTCAGCCTGTCAGTCCTGTAAGAACAGGACTCTACAACTGTAAAGTCACAACTTTATCATTTTAAATAAAAAAAATTAATCATTATAACATATTACTTATAGAATTAATTTGTTTAAACTTTTTTGAAATCAAGTTTGAGAAAATAACAAAAATATAAAAGTTCAATTTTGAATAATTCTTCTTATATTTTATTCTAATTTATTTATTAATTTTGAAAGGAGGGTCCAAATTTTCTAAAAAAAAATAGGCGTTAAATACCCAATACCCATTATTTATAAATTTTGAATGATTAATTTTATAAAGGAAAAAAATTAATACGAGCTGTGTGTGTAATAATGTTGTTAAACGTCTCGATTTCAGCCGATTTTTAAAATGGCTAACTCAATATTTTAGCCATAAAAATATTGTCTAAGCCTCGAGATTTCGTTAATAGATGTTCAAACCTATGTGCCACCTATGAGCAAAATTTTAGTTTGCATAATAATTTTTCTAATAAAATATTGAGTTTGCCGTTTTTTAAAATCGGCTCAAAATGAGTCATTTAACAACACTACTGTGTAATACATATATTTTGTTCTCTCTAAATGTTTTTTAATGTTGATTCGAGGTTCAGATAACTCAGGCAAATAAAATTTCCCTGTTCTTATAAATATCATTCTTAACTAATATATATTCTCCCCCAACACACTCCACGTCACCCTTTCCTTAAGAAATATACAATATATCAGCATTAGTGTTGTTAAACAGCTTATTTCAAGCCACTAATCAGTATTAACATGATTTTGAAAGATAAATTAGTAAAAATTAATGACTTTTTTAAATAACAGCTATAATCCAAACTATATTTATAAAAATATAACATAGGTAAAGGCCTAAATTAAGTGGACCTAAAAACCACCAGTAAAATTAATGATAGAAAAGACCACCTATTAGCCCCCTACACATGTAAATCCCCTTTGGATAACATATTTAATTTACTTTATAAATAAAAATTTATTTCAGTGGAGAGGGGGTCCCATTAAATTCTCCAATCTATGTAGTAAGGTAAATTAAAAGTTAACAATATTTCTTTGGCCTTCTGTCCATATATAAGGATTTTCAATAATAATGCTGCAGAAAGCTTTTCTAAAAATGATTGCTATGTAAATACTTCCTAAAAGACAACTTAAATAAATATTTCAGAAATGGCATTTAATATAAAGATTAGTAGATATGATTATATAGGAGAGTTTATAAAACATTATCTAAATGTAAATAATTGCTTTGTAAAAGTAAGATGACTAAAATATATTTCTAAATCCTAATTTACAAGTTTCATCATGAAGTCATAAAAAATTTGAAAATAAAAAGGCTTAACTTATATTTTTGAAAGAAGTTAATGTTGCACCTAATTGCCATTAAATATAATAAAAGTTTTTAAGTGATTGAATATAAAGATTAATTTAATTATTCAATTGTTATAAGAAATTTGACAATAGTAACAACATAATGACACAACTATTTATTAATTTTAATGTTATAAATCTATATATATATCAGGTAATTTTTATTAATTTAAGAGATAAAATTTTTTAAATCCAAAATTTCAATTGCCAATTTAAAACGATTAAATTTATCGTTTAATAAAGATATTCTCTACTTGTAATGTTTACGACTTTCAGAATAAAAATTTGAAAAAAACATATGAAATAATTTAATTCACCGAGACATATTTAAATAGTATCAATTAAAATGAAATAATTAAATATAGTATTTCAAATAGATCTTTAACTATATATATATATTACCTATACTATTCCCTTTTACTTGGATATTTTTAGAGTTAATTTAAATATAAATATTTTATATAAAAATTATAGTTTAATATTCTATCATTATTACAATAAGATAGAAGTGGCTACTGTTGTCTAAACCTCAAGTTAGTTATTATTTAATAGCTAAATCAAGATTTTAGCAATAAATAATTTTAGTCTCGCAATTTGATGAAAAAAATGTGGCCAAGTTTTTCAGACATTGGCATCTATATGTGAAATCTCAAGAATAATATTTTTTTGGCTAAAATATCGCTACCATTCTTAAAAAGCATCTATAATTATTAAATCAAAAGACTACTTAGTCATAAAAATAAGATATTAAATTTAAAGTATGTTTCCTTAGCAAAATCTTAACATTAATATATTTATAGGAATGTATTATTGCAGTAAAATTTAATAGTAGTTAGTTAAATATTTTATAATGATTTTTATGACAACTGCTAAAACACAATAAATGTATTATAATTGAGGAATGAAAATAATAATATTTTGGGTTTTTGTTCCGTTCCCAGTTCCCTTCACGGTACTGACCGTTAAAAAAAGATTTATTTGTATTTCATTCATACATTATCTAAATTTATCCTCACGCTTAATATAGATCAATTATTTCATCTAAAATCTAAGTATTAATTAAAGTATTGTAAATTATTCTAAAAAATTATCATTTACTTTTGTAGTGTTAATGTAAATTTGGTGTCCAAAAACACATGTTAGCATCACAGCACTTACTTGGTGACAAAATATTCCATTTAAATTAAACTTTTGCTATATAATATTAATTTTATAAGTGCCGCTTATTTTTAATTTAATTTTTAGAAAAATGCTTATATGATCATCCCATAATGATACCAAATAATATTCTTATATGGAGTGAACTAAAATTAAAAAATCAATATTTATAAATGGGCCATTATAAATATCATATTTATGACTTAAATTAAATTTGAATTTAATAATATTCTTTTTTAGTTATCCTTATTTAGCGTTTTTTAATTTCCTCCAAGTTCCGCTCCCGGAATGTATCTCTAAGGTTTTGTTCCATGTAGTGTTGTTAAACGGCTCATTTTGAGCCGATTTTTAAAAACGGCGAATACAATATTTTATTAGAAAAAATATTATGCAAGTCTTAGGATTTTGCTCGCAGGTGGCACTAAGGGTTGAACATCTATTAACTAAATCTCGAGGCTTAGATAATATTTTTCTGGCTAATACAATGAGTTTGCCGTTTTTAAAAATCGGCTCAAATCGAGTAGTTTAACAACACTAGTTCCATGTCCTCTTAAAAAACATTTTTTGGTCAAAATTGAAATATATACTGTTATGTATTTTAATAGTAAACGAGTTTTTGTTATTCTTTTATTTTGTAATGTAAAAATCAAAATCAACCTTTATTATTCAAATTAATCTCAAAATATATAATAATAATAAAAATAAACATTTTACAAAAAATAAAAAAAAAACACCAATTTAATACACATCATTTATTCCCAGTCGATCTGGTTTTGATCGTATCCTTTGATATCGATCTTGACTTGTTTCTTCCTCCCTCTCCTTTTAAGTCATTTCATAGTTATTTTTTATTACATCCACTTTGTTTATTATCTCTTTGTTTACTTCTTCGGTTTTCTCTTCTACTTCAGTAATCTCTTCTAATCGTATTCTTCAATTAATACATTTTCGGTTTGTTTCCTTAATTGGTCCGTATGACGTATAATCGTATTACTCGCTATACTTAGTTCATAAAGTTGTGATCCGAGTATGCCTTTAATAAAGGCTTCTTCCCATTAAATTTCTTTATTATTGTAAAGGCGCGACCAAACTTTTTCATTTATCTGAAATTTTTGATTGTGGTATTCAAACTTCTCCTTTTTGTTTCCCATTTCAAAAATTTGATCTAACAATCCTCTAGGTTTAAAATTTGGTAATATTTCAGCGGGACTTTGTTCAGTTTTTGTTCCTGGTGTATTTTTCTAATTGTAGAGAAAAATAGCTAGGCTGGTTTCTAAATCCCTCTCGTTTCTTTTATTCATACTCTGTTTAAAAGTTCGAACTAAACGTTCGACTATGCCGTTTGTCTGAGGATTGTAAGGACTTCTGTTCACTAATTGAATTCCGTTTTTTGAAATCTTTGCTGCTGATTTGGGGTCCGTTATCAGAAACGATTATTTTGGGAAATCCGATTCTTGCAAAAATATTTCTTAATATTTTTATCGTGATTTCGGTTGTAGTGCTAGTCATGGGAACTATTTCTGGCCATCGACTGCTAGCATCTATCACTACCAACCAATAATGATCTTGAAATGGTCCAGTATAATCAATATGTACTCGGTGCCATGCTTTTGGTGGTTTTGGCCAATTTTGATGCTGTCTTTTGAGGCATATCGTGTTGTTCCTGGCATTCTCTACATTTTTCAACCCAGGTTTCTATATCTTGGTTTATATTAGGCCACCACGCGGATTGTAGAGCTCTCATCTTCATTTTTACCATTCCGATATGTCCTTGATGTATCATGTCCAACACGTTGTTTCGGTATTGTTGTGGTATTATCATTTTCGTTCTCCATAATAAACATCCTCTCTCAGTTGTAATTTCCTCTCTCCTTTGGCTATACTCCTTTAAACATGTTTCATAGTTTATTGGCCATCCATCTAGTGTATATCTGTATACTTTAGAAAGTATATCATCTCGCATTGTTTCTCTTTCAATTTGGCTTGCATTTAACAGTGTTTCTCCCACCTGTATTTGATCTAGCGCTTCTTCTTTTGATATTGGAGTTCCCTTTAGGGGTAATCTAGATAGAATGTCAGCATTTGCTATTTGTCTACTACTTTTGACTTCTATTTCATATTGATAACTGGTTAATAATAAAGCCCACCTTAGTATTCGGGCAGTTGATGTTGTGGGTATATCTTTTTTTGGATGAAATAAAACCATACAAAAAAAATTTTCTTAAGTAACAAAAAAATAAATGTTACATTAGACAAACAAATATGATCATGAGCTCTTCTTACATTTTCAAAATGGCAGAATTGCAAGTGTGGCGTTATGTAGCTAAGTACCTATAATCAGAGTTGGACAGTACCACGAATACTTATATTTAAGATACAAGATCCATTAAAAGTATAAATAGTATATTACAATATATTTTTATAATACTATGATGGGAGTAATATAATTTAGATTAGTTCATTAAAATTATTATATTATTAAATATGAATGTTATTAGGGAAAATAATCAAATTATTATTACAGTAGAAAGCCCGTCAAAAGAAATGAGATTTTTATTCATTTTTTTAAGATAGATGTCATGCCAGGTTCAAGCTCACAGTATTAGGAAGAATCCAAGATCTTATAATTTTAAAAAAGTTTATCAAGCCCACCTAACCCTTAATTATTTGTAAAAGATATTCCCAAGTCAGGTGCAAGCTAATATTAATTTTGAGGTTCCAAGCTCAATCATACCCATTATAATTTTGAAAATTTTTTCCCACCTCGGATATAGATTTTTAATTGATTTATCATCACATGAAGGGGAAATATCTGATTTACCAATTAGTCTAATATGCAAAAAAATACATATTCCGTTTAAGAGAAAGTGGGAAGCTCTGGGCAAACCACTTATTAGAGAATCATGACAAATAAAATAAAAATAACCGAATCTTATACTTTTTTGTAATATGATCAATTAAAATTATATCTAAAAAAATAAATTGTTGTTTATTATATAGGGTTATTGTTGTTTTTCAGATAAATTTAATGTATGTCTTGCATTTCCGAAATTATTTGTCAAAGAATTTGATAAGGGATATATAATTTATGTTAAGTAAAAAAAAATTCTATCTATTTAAATTACAAAAATGCCATTAAGCACTAATGAAACTTATATGCAAATTATTTATATATTTTTTTTTATTGACATATAAATTTAGGATATTTTTTTTAAAAAATAATGAGGATTAATTATTATGTATTTGATAAAATTAAGAGCAAATCCTTGTTGACATTTTAATTTTTGATGGAAAAAGCGACAAAATAAATCTGGGCGGTCGTCTGGAGAGGAAATAATTAATGTATAATTTTATATCCTTTAGGGTTGTAGATGAAAGTAATGACGGATTAACAAAGAAGTGTACAAAACACATTACGTCCTTATAAAGATGATATGCCTATGCCTTGGGATACTGGTAAAAGAAGAACGCAAAACAATATTTCTGTCAATGTCAGCATTGGTATCCCTCTCTAAAATATAATCATGAACGACTGTTAACTCAACCTTAAAACGGTCGTAAGTATTGTTATAAAGGCCACGACAGAACTACTGCATATTTTTCCATGAATAAAGTTGATGAAATTAGCTGTACTGTACATTCAAGTTTGAACACGCAAAACGATATTTCTGTCAATGTCAGCATGGCCCAAAATAGGAACGACAATGTTAACTCAACCATAAAATGGTCTTAAGTATTGTTATGAAGGCCACGACAGAGCTACTGCATATTTTTCCATTAATAAAGTTTATGAAATTGGCCGTACTGTACATTCAAGTCTGAACATTCCTCTAAATATTCATGAAAGTTTCTCAGAGAATCGGAAAAAGTAATTATTATATTAACTCCTAGTGAAGTGAGTGATATTACAGAATTAAATGTTTATATTTGTTAAAAAATAGGCGGAGGTGGCATAGGGATTGTGGTAGTGGTGATAGAAATATCATTTGGAGAACAGGGTGAAAATAAAATAAACATAGATATAAAACATTAGATAAAAAAACAAAATAAACCTCCAGATGAGTTCATTTCAAGCTTAGTTCTTTATTATTTTGTCTACCAGTAACTTTAGAACGGGT